CACTTGACAGACAAGTATTTACTTACATATACTTCAGCGGACGACGTTTTGGCAGTCGAACCATGCATGTATGCATCCACATCCAGCTGCTGCATGTAAGCAACTAACGAGGCGCGGACACGAAGTCAAGGGGGTCAGAGGGGGTGCAGCCTCCGGTTGGTGGTCAGGGTTGGTACGTAAGACCTGTGTTCCGCTGGCAGTGTGCTTGCTGGCACAGCTGAGCATGGGGTGGTGGCGGTTGTGGGTGGTGGCTGATGAAAGGAGGACATGGTAAGACCATACGTACCCAGGGGAGTGGTGTGGGATCGGCATGCCAAGGTCCAGCCCTTGCTGGGGGCAGTTGTTGCTGGATGGCGCGCTTTCGTTGAGGGTGGAGTGAGTGACTGACGGTTGAGGATCTCAAAAAGTTCTGCTCACCCTACCCGCCAGATCGTAACTAGGCAGAGCGGAAACGCAATGGAATGGCACGACCTTGAATCCCCGCAGGCCCAAAGTACCGCTTGTCGAGCATGCACGCTGAGTGAGCCTGCGGTTGCATCTTCTGCACACGCGTCATCTCTGTGCTTGTCAACCACCAACGCCTCTGAACCCTCAACCACAACACACTCGTCCTTTACTGCTCGCCGCAATTTCCTCCGTGCCGTGCCGTGCCGTGCATGTGTGTTTTGTTTTCTTTTTTTTCTTCGAGACTGCCATCCTCTTTTCCCATTCGTGCAGGCAGTCCGCCGTCCTCCGTGCGACGTCAGTTTGCTGCGCTAGCTCGCGTCGTGACGCTACCGTGTGGTTCCCTGGTGTACATCAGCTCCTTGCGGCTGTGTGACTGCCGTGCTTGCCGCCCGAGGTCATTCAGACCCCGACCACCTCCGTGCACGCACATTTTCAAACAGCCACGCCCGGGTGACCCTTGTTTTTCTCTCGCCATTTCTAGTTGAATTTCCTACGCCGGCTCCCATTCTTTGACATCGCTCGCGTACGGTGCTCAGCTGACGGGACACACTTCAACTGCCATCATGCGCCGTTGTGGCGCACCTCCCACCTTCACCGCCTCTGCGCTGGTCAAAAGCGGGCTGCTCCTATTTCTAGCTGGTGCATACCTACTCACAGCACCCGATGGCACCCAAGCACAAACACTGCTAGAGGAGCCACCTCTCCTGCCTCCGGCCATCATGCGCTTCAACCGAACCCGGGATGGCAAAGAGGTGGTCCACATGTCCCGCCACGTGAACAACACGATGACCACCACCGATGCCATGCCCCCGCGCCCGCCGGCAGACGCGTCTATTGATGAGCTCTTTCAGGAAAACGTACGTGCTCCCGCCTCACCCCCTTCCCCCTTCTTCCATCCCATGCGGACGAAAAAGTTAAGAGGGAAGCAGCATTCTTTTGCCCTCTCCGTCTGAAGCTTGCTAACGCCAGGAATGCCTGCAAATACAGTTGTACTTGCGCGAGATGCTGGCGCGCGCAGAACGCAAGGTGCCAGAGACCCCCTGGTGGCAGGATCGCCTTGATCAGCTCGGTTCCACCCCAAGTCCCCTCCGTGGAGAACTCGGCGTGCTGTTTGCTACCCCCATCTTTCGCACCAATATCAACCTTTTCTTCCCCAAAGAACGCGTCGCTGTAGGTCAATAACCTTGGCTCCTCCCCTTTGACATCTCCACCTCACCAGCCGCTATCAAGCCGCGGCTCAGACGTGCGCGCTTTCCTCGTTATTTGCTCACACACAAACTACTCTTTGCGAGCATAGGCCATCAATGCTCGGCTCCAAGCCTTCATCTTGAAGCACTACGCCGAAGTTGTCCGCGCTGGGCTTGAGCGTGACAATGTTGTTTTTGCCGACGCGAAAGTCTCCGTTCCACGCTGTGCGTTCCTGTCGCACAGCCTCGAGGCACCCTTGCTCCCTCGTACTCCATGCGCTTGGACAGAACTCCAGGCGAGCTAATCTTCTGTTTTCCCGCGTCCGTAGACAACAACGTCAATAACGCCTTCTTTGAGCGCCAGCGCAGCATCAACAACAAGATTGCCGAGGAGCAAAACTACACCCCCGAAGGCTTCCTGGACGACTTGAAGGAGATGGCTGATCTCAAGCTCTTCTGGCGCAAGTCCATCCGTTCTTTTTGGGAGAATGTTCCAGGTCGAGTCAAAGATATTGACACACTAGCCAATGAGAATACCAATCAGTTCTTTTACTGGGCCGCCGTCAATCACCATGGCATTGATCACCACACCCATGTGCACTACCGAGCGTTTATCAGCGGCGTCTACTATGTCAAGTGAGCCTCCCCTGTGCACCAGCAGATTTCTGTGCTGTTTGTTTGGGTCGTGGTGGAGCGCCACATGCCTGCCTCACGCCTTCTTCGCCACCTATTGATCAGGGTTCCACCGCTTGCCGGCGACTTTTGCCTCTACGACCCTCGCGGCTTTCCCCAGCATCCCTTTCACATTGAGAAGCAAATTGCCCCCGTCGAAGGTGCGCCGCCAACTTGTAGTTGCTGTGCCGCATCACGCGCCAATGCCTGCACCACTGCATCCACCGCCTTGTTTTTCTTGCCAATCAAACAGCAATGTCACGAAGCATCAAATCCGTGCTCTGTCCTCTGTCATCACAGGTGATCTGCACATCTTTCCCGGCTACGTTCCGCACTCGGTCAATCCAACTTTTGGTTCTGAGCCCCGAATTGCCATCGCCTTCAACCTCAACGTTCGTGAAATGCAGGCTTGGACCCATTCCTTCGGAGAACCGCTTTGTTTGCACCCACGTCTGACCAGGCTCTTGCTTCTCCGTCCTGCCATCCAACAGGGTGATCCCGATGCCTGGAAGGACATGGTGGACATTCAAATCTACTCCAATGTGTTTGCCAACTCCAAGCGTTAGGCTGGTTTTGGTCTCTTTGTATTATTAGGTGCCATGTAATTTGTCAGAGGGTCTCGTCTAAATTGTGATTGATTTGCGACAAGCGCGTTTGGACCTCGCGCTTGGTTGGATCAATTTTGGGTTTGCAAACCTTTTCTCATTTTTTTTTTTTGGTTTGGTTGTGTTGACACTTTTCGTGCATGAGAGTATATACGTGGCCCAACGCCGCTGCCGCATGAGGACAGGCGGGCGCGCGCGTGCAAGGGCGGCAATTGTAATTCCCATGTCCATTGAGCGTTGATTGAGAGAGCCTGTCCATGGGCGAACCTGGCACGAGGGCGTGGCTTTACTCAAGTGCTTGGCGTGCTTGCCAGCGCTCGAGAGCTGCACCTCGCAGCAACAAAAGCACCACTTCCATGTGCGGTGTGTGAGGGAACAGGTCAACGGCACGCACACGAACCAACTGGAAGGGGTCACCCTGCCAGCGCTTGCTAGTTTTGCGGCACAAACTAGGGCAAAAAAAAATCACACATCAGCGCACGATAAATTTTGGATGAGCATCGAGTGAGAATGGCTAGCAAGGCACCAAAGGGCCTGGCACGTACTCGACAATGTTGGTATGAGATGCCTTGAAGTTGCAAGCCACATAAACAAGCCTAAGAATCAAATCAGACCCATGCATGAGCGCCCGGGCAAACTCGCTTTGAGCCTTCTTGTGAACACTTGTCCTTCCGAGAGGCAAACGTACTCTTCAAGCGGCTGACAGGAGCGGATGGCCCGCAGCACGTCACCGTCTACAACGGATTGTCAGATGAGTGGCAAGAACGCATCCTATGATCCACCTACGAACCCCCCCCGGCTGCAGACCAACGGTTCAAACTTACGCAAGCCGCAGCGAGGCGGGTCAACAATGCCCACCACTCGTTCCTCTTGTACACCTGATTGCACAGCCCACAGCCCCATATGGGCCCACACAAGGATTGAGACGAGGCAAGAGGGAGGCCAAGCATTGTAGCAAAGGACGCCAGAGGGGCGCTGATGCAGTCAGACTAGGCATCAAAGTGACAACGTACGGGCAGCCACTTCAGGCATGGTCTTTTCCGCTCGGCCAGCAAAATAAGAGCAATTGGTCAAGCCTAAGGCATGTGCAGTTGGGATTAGATCAGCAAGCTCCAGGTTTAGCGCACGTCTGGTCTCTGCAGGACTGTCTGTCAAGCGCACCGTTGAGTTCGGCATTGTGCTTCGCATCCTCCACGGCGGACTCAACCAGCTCAAAGCCAATGACGCGGCGGACGCGGTTGGCATACAGCTGCCCAATGGTGCCAGTGCCAGAGCAAATGTCTAGCAGGGCGCACTCGCGCTGGGCAACATCCTAAGGGGGTTGAAAAACAACCAAACAAACACCCGGGTGAGAATGGTCCTATTTTTGCAGCTTTCGCTCGAGCCTGACTGCAGTCATCATGAGCGAGTGTGCAATCTGCTATGATCCAGATGGGTCTGATCACCCACCGACAAGCCGGCCCAGTCGCCGACCAAGCGGTAGAGTTCCTCCGCCGCTGGGATGTTGACTGCGCATCAATGTCAAGAAGCCGGATGAGCAAGTCGCGAGAAAGGACAAAGCCAGAGTCGATGGCTTCAACTCAAGGGTCGCACCTTGGAAAAACGCATCCGGTGATACGCGGAATGTCAAGCCATTCATTGTTTCCAGCATTTGCTGTTGCATTCAAGTGACACGAAGCACGAGGTTACACTGAGGTTGAAGCAAGAGGGGCATACGGGGTGTCCACGACCTGGTGTCTTACCTGCTCGCCCAAGATTTGGTAGATCGGACGTTCAGGGGCTGTCAAGCCCGACTGCGAGAAGGAAAAAAAGGATGCGAGAGAAGGAAAAGAGAAAGAGAGCGGAAAAGCCAGGTGTCATTGTATTCAGCACCACAGAGCAGACTGGTGGCAATGGATTTGCGGCAGTCGTCTGCGTTGAAGACTGACCGCCGAGTTGTCCACCTGCACCATGAGGTGCTGAAGAATGTCGGGTTGTTCCTTTTGCTCAGCAGCGAAGAATGCGCGCATGGCAGCAATCTCCGCCTCAAATTGGTCTTCAGACAAGCCTTGCGAGGACATCTAAAAGCATGACCAGAGCAAAAGCCCGCCCAACAGGGATCGCGCAGAGGCGAGTCAACTGAGAACAAAGTCCAATGCCTTCCTTCTCAAAGCAAAGCTGACGGGCTCGACTGACCAGTAGCACGGACATGTGCTCCTCGTGAGTGGTTTTGCGCACCATCAACTGGCGAAAGTTGCCCTACAATCGGCATTTGATCGCTTGATGAGATGCTGAACCAAGTCCAAAAGCCCGGAGCATAGAGCAAGGGGTTTTTTTCATGCCAAAAGAGAGGGGCCAACCGAGTTGTTGGAGCGATCAAAGCCTTTGAGACTGCTCTTCTTCAAATAGGCCTACCAGAATCGAGGTGTGAGAAAAAGTGGAGCGGATTCACGATCTGTCCGGCAGTTGATGGTTGAGACTCTCGAGGCCTGTCATGTAGATTAAAAAAAGGCAAGACGGACCTCAACCACACGAGCGAGTCGTTTGAAAGACTCGGGAACATGGGGCACTTGCGTAGGGCGTTCAACAGAGAGAATGCCCTCGACGAAACGACCCAGCTGAAAGCCCAGAATCTTGTCCTATGGGCAGATGCGGCACGAGTACTGCTGGGTCAGAAGAACGCGGTCATGGGGCCAGGATTGTGCACTGCAATTTAGGGCTAGTACCTCGCCCTCAGGACTTCGGCCAACGGTAAACTCGCATTTGTTGCGATAGCCGTCTAGGACTGGTGAGCGCAGTGGGGCCTCAACATTGTACACGCGGGCCTGGCCTGTTTGAGCCCAAGGCACGCCGGCTCTAAACATTAAGCAAGACGTAAGAAATCAGCACAGCTTCCAAGACCCTGGCGTTGGGAAAGGATGGGCATTGGGCGCACTTGGAAAGCTTGAGGTCGAGATCCGTCAGAATGTTGAGCTGCATGGCAATCAACGCCGCCAATTAATGCTCAGTCAGCACTGTGTGGATATGCTTGACGAGTTGAAGCGAACATGGCAGAATGCGACGACAACAAACGGACCATGGCGTCGTGCTTGAGGTTAAGCTGCTCGGGGTAGGGCTTGTGCATATAAGGCGCCACCTGCACAAAATCATGCGAATTCGCGTTTGAAAACAACAACAACAACAACAACAACAACAACAACAACAACAACAACAACAACAACAGCATTCAACAAGATTCAACAAGACAGCCAACAACAAACAACTGATGAGGCACAGGTTGGCGGCGTTCTGGTAAAACTGAGCAAAAAGTAATGTGGAAAAGGCAAGGTATGGTCCAGGGCGGCACGTGGCGAGAAAATGAGCTTGCCTTGAGGGCGATCTGCTCCACAGGTGGAAGGTCAGAAGGTATGTCGTTGGCCTTGGCGCGCTTTGCAACAGGTGCTGAGGCTGGGAGTTCAAAGGACGGAAAGGAGTGGGCAGGCAGACGCAATTTAATACCGATGCCAAGTCCTATTTCTAGAGCGAGGGTAAGATGGAGAAGGACTGGCATACGTGGCTCGCGACGAGGGGGGCGTTTGGCGGTGCTGGTTTGGGCCGAAAGCGTGCGGTTCCTGGCAAGGAGCATGGGTGCGTGGGGGGTCAGCTCTGGCGAGGAGACAGACGATGCGAAAATCGCGGAAAAGATAGAGCATGACGACGACAACAATGCCCACAGTCGAGAATACTGCAAATCCGGACACAGTGCAAGATGGGACGAATGGCGGCACTGACCGGTATTGAGTACCATCGACAGCCGCTTGAAGAGCCTGCTGCTGCTCCTTATCGCGACACAGCACAAGCGCGGTGGGCTGGCCGGCGCGCTTGACAACTTTTTGGAATGTCTAATTGTTGATGGAGGGTAAAGATCGGACGTACAGAACGTGCGTCACTGCGACATCTTTAACGGGCAGGAGCTTGAGCACGCACACGAAAGACACAAAGGCACAAACCACGTTGCGCTGGCGCAAGTGGGCTTTAATATCGGAGACTTGGGCGTGGCGAGGAATGTTGTTGAGGTGCACGCGTAGTTCGATCTCAGGAACAGCTGTCGCCCCAATACAAGCCGAAATGAATCCTTGGGGTGAGATGCGCGGTGCGATGCATGTGCGATGTGACTCTTCCGCGTCCATTCATCGATCCCGTACCGGGCGCTTCCGGAGGCATGGCGGCATCCGTTGCCGCAGCTTGCACCGGCGGCACAGCTTGCACCGGCGTGGCCTCGGTGGAAAGAAAGGCACCCATGACTCCCGGTCTATACCGTTTAACCCACACACCCTCCAAACGAGCTTCAGCAACAGCCGCAACGGCAGGCACGGAGACGGCAGGCAAGGAGACCCGGCCACCAACAGCGGGAACAACAAGACGAGCGCGGAAGAGGAGAGCCGACAACCACGCGCTCATCATTCATCCGCCCGGCCCACAAATTGCTGACATTTTAGTTGTCAGATGTCAGATGATTCGGTTACTTGTCAGATGATTCGGTTATTTGTCAGCTTGTTGGGTGTGGGAGGGGGGTCTGTGGTTGTGTGGCATGCTGGAGGTCTCATCTCTGGTTGACTGTAGGAAATATAGTGTAGTGGCTTTCAAGGTTTGGGCGAACCTCTCACAAAGATCAACCCCCAAGCTGCTCTCTCTGCCGCTCTCACCTGACAACCTTGAAATGGGGCGTCCCAAGAGGACCGACCACCCCATGTTTTGATTTTCAACCCCTCTTGGGCCCCTCCGCACCCTCGTCGCCGTCGCCCCTCTCCGTCGCTCAGCTCGCTCCCTCTGTGCGTTGAATCTACTCGAGCAGATAGACAGAGAGATAGATGGACGCAGAGAGAGCGTGTGTGGTGTGTGAAAGATTATGAGCAAGGCTGCTCGCTGAGGCAGCTGGCCACCATATACGCCTGTTGATCGAGGAACGCCGGGATGGTGGATCAGGTAGATGGTGTTGGACGCTACTCTCTTCTTGTTCCTTGTATGAGCTGGTGGGGCAGCTCACCAGCTTCTGTTCTCATCGATGGCCAGTTTGCAGGTGCGCCTTTTTTCTGAGCGATTGCGAGCTGCCTAGTTTGATCTACGACATTGGTCGAGCCTCTGCTGTGTCGGCACCGCGTATCCCTCAGCGACATGGCCTCCTTGGCTCTCAATCTCGACGAGAGTCGAGATGAGCCTAGCGAGACTCGAACCGACCCCGAAGCAGGCCGGCCGGTCTCTGGACTCACCAGTAGCACACAGCTGGCATTTTCAGCACACAGCACTCCACCCGCGTCACCTGCCCGCATCACCCCCACCCTCTTGATACCGGTGCAAGCCGCGGATGCTACACCGGCCTCGGACGCACACGCGAATGCTACACCAGCCTTGGACGCACACGCGGATTCTATTGGCTTGGAATCTGGTCTCGTGGCCTCTCCTCATAGCTCCAATGGTGCCGGTCATGTCATTCACTTGAACGTCAGTAATGGTCCGAATGAGCCTCAGGGCCTACCGGCTTGGGGCTCCATTCGTAGCCGTGGCAGCCAAAGCGGGCTGACGCCCCTTGTTACCGCTGGACGGGGAATACCTCCAACTGAGGGGCACCACATTCGCTTTGGTGAAGCCATCGTGCATATGGATGCCGTCGAGGTTGACAACCGTGCGAACCCCTCGCGCAGGGAGGTCGGTGTTCAAGCAACAGAGTTGGATGAGACCCTCATCAATGCCTTGCCCAGTACGCGAGCCGTGCAATTTCAACATCACAATCTTGCACGAGAGATGAAGGAGCAGCAAGGTCGTTTGCAGTCGGCCCACACCAGTCGTCGCGCTAGCCAGCGAGTGCTCCAGCGCATGGTGTCTCGCCGCAAACACAGCCGCGTTGCTCCTCTTCTGGATGACATGGACCTTGATATTGACGCGCCTACGCGCTTGAAAAACAGGTTGGCTTTTTTTTCAATTTTTTTTTTTTTTTTCAATAATATTCGGACCCTGCTAAGTTCCTGGTCCACTTTTGGTGTTGCTGCGATGATGCTGGTGACCCATGAGTGTATCAAGTCAATGGAATTCTGATGTCTGTCTTTGGCTGCTGGCACCATAGAGACAACGTGCGAGCTAACCTCAAGGGCTGGCGTCTCGTGTGGTATGACTTTCGTACCTGGGTCCAGATGCAGCGCCACAAACGCCGTGATCCCATTCCCATCTGGCGCAGTGCCATCAAAGACATTGAGGGCCAGTTCGGCAGTACCCTCACCTCCTTCTTCGTCTTTCTCCGGTGCGTGCCTGGGTGCCTGGGTGCCCGCTCTTGAGGCCCTCCACCCCGGCCTCTAATTCCGACATTGCTGTTCTCATTGTGGTGGCATCTGCCAATCGGTGGCGCCAGCTGGTTGTTCTTGCTCAATGCAATGTTGGCCATGCTGATCTCTTGCGTCATCACTATCCCTACGCTCATTACTTTTGACTACCAAACGCGCATTACGGAGCGCTTCCAATGGTGCGGCTGCTTTACTTCAACTTGCCTTGCTTGTCAGCGCCAAAGCTACTTCGATAACATGATTGCGATACACAGGTTTAATCTCTTTGACGGCGAGGGCGCCATGGGCGAATCATGGGCCTTCTTTGGCGTAAGGCGACTGATTTCACTGCAGCGTTGAGGCCGCCGCGACTCACTCGCTCTCTACACAAGCTGTAGCTCATCTTGCGTGCCCTCTTCTTTGCAACAGGGCTACGATGCTGTCGTCGACAATACCTATCGCATGGATCTGATGTACATCCTGACCATGATTGTTCTCTTCATTGGATGCTTCGTGTTTGTGGTCAACAACATAGCCAATGCTATTGGAAACCTCTCCTCGTCTGGCTCCTTGGTCAAAGTGGTTAGTTTCTTGCCTCCCCGCCCAAAGCGCTCGCCCCGAACCCAGCCGTTGAAAAGTCCCACAGTCTCCTCACCACTCGAGGGCTCGACGTTTTGTGTTCTCGTGCCCAGAGCGTTCGATATCCATTTGCCACCATCATGTTTACTTCCTGGGACCACAGCTTCACTTCGAATGAGGTAAAGGCGTGTGCTTTTCCTTCCCACCTCATCCATAACACAACTTCAACGTCGAGCCAAAGTTCAAACGAGTGCACGCTTGGCTTGCGGCGCTTGGCACAGGGCGTGGAAACCCTGCAAAACACTATTCAACAAGCATTTTTCGAAACTCTGGCCGAGAAGCGGGCCAAAGAGGAGCTACAAGAGATGCGCGATACTCCTTGGCGTCAAAAGGCACGCCTTTACGGTATGTTTGTGGGGTCCACCGTGCCGGCGGGCCGTCATTGCCCATCTTGATCCGGCTTTGCTTTTTTTTTTTTTTTTTTTTTTTTTTTTTTTTTTTTTTTGTTTACACACTAGTTGGTGTAGCTGCGGCCCTCAAACACCTGTAATTCTTTGTGTGCGGTTTCAGGTTTTCGAGCGTTGGCATGGTTCATTTGGATGACACTGGTAGCCAGTGCGTTTGTGGCGGTCTGGTTTGTTGTGCAAGAGAGCACAACGAGTGGCCAGCAGACGGTGGTGCAGACCTACGGTCCGACTGCAGTCTTTTCTTTTATTAATGGCGCACTTCCATATCCCATCAAAAAGCTGCCCGTGTTCTTAGAGCACTACAAGCACCCTAAAACTGAAATGGCAGTAAGTACTGGCCTTTTCGCGCCGAGCAGAGCTCAAGGGGATCCCAATTGGGACGAGGTCATGACCAAGAAGTGACCAAAGAACAACCTTGGTGGTGTTGATTGCCTCAATCCCGCATGCTCGATGCTTTTTCCTAGATTACCATTCTGCGCACGTTCTTGTTGCGCATTTTGACCATTTATGCCCTGCTCTACGGCTTTTTTACCAAATATGAGCTGGATGCTGTTCAGCTGCCCAGTTACAACGGCACCGCCTACGTGTCTCAGGTTCAGTCACTGCCCCAAACCGTGCTCGCAATAGGAGGTTGCACTTTGTGGCTCAGTTGGGTCTGGTGACTCTTGGTCGTTGGTACGCATCCACTCCATAGGCAGAATGTGCCGGCACACGGGTGGGGCAAGACTTGTGGAAGCTCATCATTGTGGACACAGTCGTGTCAATCTGCCAGCGTTTCGGTGCCACCCTGTTCTTCTACATTGTGTACAAACACCGTGTCCAGCTTGAGGTCATCCAGTCTGTGTTGGGCCTTGTCTATCGCCAAGGTATGTCTGTACTGCCACTGAACCACTGTCTTGGCACTCCAGACCCTTGGAACTCTTTCGTTGATCTCACACGGATGTTTCAAATCTGCGGCAGGCCTCATTTGGGTCGGCATGGTCTTTTGCCCAATTCTTCCCGTCCTGGCCATGCTGACCAATATTATTTATTTTTACTTCTTTCTGGCCTTGGTGAGTGCAAGCATGTTTACGTCAAGCAAAAAGGCACAGTGGTGCTTTCAGTCTGCTCAGCATTCTATCAGTGCACCCCTATTCTCATGATGGGTGTCGTTGTGGCCGCGCTTCTGGATCAGGTCAAGCGAATTTGTCGACCGCCAGACAAGCGGTTTGTCCAAAACCGAAACAACACTTTTTTCATGTTCTGTCTTGCCAGCACCCTCTTCTTCGTGGCCATTCCCGTTGCGTGGGCGCTAAAGGTTTATGACCCCAACTGCGGGCCCTATGCCCAGAGCCGTTACGAGTCAGCCTTTGACGGCATTTGGGAGTGGGTGAAGGACCAACGCACGTCCTTCCAAGACTTTATCGCCACTCTGACCGACCCGGTGCTCGTGTGCGGCGTCTTCATCATGCTTGGTACGTGTTCTCCCGACCAAGCGTACCTGTTGTTGGTGTGACTCGGTCTGCGCTCACTTTGCTTTGCTCACGCACTCACCCTCGGCCTTTAGGTGTTGCTTTCCGAGCCCAACACGTGCGCCTCGAGCGTACCCGACACAAGTATTATGAAATCTACACCGAGATTCAACAGTTGCGTCGGGACAAACGCTTCCTGCTGGAGAAGAAAACAAACTGAAGGTCTACATCCAGCTGATAATAATTGGCCTTCTCGCTAGCGACGAGGCAAGCTCGTTTGCTTCCTGTTCGTGCATTTCATTCCATTTTTTGACTGACTATGATCATGATCGTCGTCGTTGTTGTAAAGGAAACTGTTGTTTTATTCGCAAGCCACTTGCACGCACTAAACGTTATTCGATTTTTATTTTTTTCATATCTTCCCGAGTTGAGGCCAAGTTGAGTCGCACAGAGGCATATACTACAAGGCAAAACAGCGGGACACACAATCCTGTCCTCGCACTCCCAAAAAGGAGGGTCGGTCAGCCAAGACCGTGTCGGCCTCCTGTATAGCTGGCCCTCGGGACCCAGGTGATCGGACAAGAAAACCACGCCCAATGTCATTAACATACAAAGAGCATACAGATGGGTTTCGGGCACAATCGCGAAGAAGAGAGATGAGCAAAAGCTGGACTAGATCAGACACGAGAACGGCAGAACACAGATACACACACACAAAAAAAAAGGACGGAAGGGCAGAAGCACCAATAGAGCACTGTCATCTGCAGCTTGGCAGCAAAATCGGTGCCAGGTGCCATTTGAAGGTTGCAAATAATGCCGCTCAACCACCTTTGAGCTCAGAAAGGGCTAGTCGTCGTTGAACGCCAATGCCTCTCAAAGCGTCAAGACCAATTTTCGAGTTGTTCTGGCGTGGTGTTTGAGGGCAACAAGGTGTGACTACTGCTTTTGCTGCTCCAAACGAGCCTTGGCCGTGGCCATGGCGATGGTTTCCACACTAGCGCGCAAGTAACAAAGAGCAGTTGACATGTGAGTTCAAACAACCGGCATGCACGAGGCGGCTTCAGGCATCACAGCAGGTTGTGGGAGCGCATGTGCTGGCTCTTCTGAAACCTTCTCGAGGGTTGCGGGATAACAAACCTCGTGTCGGGCCGGTAAGCGACGCCAATAACCATGAGAACGAGAGCCAGACCCATGCCACCCATGTAAATGCCCTCCCAGGCCTCAACCTTGCGCGCACCAGGCTGAAGGGATGGCGGGATGAGCGTTGTGAACGAGCAGCACACGCCAAAGCAAGAGCACAAAGACCTACCTTTTCGCCGAAAAGCAGGCCATTGGGAGGCTGAGGACCAGTGGGAGCGTGGTGCGCATCGCCACCACGGCGGGCCATCTGGCGCAGAGGGCGCAGCATCTGTCGCATGGTCGCTGCCATTGTGCTCTTATGCCAAATCAATAAAATAGAGAGAGAGAGAGAGAGAGAGAGAGAGAGAGAGAGAGAGAGAGAGAGAGAGTCAGAGAGAGTCAGAGAGAGAGTCAGAGAGAGAGTCAGAGAGAGAGAGAGAGAGTCAGAGAGAGCAGAGAGAGAGTCAGAGAGAGAGTCGGAGAGAGAGAGAGAGAGTCAGAGAGAGAGAGAGAGAGTCAGAGCGAACGAGAGAACAAAAGAACCAAAGAAAGAGGCAAAAAGCGCTTAAATTTCAATTAGCTTGGCGTTAAAAGTATCTGGTTCAAGCATTCAAAAACGTAGGAAGGGAGACTTGTTGAAAACAGGTGTTTCCACTCCTCCTGCGTTTTGGCTGACAGCTGGTAGCAAAGCGAGAATCATGGTGTACAAAGTGTAGCCAAAGGCACAGTATCGCTGAGACGACCCGTTGAGAGACGGGGTCGACGGATTTCGTTTCTCATCTCGTCTGGCTCCTCAATCTCAAATCACGCGCGCGCAGGACGGGGGAAGCGTGGCGGTGTGCTGAATGCATTTACAGAGAGAAGCAGACACTGATTGTGGTGGTGTTGCTTGACGCCGTGTGTTATTGTGAGCGAGGCTGAGACCATCGACGAAGGACTTGCAGGCGATAGAGGCGACGCCCTTGATGCGCACAGCAAGCGCAAATGGACTGAAAGCTCTCGTGGCACCAGGGTGAAGCCTGGCAGCAGTGGTCGCGCTGAGGCGTCATCGTCAGCGACATGGATTCCGTGGGCAAAGCCTTCCCACAGCCTGAGCCCATACCTCAGAATCATCCGACGCCCACTGCCTCCTTTGAAGACGACGTTGCACTCAGTGATGCCTCATTCGCAGCTGACAAGGTCGGCCCTCCCTTTCGTTGACGCACTGGTGACCGCGAGGGCCGCTTCAGCATGTTCTTGTTGTTTGACGAGTCCCCTCCCGCCTCATGATTTCCCTATTGCTCACGTTCTGGTCAACTGGTGGTTCCTCCTGGGCAGGATTCGCCCAAGCGCAAGGATCGCCGGGCTCATCCTTACATCTGCGATGTGGATGGCTGTGGCAAGGTCTACCAGGCGCGAAAGTAAGTTTCAACCCCGTCACACCTCGCCTTTGGCACTCGCGCCGGGCGCTTTGGATTTTTGCTTTTCTTGAGGCGGCCTTATCCAGCTCTCATGATGTGTCGACGTGCATTTGGCATCTCACAGGGGTCTGGCTTATCACAAGCGACAGCTCATAATGTGAATAATGGCAAAGCGGTGCGTGTCGGCGCGTCCGCCCGGCTACTTACTTCATCCCAGCGCCCTAGCTCGGGGTCGCCAGGCTCATACTGGACCATGTCTTCCTGTTTCTGTCCAGTATATTTGCGAAAACTGTCAGCGCTCGTTCACAGCTCCGCAAGGCCTGGAGTACCACCGCAAGAAAAAAGTCTGCCATCGCAAGGTGCGATTGCAGGCCAACTGCTCCTCAAACTCAATTCAAGGGGGTTACTTTTGGGTGGACGACTAGTTTGGTGAGACTTTTGTGCGCGCCTCACGCAGGAATGCGCTACACATTTAGGAGCAACGGAAGCAAGAGATCAAGGAAATTGAAGACAAAGCCGGACCAAAAGGCAAGCGGGGTGGGCGCCGCAAACGAGTGACCACCCGGCCCATTGACGCGGATGAGGATGGTACCATCCAGCCTCGCCCGGAGACCATGCTCTCCAACAATGTGCTGATGATGCAGAGCCACGTGCCTATGGGCTATGGCATGGCCCCCATGGGCCACACCCCTCCCGATCAGCCCCCCATGCCTGGGTATGCCCGCACTCCTCTTGCATGGGCAGCTTGCTGTCAAAGATTGGAACGGCTATTCTATCTTGGTGTGGGGCGCCTGCCCCCGCCTTCAACTCTCCTCACATTGGTCCTTTTGGCTGTTTTGATTGGTGGGATTGTGCAGAGCCTTGCCGCCAGAATACTATTCACAGGACATGAACTATCACACGCAAGTGCGGGGCCAGATGCCTTCCATGCCTTTTCATCCAGGTGCCCATCATCAGCACCAGCACCTGTCACAAACACAGGCACAGCATGTCCATGGACATTCACACACACAGCAAGCCACCACGCATCCATCTGAGCATGGCCACCAGGTATCATCTGCAGTGCCGTCTCATGGCCATCACACTCAGGTATGTATGCTTGTGATAGTGGGAAAGGAGAGGAGAGGAGGGAACCAGAGATCTTTGTGCACGTGCATGCTCACTGTACCGACGATCGACTTGGCTACCATGGCCCTAATCCTGAATTACACGGGTGTACCAGGTGGACATGGTGCCACACTCTGGCCTGCAGCCGCCAATCGCTCTGTCGTCTGATGGGCTTCATCCCCAAGACTCGAGCCTGCAGCCACAGACATCAAGTATACCCGCAGAGGCCATGCCACTGGACGCCGGCACAGCCGACGCCGGTGACAACGACGCGCCGCTGCCGTTGCCATCTGGGTTACACCCCGCAACCTCACTTGGAGGGTCAACAGGCGTGGGCATGCCGCCTGAAGCTCCCACACATGCCGTTGGCGTCCCAACGACAGCCGTGTTGGCCAGTCAGTCAAACCCAGCCCACCATTCAGCGGCACCAGCCCCGATGTCATTACCACCGGCGTCAATGGTGGAAGCTGACCGCCGAGGTGCGGAGGAGCTAGCTCCAGCCGCTGTGTCCATGTCATCCTCTACAACTGCAGCAGCCTCCATGGGCACGAGCCTGCCTATGGGTGGCCCCATACCCGTTGGCCTTGGTCCGGCACCAGCTGGCCTCGCGACAAGCAGCGGGGCACCGCAGGCCTCCATGTCAATGCCGGCCGGGACCTTACCCCATGCAAGTGGAGTGATGCCCACGGCAGTTCCACCTCCTGGCCCAAGGGCTCGCACTGGGGCTGCTTCCAACTTAGGGGGTACTGCCTCGTCCTCAGCCAAACGCAGTCGGCGACAACGCCGCTCCAAGAGTGAGCAGAACGTCAACCGACACGGCCCCTATGAGTTTATGCCCCCACTTCGTTTTGTGGCCGATTACAACGAAAGCTTGCACCAATGCGAGAGCGAATGGGAGCAGGCGTATGTTTTGCTTTTTTGTCATGCCACAGCCCCGTGTGAAACTTCGCTCTACTCAACCTGTGCTCAGGCGCAATGAAATGACTTCTTTCGATCACATCTATGGCGGATGGCAAGCCAACAACAAACTCTATGTCGCTGTATCGATTGAGGAAACGGTGGCAATGGCAGAAGCTGCCCGCGCCATGCATATCACCATGTATGCATCCGAGGTGGTATCACTCAACCCTCACCAGTGCGTGGTGGCCGACGATGCAACCCATCCGCCGGTATGTCCTCTTCGGTTGCTTGCATTTCAGCATTACATTATTTTGATCTCACACTGGTTCTTCTTCTTCATTTTTTTAATGTATTTCTTGATTTATTTTTTCTTCCCCATGTCTGCCTTCCTTGTCACATGACATTGTGCATCGTTGTATATACGGGGGACGAACAGGCGCTGGCGATCAACATGGCCGCCAACTGTCACTGCGCGGCGTGGATTCCGAACGATGATGCCGGTACGACCTTGCATCCTCGTCGTTTCATTCCCATCCGATGGTCAAAGCAAAGCAGAACGCTTGTGCGGGGCAGGCTATCGCCCACGTCAAAATTGTTCATTGCGGTTGCTTGATCTGACTGCTCTGTCGTCAATTGTTCCTCATTCATGTTTTGTTCAACTTTTTTTTTTTTTTTTTTTTTCAAAAAAAATCTGCACAGATGCGGACAGCCAGATATTGGCAGTTGTCTGTACACTCAAGGGAGAGGATGCAGAAATCCCCGCCGTTGAAACGGCCATGGGCCAGTCTTTCCTCCAACTGTGGCGCGTCAACCTCAAGGGGCAACAAAAGGGTGCCAATCTCGAAGCCTGCATGATCATTGACAGCCTTGTGCTGGACCTCAAGTTTCATCCCAATCCCGGGGCAGCGGCTCAGGTGTGTTTTGCCTTTCCATGATGTTCATTTTTTTGTCTTTGGGTGTTTATGCTTACTCGGCTCAGTTGTGCTGTTGGGTTTGCGAACCAAGATGAGTGAGCTTGAGTCCTTTTTTTTTTTTTTTTTTTTCCCCTTTCTCTCTTGTGTGTGTGTTGTTGTTGTTGTTGTTGTTGTTGTTGTTGTTGTTGTTGTTGTTGTTGTTGTTGTTGTTGTTGTTGTTGTTGTTGTTGTTGTTGTTGTTGTTGTTGTTGTTGTCTCCCGTTTTCGCGAAACGTACATGCCTGATCATCCCAACTTTCATGGCAAACCTTTTCCATTAGGATCCGGGTAGCTGCGCCCGCATCGGCCTTCTTGCCTGTGCTCTCTCAAACGGCCGCGTTGTCGTATTTTCCATCCCAAATACCAGCGAGCTCGTTCAGCACGTTAACACCAACACTTTATGGGATCGCATCTCCGTTTATCGCATGTTTCCTGTGATGGAACTGGTGGCATCAACTTATCCGCCCCTAAGTATCGACTGGTGCGTCATTTCAATCTTCCCGCGCAACCGTCAAGCATTTGACGCGCTTAGTCATCTCTATCTGCCTGCGATCTGTGCTTTGGCGTGAGCGTAGGGTTGCCGATCGCTTGGTCGCGGCCTGCCATGATGGTTATGTTGGACTGTGGACTTTTAATCCACAGACACCCGTTTCCACTGACCCGTAAGTATCGCCCGTGGGTGTCTCATTCTGGTCCTGGTGTTTCCTTTGGCACAAGTGCCAATTTCATCTTGTACCAGGCCTTGCGCGAGTGCCTGTCTGCCTGTCTGCCTGTCTCTCTTTCTTGCAAATGAATGCGCTGGCTCGACGCACATGGCAAATGCCCTCATTGTCATGTCTACGGCGGTGCAATGCGTACTGGCAGGGCGGTGACGGTGCGCCAGGATCCGACGGCCCTGAAGCAAGTCACATCGGCATCTTGTACCTGTGTCTCCATCCACCCACTCAAACCCAACCTGGTCGTTACGTCTGGCACTGAGTGCCGCGTCCGGGTATGTTTATTCTGCCTGGTTCCCGTAGCTTGCTTTGCACAAGCTCATGATTTTGCCGCCGCATCAACGCTGCATCTCGTATGTTCTCGTCAATGACAACTACACCCAGGTCTGGGACACTTCCACGGGCCCTTTCATCATGAAGTGGGAGTACGACACGAGTCCTCAGCCCTTCAAGTGGTGGAAGTTGACAGCGGGGTGGCACTTTCATCGCGAGACCCCCATCATTGGAGGCTCAGAGCGAGTGATTCGCATGTGCCACAACAACAAGATTGGAAGTCCCGTGCTCAAGACACTGGGCGAGAGCCACACCCTCAGCGTCTCACAACCCTGGGGCGTATTGGTGGCGGCGGGGTTGCACAACGCAATCCAGTTTGTCAAGCTGCCCAAGGGGGATACGGTAGGCAGTCGATCGGCTTGCCATGTCTTTCTGCCGCAGCTGTTTGTCGCACTCGGTTTCTCCTGGTGGTGCCTGCTTGCAATGCCGGGTTGTGGATGGGCACCCATGGCGAGACATGGAATGAAAGTGGCTTGATACAAGGATTCAAAGACCTGTAACTCATGATTGCCAACTGTTTGGTGTGTATACAGCCGCTTCCCGATCCACGTAGCTACATGTCCGCGGCTTCGGAGCTTTGTTTTGTGTATGGAACCAACATGGATGGCACACAATTGGCCGACGATTCTGACCATGCCGTTTTCCGGTTGTTTTTGATGAAGGAAGACAAGTACCCGTTGCAGGTGGTGCCCAGTGATGTTCAGCGCGTGGCCGAGGTATGCCAATCGTCCCCCTCCCTCCCCACCCCCCCACCCCCCCTTTTTTTTTTCTTTCCACGGTTCTGCTTTTTGCTTTTTGAGGGCGCTGGGGAAGGGGACGAAGTACCAAGCCCGTTTGATGCCTACTTCGACCAGCCACAGCGCCAATCAGTAGTTGTTCAATGCTCACACAAGCGAACATGACTTTTCCTTGCCTAGGTGACCATGTGTCCCAATCTTGGGGCTTCCTCGTATTGTGCCGTCGCCATGGCTCAAGGCGCTCTATTCATCGTTGATTCCAAGCGAGTGGTCGAATCACTCCTGACCTCACTGAATAACCAACCACCCTCCAATGCCAAAAAGGCATCTCGAACCAAGAACAAGGGCGTTGTGTTGCAGGCGCCGAGTGCACCGTCCTATCCCTACCGGGGACTCGCACCTATGCACGGGAGTGCGGCGCCGCCCCCTGCCATGATGGTATCGCGCGAAATGAAGTACGGTGCCTCTCCCATGGCGTCATACTCCTATGCCCACGGCTATGGCCTAGCGCATCCCAACATGCACCTCGGGCCACCGGGTACGATGGTTTATGACCAGCCCATCACTTCAGCGCACGCCGTGCCGCACCAGCCTGTGCCCATGGCTACAGCAGCGGCGGCAGCCGCAGCAGCAGCCGCAGTCGCTGCACGCAGCCAGCCCAGCTCGAGCGCATAGCCGTATCAACTCGAGTCATGTTGGGCATTCAATTTTTCTTTTTTGTTGCTTTTTTGGGGGGGGCAGGGGGAGGGAGGTTGATGATGATGATTGAAGCAAGTTGTTGGTTTTTTTCTTCTTTCCGCGACCGCATGCCTTCTTCTGGCTCGCCCTTTTGTTTTCATGTATGAGAGATCCCAGACCTGATAATCGAAAACGAAGTTTTGACCCATGTTAGGTACACTCGACCATTAAGAACAGCTCAGTGGCAGCAGCACCCCAAGACATGTTGCACATTCACATGTGGATGTGGTCTTGACATTTGTCATCCCCAATCATTATGATTTTGCAGTTCGACACATGTCGCTCGCCAATAAGTGGTTATTTTGCGTCGAAAGCACGTCAGCACAACACATCAAAATCAACAGTAACCTCTTAAACAGCCACATTTTGCTTTTCTCTGACAAACGAGTTTATGGGAACGATTTCCCGAATCACTCTGGCTGTTGGTGCAGGAGGCGGGAAGAGGGCGCCGTGATGCGAGTCAAAGCAGGCGAGGCAGGGCTGTGCAAAGCAAGTTGATGCTTGGTATGCCCCTTTCTCTCGGTTTGAAGCAGCTGTGAGGCAAACCCTGGCCGTAGCCACGGGTGATTTTGAGGCACGACCACGAGAATGGCGGGGCGACATTGGGAGGCCTCACTGGCCGAGGAGCACCGACCGCTTCTTCTGCCTTGGGCGCATAGCATCAACGAGGCTCACGAGGACGATGCTGGTCCGATACAACCAAAGCGTCAGCGGCTTGCGTCGATTGATCTTCTGCGTGGCGTCATCATCATCATTATGGCATGGGATCACTGCAAGGATTTTCTCTCGAATTGGAACGCTCACGATGGTGAATCGCATGACAGTGGCCCCATCCTGGGGACGCACAGCGAGATGTGGTACGGGCCTCTCGAGCTATACAGCGGCAAGCCGCAGTACTTGTTTGCTCGCTACATCAGCCACTTTTGCGCCCCAGGCTTTAGCTACCTGATGGGGACAGGCATGGTGCTGCTGGCATCATCTCGGCGCCGCAAGGCCGGCTGGTCCTCTGGGCGTATCATGCGCTACTTCTTGCTGCGTGGCATCGTGTTAGTGATTTTGGGCTTTGTGGTGCGCGCCGCCACGGCCATGTTAGGACTCATGCATTCCGCTCGGGTCGAAGCGAGTCTGCAAAGGCCTGTTGGAGCACATGCCATGTTTGGGTTTTTCCAGGTGATGACATGCCTCGGCTTGCAGATGATGGTGTGTGGGCTTCTAATCGAGCTGTTGCAAACGCTGGAGCGCGCGACAGGCCTGGATCAGGTTACGTTGCGCGTGGGTTCTTCTCCGTTGCTGAGTTGCAGTCCCAAGTCGCTCGTGCTCTTTGTACTCGGCTGTGTGTGCATGGCCAGCACCATGCTCACGATCCATCAAGCCCAACACGGAGATGCGGCCGCTCACCCAAGTCCGCCGGTAGCGCATTCTTTTCTGGAGATCATGAATCGGGTTTTGTTTGTACCTGGACCCTTCTTCCAGCCCTCGGCGATCATGGCATACCCGCTTGTGCCCTGGCTGGGGGTTTGTCTGTGGGGCGCTGCCGCGGGCTCTGAGTTTACGACGGCCCCGCGCGTGGCACATCAGCGCGCACTCCTCAATGGCATCATCCTTCTTGCGTGCTTCGTCCTCATCCGTACGCTCGGTGGACGTCACCTCAACCTACGCGGCTACCCCATGGGCGAAGGCCACCAGTATCCCTGGAACGCATGGTGGACCGTGTGCAAGTATCCCCCGGAGCTGGCCTACATTTCCATCACAATCGGAGCTGACCTGGTGTTGCTGTTTTTGCTTTCCACGATTCAAGCCAAAGCCCAGATCCCTCAAATCATTCTCAAGTATGGACGCTCGCCTCTAGCCTTTTACTTGTCGCACTTTTTTTTCATTTCGACCTTTTCCATCATCATCTACTATGCCCGCGGCCGCCATTTTGGGGTGCCACTGCCTGCGGTCATCCCGCTCTACCTCTTTGTGGTGTTTCTGGAGTACTTTATTGTCAAGGCGTATGACCAGTTCAAGTCCAGTAAAGGCCCGGATTCACTCTGGCGCTTGCTCTGAGTCACCGATCAGTGCCGAATTGAGAATACCAGATAGATAGAGAGGTTCACAGAGAGGGGCAGCGAGGGCGCCGTATCTGCTGCAACCCTCGCAGTCTCTGCTTGATCGCCGTGTGATATCAACTGATGTGAGTGAGTTTGGAGAATTCACTTTCGGATGCCCAAAAAAAGGAAAAAAGGAAAAAAAAAATACCCCATCGCTGTCGCGCGCTTGCACAATAGACGAACCCAAGCAGCGCATGCATGCATGCATGGTATCATGATATCCGTCATGCACAGCAGCGGTCATGTCGCGGGAAAGGCATGGAGACAGTTTTCTGGTTTTTGGTCAGGCTTTTCGCGTAGAGCAAGAGGTGGAAGGGGAAGCAGGACGGTTCCAATGGCTCACGTTGACTTCTCGGGCTGCCGCTTTCGCTTGATTGTCCTGCTCATGTGTTTTGCTCTGCTCGGTTGATGGTACAGGATCGAGGTGGTGGGAGGCGTTGCTTCTCGTCAGATCTCCCAAGTCTTTTCAAGGACACCAGACTTACACAGATTTGGTGGTCGAGTGATCGAGACCATGGCAAGCCTGTTCCGAAATCGCAGCTTGCGTCGGCAGCAACGCAAAGCTGCGCGCCAACAAAAGCGCGAGGCTCAACAGGCCACGCCTGCTGGATGGCAGGGCATGCCAGATGATGCCCTGCTTGCCTTTCGCCGTGAACAAGGTATAGCAAAGTACTGAGGCCCGGATCTCCCTCCTGCAGAAGAAGAAGAAGAAGAAGAAGAAGAAGAAGAGGAAAAGGCGATACGGCACATTCGTTTTGAATGACTCTTCTCAACGCATCGACATTGTTGCGGCACGACGCAGGTTTAGTTGCGGGCACAGAACGCCTCATGGACTGGGGTGAAGTACGTCACAATGTGAAACCACGCAAGGAAGCATTCATGATGATGCAGGCCAACGACGGCTCGTGGCAAGATATCCGCCTCGTCCTCCATGCAACCTACCTCTCAGTGCAAAAGTTTCAGACACAAGCCCGGGCTCTGGTATGCCAATACCCTCAAGCCTGGCACTTGGTCGTCCCAGTGGCCGTTCGACTCAAGCCATTTGTTTCTTCTGCACACACACACACACACACACACACACACACACCCTCACTCTCTCCCCGCTCTGGCCTTGTCTTTGCAAACAATGACGACTCGCAGGACGAGCTACGCTCGAGTCTACCCAGTGAGGCCGAGCGGGAGGTCATCGTCTACAAACAGCCTGGCCAACCCCTCGGCATTAGCATCAAGGGTTTGTCACCTCGCCATGAGTTTGGTCTTTGACGTGGCTACATTGTATCCTTGACTGCTTCGACTTTGTCGCGAGTACGAGGGTGTTCACACGACTGGGTTCATGCATGCTTGTATTTGGTGGTGGTGCAGGTGGCTTGGAATTTGAGCTTCCCATCCTCATCAGCGAAATCAAGGAGGGTGCTCCGGTCCATCAGTCCCTGAGCTGTTTTGTGGGCGATGCTATCATGCGGGTTAGGAGCGACCCGTTCCCAACGCCCAGCTCCAACGCACTCGCCATCGCTTTGTTCAAGCGCCAACATACCCGCTTGCTCACTTCCATGAGGACTTCTTGGGTGTTGGTGTGATTATTTGTTTGTTTCCTTTCTTCTCAAGGTGGAGGGTGTACCTCTCCTGCAAGTCACCCAGGAGCAGGCCGCTGACATTTTGCATCGTCAGCTTGACAAGGTAATGCTCGCCAGCGCCAAGGTACCGGAAGAATCAATGGCGTGCTGATTGCTGCTCTGCTGCATGCCGGAGGATGTCGCAGACTCGAGTTCGGATGACAGTGCGCTTCTTCTCGGCTGGTCTGTTGCCCTCGTACCACCCCCGTTTGGACCAGCAGTGCCAACATTTTTTGGAATATTCTAACCTTGCTGGTCTATTCTGTCTCAACCGTCTCGCACATACAGCTCGGCATCGCCTGCTGGGTCACTACCTTCGCTCAGCTGCACCTGAAGACCCCGTTTTGAATGACAGCAGCGTCTATGAGGTGTGTGGCTCGGCTATCGCGCGTACATGGACATGACCGACTTGTGCGAGCCTTCGTTTTGTAACACGTGCCAACCTGCACAGGTTGTTCGGGTACCCCTTGCTTGCTGTGCTGTTTCACGTTTCGTGGACAATGGCGATGCTTACCAGTACGTGTGCAAAGGGCAAATTCACGGGCCGTCAGTGACTTTTCTCACAGCCTGGGCATGCTCGCCTCGTGCACCGCCAGAAGCCACAACGCGTTTGTTGTTCGGTCGGCTCACGATGTCACGGCATCTGTGGTCCTGCGTCCACGTACGTCAACTCTGTTTTTGACACACAAGAGTGCCGGTCTCAACGATTTGCACGTTACCCATGCTTGACAAACAAACGTGGTTTTGGCCTGTATAGCTTACGGTGATGAATCGGATACCATCAATTGGATCAATGCAATTCGCTCCGTGCGGGACAGCTTGCCAGCGCCCTCGGTATGATTGTGAGCATGATCTCTCAACCCAACCAGATTAGTGGTCTTGAAAAATTCGCTCCCTCATCCGGAACCGTCGGTCAATGTGCGTTTAGTTGCGAAAGCCAGATGCCCCTAACAATTTTACAGGACTCGTCCTTCGCATGGGCCGCGTGCACGAGCGCCTCGCGGATGGCACGTGGCGAGATTTTTTCATGGTCCTCACAGACCACGACGTTGCCTTTTATAATGCGGCGCCATCCAAGTCCGAGGACCTTCGACATGCTGTCACAGCCTATCCACTTCTTGCCGTTCGCTACGTCTCTGGCCATCGCAAGGTTGATCCTCAAAGCACGGTGCGTGACGGGTCTTTATAACCAGCTGTGAGCAAATGCAAAACAGCCATGTTTGTGTTCAATCGGCAGCTATCCTGACCTCTCACGCGTGTTCTTAGCCACTGGATCAGCGTGAAGCCGAGGAAGGCTGCTTTTTCTTGCGCCTGCCTAATGGACTCCGCCATTACCTTTCGGCTGGTCCGTTCTTTGCTGCGAGTCCTTCGATCTTGCCTTCTTATTGGGTTTGCTGACCGAGACTTCAAGAACCCCTGATCAAACATGCTGTTTTGGTTTTGGTTTTGTTTTCCCTCGATCCATTGCCTCCATAACCTCAGGCTCCAAGGCTTGTGAACGTGCATGGGCTACTTTGTTTCAACAACGCTGCGATCATGCTGTTCGGCTCGTCGGGGTGAGGCACTCGCAAGGATTCTATACGTAACCCGCTCTAGCTCTTCTTGGTCGCGCGCATCCTTAACCTTTCTGCCTGTTGTAACCTTTTGACGGAGCAGAGCATCTCGTACAGCGCTTTTTTTCAGGGCGAGGAGGTTGCACTCACCCTCAATTGGATCACAGGACTGTGGCTCAACAACGACACTCGTGGCAACGTGAGGCCTCTCTCACCCTCTCTACTCAGTATGCAATGACTCACGCATCGTGCTAACATTTATCGCTGTGGTGCACGTCTGCCGTGGCTCCTACAGAAGACCATGCTATGGCATCACCCGTTCGCCCATCTCAAAGCGACAGCCGATGAAGCCAGTACGCGAACCCTGGAGCTGGACTTTGGAACTCGGGGAGGGCGCCAGCGCTTGCAGGTTGAAAATCCAGGCATGGTGGTCTTTGTCATTGGCAGTTTCTTGGGCTGCCATGTTCGCAGTCGTCAACAACTGCAGGACAATGGGCTTTTGGCCATGTGAAGCACCTCCTTTGCAACGGCCGTGATGCTTTGTCATTGGATGTTTTAATTTTTGATGCTTTGTCATTGGATGTTTTAGTTTTTGACTGTCATTTTTTGGTTTTTTTCTCCCTTCCCTTTTGCACATTCGGACCTTGCAGTCAAGGCGTGCCAACTTCGGCGAGATAATCCGGTTGTGTGGCAACTTCTTAATCTCCTGGACATGTGCTGTGCGAGCGAGGTGAATGCTTATTCAATTACATATGCTGTATCTCTCCTGATGGTGGGACTCAAGATTGAGGTTTGCAGTTGTCACAGGTATGCCTCTACAAGTCCTCAAAATCCTCGTCTGTCAGCTGATACTCGCCCAGTTCAAACTCAGCTTCATTGACTGGGTGCAAGCGGCGTTCCAGGTCGCGAACTGCCGACACGGACAAGACCAACTTGTCGTGCTTGAGAATGTTGTACACGTGGGCACCTGTCCAACGAGGGCAAGAAGGAGAAATGGGTCAAAACACGCATTTTGAACGATTGGAACAGAATCAGTCGACCAGTGACACCAAGGCACACTCGCAGTGGGTCAAGCACTCACCGGCAGCTGACGTAGCGTGGAAGGCAGGCATGTTACGGCAGGCCCACTTCAGGTTCATGCTGTCTTCATCATGACTATGTCAAATAGGCGAACACCAAGGGGGGGGGGGGTCAGAAATAAGGCACGTGCAAGATTGGGGGCAATGATGGCTTGACAGCATAAGCTGAGCTGGGCTGGGCTGGGCCGAGCTGGCCGTACCCATAAACAAACAAGGCCGATTCCAGACGATGTTGCGCAGCAATTTCGGCCAGGCTCTGAGCAGATGTTAGCAAATCATAGAGGGTGAAACAGAATGGTGATGAGCCGATCATGTAAAGTTGGAGCGACAGATTGCGATCATACGAGACTGGCTTGGGAGTGAGGCAACCCACGCAATGTAAATGCATTCCCCCCCACCCCCCTCCAAACAAAAAAAAAAATTTACGACGCACCTTGGTCTTGAGCGTGGGCAGAACCAGATCATCGACGATGACTAGATCATTCTGTTGGTAGCGGGTGGAGATGGCAACGCGAACGCCCTTTTGGCGCACTTTGCGCGGCAGCTTTTGTGACCAGTCGCGAGGAATGGGACCGTGCACTACACCACCACCACGCCAGTTGGGTACGCGGATGCTGCCAGTTCGCGCGCGACCCGTGCCCTTCTGGGGATGGGGCTTGCTGGAAAGAATGGAGCCAATCAAGAATTGAATGAATACATCAACAGGAGAAGAACAGGCAAAAGAGCCTGAAAGGTCAAAACTGATGCGGGCTTGGCGAGGTGGATGCCGACAAGAGTTGCGAGGCGTAGGACGCACCGGCCGCCACCACGAACTTCACCCCGAGTCTTGGTCTTGGCATTGCCCTGAGACAACAACCCAGATGTGAATGGTAAAATGCCAACGCGCAGCATGACAAGTCGTGCGAAAAGCAAGTGGAGTTGGTAAAGTGTTTGGTATGGGTGCGGGCTGGCAAGCTTACCTTTCGCCACAGGGCGCGCTGCCAAACGACGACGCGATGCATAATATCGACACGGATTTCTTCACCAAATACAGTGGGGTCCAATTCCATGACGCCAACCTATGCGAACATGAGCCAGATGATGTGGGCAGGCAATGGCAGGCAATTGGGCATGATGAGTAGGCCAAAGGTATCGGCAATCAAGACGAAGAGTGGGGCGAGCACCGGCGAGTCGCATACGCGATGGGCATTGGGAAAAGAGTTGATCCATGCTTGCAATGAGGGTGAGCTCATGGGCGCAATATCTTCTTCAGCAAAAGAGGCTGAAGTGACCGGTTGGGCCAAGCCGCGAGCTGCAGGGCAAGAGGGGAGGTAGCCGAGGAAGGAGGTTGGTGAAAGGGGAGAACCCAGGGTGCAGGGTGGTGGAACCGGGTATATGGACGTACTGGCCAGCACCAACGGAGCAGCTAGACGTGGCGCAGCTTGCTTTGCAAGAGCGGAGTTTACCGCATGCAATTGACGGGCTTGTGGCCGCACCACCTCCTGGCTCACGCAGCACGAACGGCACAATCAAACAGTGAGAACGGCGAGGTAAGATGCAAGCGCGAGTGTGTCAATGTGAGAGTGTGAATGTGTACGCATGTGTGAGTTTGATAAACTTTTGGGTGTGCTGTTGAGCGATGAAAGCGCTGAAAACTTGTTCTGAGCGTGAGTCAACGCCAGACGCCAGAGCCCGGGCGCCCGAGTCAAGACGGGTTTCCCGACCTGAGCACGACGCAGCATCATCCGGACGAACGCCATCGTGGCGGCCGAGGTACTGCGTAAAACACTTGTTTTCAACATATGTAAATGTCATACTTTTCTCTCTCTCTCTCTCTCTCTCTCTCTCTCTCTCTCTGCTCTGCTCTGCTGCTTATGCCTATCTTTTGCTTTCCACTCTCTGGTGTTTGTGTTGGTGTTGGTGTTGTTTTAAGGAAGAAGAGGAGGATGGTCGGGGCCGAGTGGCACCTGAAGGGTGATTTTGTGGCTGGGGCGGGCCGGGGGTTGACGGTGGAGGAGTGCTTGAACCTTGATTTGCGGCAGATAGCAGAGCCCGTTGTGACAGATGACGTGCCCAAGGTGGGACCGGGCGTTTTGCCAACCCCATTCGTTGCTCAGGTATGTGGTTGCAGTCAGCTGTTTTTGCCGCGAGCTGGGTGCTTGTGGCAGGCACAAAGCAATGTCCAGCAGCTGGGGGAAGATCCAAGCCAGGGCCAAGGATGTGGCGGCTTGCGACATTTGGACGGCGGGATATGCTTTTTGGGGCTGCGATGAACAGCGCTCATACATTATCGTAACCGCTGCGCTACTGTTGTCGATGCCACAGGTGGTGTCAGTGAGCAACGCTTCGGCTCCAGCCATCAATCAGGATAGCCAGGGCGCCCCTCGGATGCTCAAGGTGGTCCTGACCGATGGAAAGCGCAAGTTTACGGGTGTGGAGTCTGCGCCCTTGTCTGCTTTGTCGCGCAAGACCAATCCGGGTACCAAAATTCTGCTCACCGAGTCCAACTTGCCCATTTTCAACAACATCGTACTCCTGAACCCATCCAACTGCCGCGTCCTTGGGGGTCACGTACCTGAACTTGTGGAGCGCTGGGCGATGCAGGTCAAACTTGCTGAGCACCAACGCTCACATGCTGTCCGCGATGCCAGCTACCCTGTTTTCTTACCCTTTTCTGCGGTAAGCGCCTTTTAAACCATTGTTTCTTTTTTTGTCTCTCTCTCTCTCTCTCTCTCTCTCTCTCTCTCTCTCTCTCTCTCTGTGCACTCCAACGCCCATACCCAAGCTGCCGCCCCACGCCTCATCGTCATTATGACCGTGTGTTCAGGCCAACCTAAAAGCTCTCAAAACAAGTAAAACACCCCAGGCAAAGCCAGCTGTGGCTGATGTGACTGAGGATTCAACCAAGGGTGATTCTCGGGATGATCGCGAGCGATTGTCAACTACGCAAGACTCCAAGCATGTCATCAAGTCGCTGCAGCAAGCCACTACATCACTGGAATCTCTCAAGCTCCAGCATGAAGCCAAGCAGGAGGCTCGGCGCGAAGCTCGAATGCAGAAGCGCCGTGGTCGCCGACGACATGGTGATGACGAAGTCTTTGAAGACGACCCCAACACGATTACGCTCGAGCAATTGCAGCAACGTCGTGCTCAGCAGCAGCAGCTTCCCAAGCAGGGCTCGGTCCCATCACCTGCCCAGGAGGGTGCACAACCTGGAAGCACGCGGCCTTCAGCTGAGGTTGTCGCCTGGCGCCAGCAGCTGGCAGGCATGGGTTTTGCAGCTGACAGCATTGCGACGGCTTTGGCCACATGCGACACTTTTGATGCTTGCTTGGAAAGCCTCCTGCAGGGGCTTGCTGGCCAAGCAGACCAGGCGCATCCTAGTGCCCAAGTGACCTCTCATGGAAGAGCAGACCGTGCTTCGGACTTGACGCGGGGAACTAACCAACGGCGTGAGGAGCGGCCGCAGGGCCACGAGCGAGCGAATGCCACACACAAGGGTGCCAAGCACGGGTCTCGAAGCGAGGGTGCAGCAGAGCCAACTGCACGCTCTAATGACAGTCGCCGTTCAACCTCTGCACGGGGTCACAAAGATCGCCGTCAAACAAAGACTCAAGATCAGCAAGGCTCGAGGCCCAAGCGACACGACCCATCAGCGCGCCAGGAGGCAACCGAGCGTTCAAACACGCGGCACGCGACACAGGCACAATACCAGCCCCCTGCCTCCCGGACTCAGACAACTCATTCATCCGGATCAAAGCGACAACAACAGCAGCAGCAGCAGCAGCAGCTACCAGCGCCTTCTCAAAGCCTCAAGCCCTCCCACACGGGAGCGAGCAAAGAAAAGGGCAAACATGCCAAGCAAGCCGCTCGCCATGCGAACTCTGCCGTGGCAAGTGCACCTCAATTGCCCGCACCAGCCTTGACCCTGCCGTCTCCTTCGCCTGCTGTGGTGGTTCAACTGCGCGACGGATCGTCCGGCCCATCTGACGACGGCCTCTCACTGGGCCGGCCCCTAAGTGCTAGTGGTCGAGGTCGAAGTCGGGGTGCGAAAGCAGAAGGTCGCGGCGGTCGCGGACGTGGCGGATCTTCGCGCCGGTCGGTGCGCCAATGACCCATTCATAATAAACCATCCACTCCCGATCAGATCGTTGCTCTTTGACCCATACTCCACGCGCTCTCGAGCTGAATTGACGGTCTTGCCAGTGCCATTTTGTATTCCTTTTCTCTATTAAATTTTTTATTTTTTTCGTTTCTTGAACATAAGGAGTTGGTGTGCTTTGTTTTTTCTGCACACGAATAACGCGATTTGAGACGCTCAAAAGCCTCGCGCGTTTCTCTGCTCCTCCAGCCTCCAGGAAACAGCAGCAACCTTGTTGGTGGCGCTGCGCTCTCGTCCGAGCGCGTCTTGGTGCGCTTGTCGGGACGTGAACTGTAGTTGGAGGGTGTCTCACAAGCAACGTTGGCTCGCTGTGGTTCGAGCCAACAGAGCATGCCGGCTGGCTGCCACGGCAAGCCTGGCGATCTTGCCTGATCAAGCTTGAAGCGCACAGCGCGCAGCAACAGCTGTACCTGCACTGCGCAAGGAGAGACGCAAGCGGGGTCCTGGCACCGCTGCTTGTCACAGGTGTACGGGCTGGTCCAGTTGCGCGCGCAGGTGCATGCACCGTCAGCATGGCCTACACAGAGCCTGAGGCTATGCCCTTATTCGGCGAAGACAGTGCGCATGTATGACCTTGCTCGATCCTTAACTTTCGGCCCGAGCATCTCCTCTCTCGAACTCATGTCCACCGTTTGATCCTCGTGTAGGTCCGTTTGCTCGACATCTTATACGGCGTCGCTTCCTTCATTGCCACCATGGTACGCGTGATTCAGACCGGAACTCGTGAGGTGAATCAGCTGCTCTTGTGCCCTGCTCTCATCGGACGCCTGTATCCTGGGAATCCATCCAGACGGCCGTGGTCATCACCATTATCCGGGGACAAACCAAGCCACTGCATTATTTCTTTGGCGCTGCCATCGTGGCCATTGCTATTCCACATTGGCTCTTGGTATGCTTGACACCCTGCTCTGCTGCAGCCCTGGACCATTACTTGCACTCCAACAAGCTGACTCGCGTCTCGTGCTTTGGCCCACCACGACACGTTGCTGACGTGTGTGTGTGTTGACCTCTTGTGTCTTCTTTAGGTCATTTGGTTTCGGCGTGGTGACTTGGATCCGCGCATCCGCTACATCAACTTGGCCATGTGCCTTGGTCTGGTCGCCCTGTCCGTGTGCGCCATTTTGTACGCCACCGAGTAACGCGATAACATCTACCATGCCCTGGAACGCTCGCTACCTTACAAGGGTTGTGACCATGCACAATTCTTCTGGTGTGCGAGTGCGTTGTGTCTAAACGTGAAGCAGACCACTTGAAGTCTGTGGATGGCTAGGAATAGAACAACTATGAACAACCTCATCCTTGGGCCGTCCCGTCCGCAATGACTCTTCTCGCTGATGATTCGTAGCTCTAGGCATTATCCTGCCATTGCTTTATTGCTGCTGCAGACCGCTTCTGATCTGTCGAGCCCTTGTAATCATCATCTCAGAGGCCCCGACGCATGCGTGCCCCCCGACTTTGTTTTCAGCGTTGATCTGAAACTAGAGAGAGGGGCCTTGGCAAGGGATCGACTATATCATAGGTTAAGGGAGGGCCTGCCAGAAACGAAGTGTGCGGGGTTGTCTTTCATGTCTCTCGAGCAGAATAAGAACAAAAAAAAAAAAAGGGAGAAGAAAGATAAAGAATACACTGGACAACTCACACGTGCAAAAAAAACAAAAACGATACGTGGATACTACGACCCAGGTCCTACAGTAGTAACGGTGCGCTGCGCCCAGGCCCTCGAAGAGTGGTTGGCGAAAACAACAGAGTGTTGAAAGAAAAAAGTAGAAGGAGCGGCGTCACAAAACTTAGCACCAATGGAGCATGCAATCCATGGTGAGTTGCAAGTGGGCCAGCCACTCATGAAGCGCATCCTATCAACGTGAAGCGACCGGTGAGCTGGCTATCTCTGAGCACAAAGAGGGAGATGGCGACAGCGCGCGCCCGACAAAGCTGAGGCTGACAAACCTTGGTATCGGTGCTCAGGCGCCAGGCCACCTCAACATGGTTGCCATCCAGGAGAGCCTGCTGGCCCTTGATGTCAAAGGTGTTGGCTCGTGCACATTGTGTGCGATCAGTCTTGGCGATATGAACCTCCCGTTGCAGCAGCAAGCTCATGTCCAAGGCTCGCTAGAGTCAGTTGTCAAAAGCGAAGATAATGACGACAATGATGATGAGCATAGAACAAACAGCAAGAGAGGGCGGCGGAGAACACGAGAGTAAAGCATGCCCAAGCGCGGTGTTTAAGTACTTACCAACTCCTCAGTGCAATCTGTGTCCTTGTAGACGCGCAGGTATGCGTCAATCAAACGACAGTACGTGCGACGCCACTCAACGCCATCACGGATGGTCAGGTGGCCTTCGTAGCTCGGCAAGCTCAGAGTGTCAAGACGATGAGAGATGGAGATTTGCTCCGTCAGAGGGAAGCCCTGGCTATGAACCTCAAGGCGCAATTCGTGACTGTTGGCGGTGCGAGCGGTCAGCTTGCACTCGGCGGCGAGGCGAAAGCCACGACCCTCAGACCAGTGTGCCTGGGGCGCCGATGGCTGGCGTTGGCGGGGATGGCGGGTGCCGTCGGCCAGGCAGTCCATGACAAACTGTTTCATGCGCGCCAGCTTGCGAGGCGTGGCAGCCTTGAGCTTGCGCAGAGCTCGCTTGGGAGTGCTGAGCTTGAGATCAGGCTCGCACACGAGCTGATACATGAAGAACTCGCACGCGATTTCATAGGCAGAGGTCACGTTGGTAAACCGGGCCGGCGTGTGCAGCTTGATGCGATCAGTGCCTTGTTCAAAACGAACCATCTCTGTGGCCCACACTTGATTCTGGTAGGAGAGAACAGCAAAAATGAAGAACTTGCTATGCTCCGGTGCCTCAATGTCAGACCAATAAATAAGGGGCAGCTCAATGTTTTTGATGCAAAGGTCACGGGCGGCTGGGTGCACAGGCTCATCCCAGCTTGCACTGTGCTCGCGGCGCTCCTGCTCAATCTGTAGCTTGGCACGGGCAACCTCGTGCAGACGGGTCATATACATGATCTGAATGCCACGCGCCTCCGTGTCACTGCCCAAAAGAACTTTGTTAAGGCCATCAATCTCCTTGTTCAGCTTCTGCAGATCGTTGGCCATGTCGACCATGTTCTGAGGCCGCCACTCAAACTGCGTTTTGGTTGAGCGAAAGGATGGCGAGAGGACCACGTCCTGAAGCTTGCCTCGGTTTTGCGGTGTACGAGCATGCGCAGCGTGGGGCCGACGGGGGGTGCAGTACACGTCCGTAGACAAATACGTGTTGTCTTTGCCTGAGTGCTGGGTGTTGGCGTTGATCTCTTGATGGCTGCCGGTGCGCGCGGGCGATCCGGCACGGTGCTTGTAGGCACTGGGCATTCGAGGGGGGCTCAAAAGCTCACCCATGGCCAGATCGTACTCGGGAGCAGCTTTGTCGCTATCTTCAGTCTCGTGATAGCTGGGCATGCCCTCCACCGACACGGGCATGGCCTCGCCACGACAGGCAGGCTCAAACAGGTTGTCGTCCTCATCGCTGCTATTATCAGCCTCTTCGAGGGACTGGCCGCTCTGTTCGTTGAGCTGTTGCAGGTTGAACTGGGCCACGGTTGCAGCGCGGGGGCGCATCGAGTCTGTGCGGTGCAACTTGAATGACGCCGATGGCGACATGGTAGCATCCAGGAGAGCGTCCGACGTGCTCAGGTCCAAGTGCTGATTGTGAGCTACTGGATCAGCTTGGGGGGACAATGCCTGTGCCCTTTCGTTGGCGGCCACCATGGTGTTGTAGCGCGAGTGCACTGGAGTGGCAATGTAGCTGTGCTCGTGGGCATAAACTCGCTCGTGATCGAGGTACGACACAGATCGAGAGGGCCCAGTGGAATGGTCGGCCTCTGGCACTGCGTCAGGTGCGGCCATGCTTGCCTCAGCCTCCGCTGCGTTCATGATCTCCAAGTAAGCATCTTCTTCCGCTTGCTCGGGACCCTGAGGCTGGTTTTCGGTGTCTGGATCAGTCGACGACTCGCCCATCAGCATGTGCAGCATCATTGCAGCAGCAGCGTCAGTCGAGTCGCGTGGCTTGCTGGGGGGCGCGGCCCGTGCCGAGGGCTTGGGCGCGGCCCGTGCCGAGGGCTTGGGCGCGGGCTTGGGCGCGGGCTTGGGCGCGGGCTTGGGCGCACTCTGAGTGGGATTAGCCAGCGAGACTGGCCGGGCTTTTGCAGCAACAGGAGGAGCAGCAAAGGGATCGTTGCTCTTCGTGGCCACAACTTCGGACATGGGGCGTGGCGCCGCCACGGGAGCCTTGCGGCGCTGGGGTTTCGTGGGAGGTGCAGAAGTTGCCATGTTAGGCTGAGAAGAAGTCTTGAGAGCCCGCTGGGCACGCTATCGGGACGTGGCACAAGCGCAAGACATGCGCGGTCAGCATGTGCAGGCCATAATGCCGTGAAAACCCAGCCCAAACTCGCGGCTTGTTGGTCGCTGTCGGTGGTCTTTATCAATGACCAGTACCTGTCTTCACAATCAACTGGCTCCAGCCCCTAACTGCAAGCAAATCCTGGGCGCGCGCTGCTGCATTGCTGCTCGAGTCCCGACCCCATATCACTCCGCTTGCAATCAAGACTTACCCGCGCGGCACGCTCGCGGGCGGCCTCCTCCTGCTGCTGAAGCAGGGCATCCATGGCCAAGGTTCGTAAAGTACCAAAGTAAAGTTGTTCTTTCACCAAAAGAGGTGCAGATCTGCGTTGAGCACTGCCCTTGAGCAGGACAATTCAAGCTGCGCGGAGGGCTCTATATCAGATCAGAAGAGGAAAAAATGCGCCCGATGTGGCCGCGCGCGGGGTTGATGTGTAACAAATCAAATTTGGGCGGCAAAAGCTACAACACTTTCCACCGATATTTTTGTAAATGTGTATCGCTAAAAAACACCTCTAAAGCTATACACAAATTCATGGCCCAAGCAACCAAGTTCAGCGCAAATTTTCTCTGACGTTTTTTTTTTTTTTTCTGATTTTTTTTTTTTTCTGATTTTTGAGTTTTGTTGTTTGTGGGGGTGTGTGACCACAGCAGGCACAAGACCACAGCAGGCACAAGACGCGGCGCGAGTGACAACGGCGACGACAACGGCAGGAGGCAGCGGGCTGGATCTACCCGGACCAAGGTCTTGGCACTTTTTGTGGTGTGCATCAGACCGCAAAGTGGACGGTTTTGGATCGTAGGAGTACATCTGGGACGCATGCCCAGAGGATTGGTCGTGTAGGGTGAAAGACCAAACGAGGAGGGGAAGCACGGCGGTCAGCAGCCTCCGCCAAGGCAACCCGTCGCCTTGATACAGTGTTTGGCATCTGAGGGTGTTCAGAGTGGCCAGAGTAGATATACCTTCTTAATCCTCATCAGACCAAAGGCATGCCTCCGACATTTGCCACGACCTCCTCGGATGCCAAGAAAACGATTGTCGTCTCGGGCGCCAAGCGCGAACTCTTCAACCTCAGCCATGGCTTAAAGCAGTTTCAGCGAAAGCTCAAGTCCAACTGGAAGCTTGTGGCGTACGTACTCTTTCGACAACACCCTTGGAAATTGCCCCCGCATGCCGTTGCATCGCCGAAGCAATGCGTGCCGCTCTGACTTTCGTGTTTTCGGCTTGAGGAACTGCTGTCACAAACTAGCCACGACTCACACTCTTTTCTTTGTCTTTGTCTTTGCTTGGGCGGCAGGCTGAAGGATCAGTTGGTTCCAGAAAAGCTTGAAGATGCACACACGGTCATCTTCATGGGCCCACGCGACAAGTTTTCTGCCGCCGAGGTCTGATCTTCATCCCGCGCTCCGACGCCTGAACGAGCGTTGGCATGAAGGACGCAACCAGACTCACACCATCTTTGTTTGTTGTTTATTTGTTTGGTTGTGTTTCGGCAGTTTGATGTGTTGCGACAATACCTGGACGGCGGTGGCTCTGTCCTGATGCTACTTGGAGAAGGAGGAGAAACAAAACTCAATACAAACGTCAATTTCCTCCTCGAAGAGTACGGTATCATGGTCAACAACGGTACGCAGCCAACTGCAAACATATCCCACAAATGGCCCAGGCAGACGCATCGTGCTGATCAGCATGCTAACGCTTTGGGCTTGTGTGGCCAATGTCGCGGTAGACGCGGTGCTGCGCTCATCGTACTACAAGTACCACCATCCCAAGGAATGCCTGGTCACCAACGGCATCCTGAATCGGTGCGCCCATGAACCGTCAAATTGCCCGTGCTGCTTGCTTGCCATACCTCTCATATGAAAATCTGCTTGCTGTCGTGAAAACGGTGGTGTTGCCTCGAACAGCGAACTCAACCGGGCGGCTGGCAAGTTTGTTCCCAACGTCACGGGCGCGCCCAATGCCGCAGCGGCGGACAGGTATGCTTGATTGGTCTTGGTCGTGTTGTCCAGGAGGCTGGCATCAAAAGTGCTGTGGCCCAAAACGCTGATGGATGCAGCGCCCCGTGCTGCCATCGGATTCAACATGGACGCCTGTGTCGATTCACGGGCATGCTCTCTTCGATGCGCCGCTCTCTGCTGTGCATGGGTGCAGCTGCATCAAGTATCTATATCCATTTGGAGCCACCTTGACGGTCCAGCAACCCGCAGTGCCGGTTCTCTCCTCGGGCACTGTTTCAATCCCTCTGAATCGCCCTACTGGTGCCTTTTACGAATCCAATGTATGAAGTCGTTTGTGGACCTGCTTGTCACTCGACTGGATTCGATGATGGCGCTTCTTGTCTCACACGCATGGTCTGCTTTGGCAGGTTCGACCAGGCAAGCTTGCCGTCCTGGGCTCGTGCCACATTTTCAGTGACGAGTATTTTGACAAGGCATGTGACATGCCTGCCATGCCTGCGCGTGGACATGATCCCGCTCTTGAATCGCACTTCACTCATTACGCTTGGTATTGGTGCAGGAAGAAAACCCATTGCTGCTGGACGTCTTGCTGCAGTGGCTTACCACCGATGACATTTCTCTGAATCACATTGATGCCGAAGACCCAGAGGTGGCGGAATACAACCAGATTCCCCACATTGCCAAGCTGGCAGAGCAACCTCGTGGATGTCTACAAGACAGCGATGACGTGCCGCGTGATTTTACCCAGCTCTTTGAACTGGAAACGTTTCAGATTGATGCCAGCGCCGTACCTGCGGCCGTGCGCGCTTACGCGGACATGAGCGTTCCCCACGAGCCTCTCAAGTTGATTCACCCCCAGTTTGAGACACCGCAGCCGCCCCTGCGACCGGCCGTCTTTGCGCCGACATTCCGCGAGCTGGGTCCGCCAGCTCTGGATCTGTTCGACTTGGATGAAGCCTTCTCTTCCGAGGTGGTTCGCATGAACCAACTGACCAACAAGTGTACGTGGCGCGCTCTTCCTCATTCTCGCCGCTGTCCTGTCCAGTTGTCCTTTTAGCCTCTCACGCGTCGCTTGCCTGCGCTCTTCCTACTCCTCCATGGGGACAGGCACGGATGACGATTTGGAATACTTTGTGCGTGAATGTGGTGACATTCTTGGCGTGTCCCACCGCCTGGAGAGCGACAAGCGCGATGGCAAGCACATTTTGGAATACGTCATGCGGCAACTCGTCAACTTTAAGAAAAGCACGCAAAGCTGAGAAAGTTTTCGCATCTACCCTCTTTGCCTGGGGCACGGTGTTGCCGTGGAGAGCAAGAGCATAGCCTGTGCTTGATGTGACAGCTGATAAGCCTGCTTGCTTTGGCTTTCCGCTCTCAACGGGCTTGGGGCTGGATCGCACGACAGGCGCAGGGCGCCAATAGTTGTGTGCTATTGACCAACGTTTTTCGCTTGTTGTATTTTTGTTTATCTCCGTTTGTTAATCCACTCAAAAGCGCATTTTGGCCTGCACCATCATGAATCCCTAAGGCACAAAAAAAAAAACGCTTGACGGAGGGCAAGGTTCCCGTGAACAGCCTGCCTCCTTCACCTCCCGTGTTCAGCCGTCATAGAACAACAACAACAACAACGAAAACAAACGCACGCACCACAACAAGGCGCAAACCCAAGCTGATTCAGCATCTGGGTGAGGTCATTAACCTTACAATAATCAACACTAACTATAATAGGTGACCTTATCGACTCTGCACAAACAGCGATATGATCTACAATAACCCTCATTTCTTCTTCCTTTGCAAACATTTTGGTCAGTGATCACAGTAACATTTGGTCGCTGCTGCGGTGGTTGTTGAGCCAGCGACAACGGCGGTGGGCGACGGCAGCGGTCGCGTCGAGTGCCTGATACTGTTCGAGCGATCGTGGGACGAACCACGTCGTTGGGCGTGACGGGCCTTTGCACATCTGATTCGGCTTGAACACGAACGCAGGCCTTCGCTGCCAGCAGATGCCCGTCCTCTATCGCTGACGTGTGCCGGCAGCAGAAGTTTGGGTCCGGTCGGACGTGAAGCACAGGTACGCCCCCCACCCCCTACGCCCTAATCGGGCTCCCTCTCCCGCCCAAAAACCAAAAAAAAAAGGAAAGCTCGAGCTGCACAGGCTGTCTAAACCCCCCTTTGCTAGCATGAATTTGCTGAACGCTGGTGGCAAATTGCTGCATAACATTTTCCCCACTTGCTTGTCCTTCCCGGCCAGCTCATCTTGATTTGTGTACGATATTATTAAATTTGGCTACAATAGCTTCGCCCGACTAACTGAGATAGCGGGAACGCGTCTTCCTTGCACGGATTGCCATCACCTTGGAGCACCAGCCAAAAGAGTCACGCAACCTTCCCAACTTAACCTTTGGATCTTTCAAAGCTGTTGCATTCAACACCCAGGGCGCCGGCTCGGTCATTCGCGAAACCAGCGGGATGGCTGCCCCCATGGGTGGGCCCGTGCCTCTTGAGCCCCCCAACAATGATACTGTGAATAGTGCGGCTGCTTTCGCCGCTGATTACGACTGGGAGCTCAAAGGTAATGCCCCTCAAACAGAACGTGCTCAATCACACACCACCCTTGCCACCGACTGTGGGTTCCGCGAACGACATCGGCCTCTGTTTTTCTGATGACGCCGCTCGTTCCCCTAGTTATCAAGTCTCAACTCAAGGCTCTCAACTCTCGTACCAATAAGAAAGTGGACCAGCTTCGAGACTTTTCAGAGTTTTTCGTCAAGCAGGTAATCCTGGGCTGTCCAGCCTCGCAGCCTGTTCTTCGCATCAAACGGCATATCCCCTTATCACTGCTTGCGTAGGCCGAGATTGAGCTGCAGTATGCCAAGCAATTGGAGCTGCTTTACTCCAAGTATCAAAAGCCAAGGGCGGAGCGAGGTGCTGTCGCCAATCTGCTACGGTATGTGGCTTCCTTGCTCGTCAACCCAGATTCGCCCTGGCTTCTTAGACTTCTTCCGGCAAGATTCCGGCCCATCTAATGCCCACCCTGCTTTTGTCCGTCTAGTCGGCCGAGCACTGCTGATGGTGAAGAAGACGCACACTCCATGTTGTATGTTCAATCTTGATGCAGCACCAAACCCGCACGGCCAGCAGCAAAACGTATAGATCCTAACCGATCGGCTATCCCTTGAACGTAGCTTTGACTCCAACAGCGTGGGAACTGTGGCAGATGCCTGGAATGTCTTGTTGGAGCAAACCCGCAAGCGGTCCGAGTCACGCCAGCGTTTTGCCAACAACCTCATGGATGAAATGCGAGTAAGCATTTCGTGCTACCCATGATCGGTTGTTTATTTTTCAAAACTTAGCCTGACCCTGGGTTGATTCGGCTTGGCATTCACCGCACGCCTTGGCTTTGTCTGGCGCACAGCAACGCCTCGAGGTCCTGGAGCGTGAGACTGTCACCACTTCGAAACGCTGCCTTGAGCTGGGATCCAACCTCCACGTAGGCCGGGTTTTTTTGGTTCTTTGTTTTGTTTTTCGTCTGCCAAAAGAGAGAGCGGTCTGCTCGGCGCGCTTTTGCCGTGAATAATAGTCCTTGGTCCTTCTCCCGCCCCACAACGCTTCCTCATTTATAGTTTGAGCTGAGCCGACAGTTCAGGACCGTGGATGAGTGTTTGAAGACGTATCAAAGCTCGGCGAGCAAGTATATTCGCGCCGAAGGCGAGCTTGACAAAGCACAAGAAAAGGGCAATCTGAAACGCAAAGAGAAGGTGGGGTGAATTCCGGCCTCGTTCTTCCGTTTTGCTTCATCTTGCTTTTAAGCTTTCTGCCTCGGACATTTTCTTTCCCATACCAAGGCAGTCCTCGCTTTGACTGAATCTCGCTTGTGCCACACCTTCCTTCTTCTATCATGCCTTGCTCATTCTTTTGGTCTGCGGCGTGTGAAAATTTGACAGATCAAGGATAAGGTGACGGCCTCAGATCGCAAGGTCGTAGCGGCTTTGAACGACTATGTTCTGAGCCTACAGGGTGCCAACGCCTACCGCCACCGCTACTACCAAACGGAGGTGGCTAGTCTTCTTGATACCATGGATTTGCACTATCACGATTCGGTCAAGTACATGTTCCAACTCTACCGTGACCTGTCTATGCAGGTCAGTCAGTGCACGCATGGCCGGCTGGTTTTTTTTTTTTTTTTTTTTTTTTTTTTTTTTTTTTTTTTTTTTTTTTTTGGGGGGGTGTGTTTGTTTGTTTGTTTTTTGTGCCCACCTAACCTTTTGCGACACGATTGCACCGTCCGTGTGTCCATGGCTTGTGCCATGTATGTTTATTAGGCTGAAGCCGTCGTGGGTAAAAGCATTACCGTGGTCCAGGAAGCAGCAGAGGCCATCGTTCCTGCCAAGGAGAAAGCCCAATTTTTTCAAGAGAACAATTATGTGTTTGTGAAGGTGACCGATTTTGCATTCATTCCTTGTCGTGACCAAGATGAGGTGAGTATCGCCCCCTCATCCGCTGCTTCCCCTAAAAACGGACGAAATCCCACGTGCCTGGGCTTTGGTCTGTTCGGCCCCGCCTCTTCATCTTGTCGCCCTCCCCTCTCTCCCCTTTGTCTCAGAACGCTACTCTGGTTTCCAATGACGACACACGCAAGGATCTAGTGTCAAAGTACAGCGACCTGGAATCACAGTTGACAAAGCTCGACAAGCAAATTGGCAAGGAGCGTGAAACCCTCAACACGATTCTTCAGCTTCGCAAAGACATTGGCTCCAAAATCATGTACCAGGACGATGGAACGCCAAAATCTGTGCAAAACTCCAATATGTATGCCGATGCCTATGGCCGAGTGGCCCTCAAAAAGTGCTCGCGTGCTGTCATTGCCTCCCAACTCGCTCTTATGGGTCGAGTTTTGGGCGATCAAGTTCCCTCAAGTGTGGACCCTCAGCAACTCATCGGTACGAGGCTCAAGGCTGCCCGCGTGTGTTTCTTGCCGTTGCTAAACAAGGCGTGTGTGACATGCCTCATGCTCATGCCTACCCCCTTTTAACACCTGTAGCCACAGAGGATGACGCGAACCCCCTGCCACAGCCGGATCCCGAGGCTGTGCAGCTGGCCGAGTCCAACTTGATGGAGGTAGGCTGCAAACGCAAGCGACCAAACCTCACATTTCAAACACCACCTTTTGTCTTATTTTCCTGCACCATGCTGAATCGTCAAAAGCTGGCAAGCCACCGCTTTCATTGCCCATGCTTTTGTTCACGCTGCCTCCTGTCCTTGACTATCATAGCATCGCCGCAAGTCAATGTCCTCTGGTATGCGGTAAGCCAGCTTCGCCAAGCACTGCTTTTTCCTGCATATCTTCAAACCCTGCATATGTGTGGCGAAGATGTTTATCTTGTATTCCTTCATGATCTTGGTGCACTCGTTTGATATCGTCCTTTCTCTAGAAAATTTTTGCCAGGAGGCTCAGACAAGGCGTTGATGTCGGGTATGGGCGAAGACAGCGATGACGGGTACGTTCAACCACGTTGTGCTTCCACCGCGATCCTCGCGCTCAAAATCAATACCATTCATGTGCAACCCCAGGGAAACGACCTCTCAAGATGGCACTGTGCCCGTGGATGCTTTATCGCTGCAACCTCAGCCCAACACGGCACATGAAGGTACATGAGCGTCGTACACACCCCTCCCCAAGTATTTTGGAGCATTCTCTGTCATCGGCCTTGATTGCTGCGCCACATCGCCTCACAAACGGATGTGATACTTGATTGCACCTTACCAGATGCCCAGTCAATCGCCTCAGCACCCCCAACACAGTCACGCTCTGATTCCGGCCGTCGCAAGGCCCCCGGGCCGCCACCAGTTGTTGCGGGGCGTGGCCCGGGCACGCGTCGTACCAAAAAGCCAGATCGACCACCAGAGCCTGCCCTGAAGGCGGGAACTCAGCCTACCCGCCGAAAACCTCCCAAACCCCGCCGTCCAGCTGGCCCAGGCGAAGCGTCTGCACCCAGTACCGCCAGTCCTGTGGGACCGCTCTTTGGTGCCAACTTGGTACTGCTCTCCGAGCAACTCGGTGGCAGTGTTCCAAGCATTGTGCCCAGCTGCATTGCCGCCCTCGAGACCCTTGGTCTTGACAGTGAGGGTCTCTTTCGAGTTCCTGGCTCTGGCAGTCAGGTGCGTTTTTCCTCGCTTGCCCAGCGCGACCCTGACGCATTGAATTCTGACGCATCAATGGTCCTCGGAGACGGAATGGCGTTGGAGTGCCTCACTTTGCCTCTGTTGCTCATCCACTAGATCGACACCCTCAAGTCAGCCTATGATGCCGGGCAGGACCTCTTAGCAGATGGGTCCATACCCGAAGGCATTCATGCTGATGCTATTGCCGGATGCTTGAAACTCTTCTTGCGGCAGCTGGCAGATCCCGTGATGACCCAACAGCACTACTCGACGCTCGTCAAGGTCAGCATGAAGCTCGCATGGTGGACTCGCATCTTATCTTGGGCCGTGATCGTGTGCGATTGTTCTCATACTCTGTTGTTGCATCAGATTGGCAACATGGCAGGCCGGGATGCACGTTTGCAGGCCCTACGTGCTGCCGTTGAGCGGCTGTTGCCCCCTGCACATAGCCAAGTGCTAGCCCTTATCATGCCCTTTTTGAAACGAGTAGCTGCACACGCCAATGTCAACAAAATGAGCGTGAGCAATCTGGCCATGGTCTTCGGTCCCACCATCATGCCAGCACCCAAAGATGACATGGGAGCGATGCTCCGCGATGCCACTGCCATCAACACACTGACTAGCGAAATGATAGAGTACTCCGAGTACATTTTTGCGAAATTTGTCCCTAGCTCTAGCTCAGCGCCCACCGCCGCGGCGACGATTGACGCAAGCCCGCTAGAACCAAAACATGAGACGCCCACTTCGGCAGCAGCCGTATCCGACGAATCGAAAAGCCCGGTGCCTTCGACCAAAGCGCCACAGACTCAAGCGCCAGAGAAGAAGGCAGTAAGCGAACCCCCCGTGCCGACAGGGCCCCCACCTGCTGCTCCAGCTACAGGCAACACCGCTGTGGCATCAGCACCGGCACCTGCACCAGCACCAGCATCGACATCGACATCGGTTGCTGCTCCAGGATCCACGCAAGCACCTACCCTAAAACTTGGTGAGAGTGAGGACAGCGACCTCCCTGACGATTTGCCTTTTCCTCCAGACGAGGATCTCGGCTTTTTCCAGAATATTCAGTACGCCGTGGCCAAGCACGATTACGAAGCTCGGAACGACACTGAATTGTCCTTTAAGCGGGGAGATCGTCTCAAAATCTTTGACCAGCCTGACTTGAGCTGGTGGACTGGAGAGCTCAATGGTCGCGAAGGCTTCATTGCTGCTGCTTATGTGACGTTGGAAGAAGCTGGTGACGACGCTAATCTCGATGACACGGTCACCTCGGCCGACGGCTTTAACATCTCAGGCACGGACCTTGCCAGCACGCCCGCCAAGAGCGAATCGGTTGCTGCAGACACAACCAACTCTACATTGGACGACACGCTTGATAACTTAGGATTTCCTCCCGAGTCACCCACGGTGGGGTCATCAGTTCCTTTTAAAAGACGAGATAGCACGGCGTCCAACTTTTCCCGCACCTCCTCTTTTGGCCCTAGCTTTGCGCCGCCACTGCCCCCGAGTAACTCAAGCTCCAGCCTGAGTCTTGACTTGCCACCCCCACCACCCTTCCCAGCAGATTTTGACCTGCCTCCGCCACCTGCGCCTTCGTCCGGTTTGTCATTGACACCACTGCCTGGGCTCGCTTAATACTCTTGATTTACTGACATGCTTCTCCCCTGCTGCTTTTTCCTTTTTTGCCCACCACAGCCGACGATATGGATGATAGCTTTCTTGATTTGCCGCCTCCCCCGCCACCGGCTCCGCCCGCCGATGATACAGAGGCCTAAACGATGATCGGTTGCTCGGTCCAGACTTGATTGATGATTTCTTTTTGTTTTAACCTTTGAGCCCTGATAGCCGGGAGCTCATAAAGCAATGCCTATGCGTGTGTATTTGATCGCCTTAAACTTTGGCTTTGTTCTGCCAACATCTTGATGGGATAGTCATCTTTCTTCGATTGGCCATCTTGACCACATACATTCGACACAAACAGCTTTCAAAATCATGAGAAAAGATCGGTCAAAATTAACTACGCACAACATGCACACACCCAGGATTTCGCGAGAAATCCGTCCTATCATCATTGTGAAGAAATGACAGAGCTCAACTCTGATGCTCAATGTGCCATTGCTGTCTGAGAAGACCGCTGCTCTGCGTGACCAAGCTGGTTGCGGCGTGGCATGATACAAGCAAACAGTTGGCCCAACTGGACATGACCACGAGCTGACTTGTTCAGCATGTTGCTTAAAGTCTCAGACGCATTCATGCACTCAGCAAACAAGGTAATATATTGGACGTCCTTCTTCTCCTGACCCAATCCACCCACTGGCGCTTCCAGAATTGTGCGAGCTTCCTCACGCTCGGTTTTATCAATCTGAAATCACAATTAACGTGTGATGACAAACGATGATTAGCCTTAGCCTTCACCCGCACAATGCGACAGGAAAACAAGCAGGCGCTTGGAACGAACCTGCTGAAGTGCATGTTCCACATCAAACAAGTTTCTGAAGTAGCAGAGCTGCGTGTACAGCTGCTTATCAGAGTAGACCTGAAAAGGTTCAAGGACAGAAACGTGTGGCGTGTGAGAGCGACGACATCACCCCACCCACAAACCACAATGATCGAGACCGCACCTGTTGCAAGGTTCCGCGGCAGCTAGGGTCCAAGCAACGCCGGCCCAACACGGAGAGGTCACGTGTCTCGCGATGCCCGCGAGGGCAACCAGCGTCATCTGAGATACATGTTGGAGGCATGTGCCAGATATACAAACGGTCAGCCCATGTCTTTATCAAAGCGTCGCGCAAGCTGTTCACCATCTCCACACGCCCTTGTCACCAATCAAGCGTATCTGAAAGGAAACGAGAAAAACAGGCATGGTCCTCGTACCGCAGATGAGGGCGGCGTCATAGTATCTCGCGATATACTTGCGCGCTTCCAGTTGCATCAGGTTGCTCAGGTAAACCGGCTCGAAGCTTGCGGTGCACTCAGCATTGGGACACAGCAGGCCGCATTGGCGCACGCCATCCTTCATGCGGAATACACCCGGTAGGTCGGTGCGATGACCACACTTTCGGCATGTCACCGTCAGCGGTTCGGCCGTCTTGAAGCGCTCCTCGTCTGAGAGTTGTGTTGAGAGAACCATGGTCATATCCGTATCGACATCGGTGACCTCATAAGCGCGCTTGAATGTTGTTGTGTCGAGCCCCAAGCACTCAGCAATCTAGCCAGGAACAAGCGCACACACGGTGTCAGCCGTGATCAGACCTTCTTGCTAGTCTTGGTGGCAGTCCACTCAAGAGGAGCCCTCGCAGAATTGCGAGAGAAAATGCGGCAAGTGCAGCCGCAATTCTTAGATGCTAAGCGGTCCCTGCGCGGCTGAAGGGTGTACCTTGACATTGTCGGTGCCCTCGATGGGCTCCAAGAGGCGGCTCACGACAGGGTGCACCTGGCTCTTCAGATAGTACTCGTAATCGATCTTCAAATGCTCATTTTTGCGAAGCTCATCGGGATGATAGCCGCGTTGCCTGTTGCGAACGAGGTGATGTGGCCGATCAGCGCCAAGGCAATGGCACCACGGTCAGGCTGAGGGAGTGAGGGTCAAAAACAGCGGTGGCAGGCATAAGATCAGACTCACGTGGCGCCATTGCTCGTGCCGTCTTCACAGACGATGTAGGGAATGGTATCGTGCATGCGCACGCTCTTGCCGGCGGCTTTCATACGCAAGGCCACTTGTACGTGAGGCAAGGCTTTGGCATCTCCGTAGGCACTTGGGTCCTTGGTCAGCGACTTGAAAATGATGAACTTTTCCAAGGGCACCTTGTTCTCTGTTCGCACATCCTCGGACACCTGACGCAGATGCTCGTGGCATGTTTCCACCAAACTCTCGGTGGAATCTTGTTCTTGGTTGAGCACTTGATTCAAGATCCAGTTGCCTGCATCCGCGGCCAGGGCCGACCAATCACGGCGTACAATATCCAGACCCTGCGTGGAGCACATACATACATACATACAAAAACAAACAACAAGAAAGAGGAAGAAAAAAACAGTACAAGGATCAGAGAAGCGGAGGAAGCAGCATTGCTTTAAGGTTGCGAAACGCGTGCGTGCGTGCGCACATGCAGCCTCTCTTGATCTTAGGTGCGCCGATGACCATGCTCACCTTCACTTCTTTGGTTAACGTGACTTTGCCCTTGGACATGTCCATCATAAGGGCAGCATATTTCTTCTTTTTCAGCAGCAGCATGGTTTTGTAAATGCCATCAAGGTCAATCTCCAGCTCTGAGTACAGCGAGTTGACCTCCTTCTTCACCTACGAGTCCAATAAGGGAGGCAACCCCTGGTTGAGGCAACCTCTCTGATTTCTAAAGCAGAACTGGAAGTGGAGGGGCGCACCTGGTTGGCCAAAGTCACGGCTTCGCTGTAATCAGTGCACCGGGAATTGACCATGATCGAATCCGTGTCACCTGTAAATGCGCCAATCGCTCGCTATCAAGGAGCGCAAGAGATAACCCGAGTTTAACAATCTGAAGATTGGCTGGCATACCGTAGATGACCTCCAGACCCAACTTGTCCTGTGTCAGATCCACCGTCTTTTGCAGAATTTCACGTCCCTTGCTCGTAACCAAAGCTGCAATGGCTTTGGCATAAAATCGAGAACCAGTGAAGCCCAAGCAGCCGTACATGCTGTTGGCTGTCAGCTTCAAGGCCTGTTCATAAATACAAAGGAAAAGCATGGCAGCGGTATCAACACTTGGTACACAAGATTGGGGGGCTGGCAGATAGAATTGCATGCACGAGACGAGCATCAAAGGCCCAACGCAGAAAGCAACGCCCACCTTTTGACGAATATCATATTCGGCAAGCTTGCTTGCATCTGCTTCAGATTTGATCAAGGCCTTGACCTACCAACATTCAAGAGATGGAGGAGGAGTGGGGGGAGAAGGGGAAAAAAAGCTTTCATCAGCCCAAACCAATGGCGTGGACCTGTGCATGCCCCATCCATCCTGCCGAACCTGACGACGCTTTGCGATGAGTGTGCGCAAGAGGTGAGGAAGCACACCACGGGGCAAGGCTGAGTCTGGAACCTAGAAGAGGCGAAGGAATTCGCAAACAAGTCAGAGCAATCGGATGATGAGGCATGTTGAGGCACTAGCAAAAGTTGAATCGGATTGAGGGCAAGAGCATTGGCAACAGACCTCAGCGATTGCGTCTTCTTCTTCGCTTGACTTGGGCTGACCGTCGTTGCGGCCCACAGTGGTGAAGCACAGATTGTATTCTTGGATAATGGAAGGATACAGCGAGTTGAAATCAAGAAGCAAAATCAACTTGTCGTAAAAGCCCTAATGAATGCACGAATTGGAGCCATCTGATGAGCTGTGTTTGCCCGCTTGAGTTGCAATAGCACAAGGACAAAGCGCTTGAGCAAGCAAACGGATGCACCAGACCCCCACCTTTTTGGGCTCGAGCACGAGGCCGCCGGAATACGCGGGCTTGCGACGGCTTGAGGTCGACTCCGTCTGCCAAGAAGGCACAAGCAACAAAGACGTTTAAGAATTGAGACTTTTGACGCCGAGTTGTGAGAAGGCAAACGCACAAGCGAATGCCCAATATCAATGAGGCTGTTGCCAAAACACACCGGCTCGTCTGCCAAGTTGTCGGCTTTCTTTCCTTGCTTGCTATTTTTGATAGCTTGCTTCTCAGCCCACGTTGGCTTGTCGGGCACGATGTACTTGCGACGATGGAACTCGTGACAGAGAAGAAACTAAACAAAGATGTTGAGTAAGCCGATGTGAGCAATTCCACGGCCTCTTCCTCCGCTTGCTGGCTGTACCATACACCGAGCCGAAAGAAACGCCATCAAACCTCATTGCGATCAGAACGGCCACGAGATAGGGTTCGCGACATCAAGCCACCTGTAATGCTATTGACAAGATGGTCATTGAAGGTTCAAGAAAAAGTTAAAAAAAAAATAAAAAGAAAGAAAGAAAGAAAGAAAGCCAGTCAAGTTTGGATCATGCGCAACCCCAGTCCCCTCAGTATGAGTATTTGTACGCATCAGGGAGGGAGGCGCCTTATGCCAAAACATACTTTGTAATTTGCTTCATCAAGGGCAGCACATTGAGCTTGAACATGAGGGACAAAATGAGGTAGGCATCTCGTTCAACATGGTCCACCAATTTCAACAAGCTTTGAGTGTTGCTAATTTGTTGGAGCATGAACATGGTCTGAGATAGCTTGGAGCTGGCAGGCGAAATTGCAGGCGGGGCTTTGGTCTCATGGCAGTATGAATAGATCAATCGCAGGTGTAGGTTGAACATACCTGTACAACTTGGGCAAGGCATCCTGCTCAATTTCCTCGCGCTTGGCGGCAAGCTGGCAGGAGGCGAAGATGGCAAACGTGAAAGTCGGTGCGAGCGGCGATGGGTGATCATCAAAAGAAGAGGAAATTGGAGCTGCGATGATGACTGATGCGATGTACCTGTGATTGAGTAAGGGCCGTCAAATCGTAGCTGACTTGACGAATGAGCTCGCGTGATGATGTCTGCATGTCCATCACAAGGCGACCGGCCAAGAGATCTCGCTCCATGGCCACGTTGCTTTGAAGTCCAATTCCACTCTTGAGATTGGGCAAAACGGTGCGATGCAAGCGGCCAATACGCGACCAATGCGGAATGCGCAGCTCCTTGATGCTGTGATGTTTGAGGATTTGCGGAGCCAGGATGAGAATGGAGATACGGAGTGGTTTCTCGATGAAGAACAACTCAGCTTGTTTGCGCACCGATGCAAGAGCACATCCAGATCAAAGCCAAAGATATTGTGGCCCACAATGACATCCGGGTCAATCTTTTGAAGCTGTGTGATGAAGATACAGAAATCGGCATGAGGCAATTTGGAAGACTTGCTGTTGAGCCAAAAGTCGAAACAAACCTTGACCAGGAAATGAGAGATCAAGGCACGCTCATTAGGCAGCGTCGTCACGCTAAAAACCCACGTCGAGATTGAGCACAAGGAACACCGATCAGTTTGTTTGTTTGTTTTCAACACACATCTCGAGGCGGGGGGCCATTCGGACAGGGAGACTGACCTGCGCTTTTGCTGCTGCAGCTTGACAGCAAAATCCAAGGGAAAAGGGTTATCACCAAGTTTGCGGATATTGGTGATCTGGGACAGTTGTTCAGTGGGCTTGCTCGTATTCCCGTCCAGCTGCACCTCCTGGTGTACTAGCCCCGTCATGGCCAAGATCTGTATCCAGATGGATGGCCAAACCAAGGCACCATGGTGAGCACTCCGCCACGACATCGAGACGCTCGAGTCTCAAACCCATATCAAAGAGTGAATGCAAAGTCGCACCTCGTGCATGTGCGTCTTGTGATTAAGAATGGTCTGGAGAGAAAGGGCCATGACCGTGAGAGGCGGGGCAGCCGGGGGGTCCTCAACCTTGCTGATGCTCTTGGGGTCGACTGCGAGAGCCTCCAGTTTGCACCAAGAGATATTCTTGGTCGCACCCTTGACATTCTTGATGCGCAGCCAGCAAGGCCCCATCAGGTCGCGCTTCATCAGAAAGCGCTCCAGAGGCGAGATGTTGGTGCCAAAGACTACACGCAATGTCATTGCCATGGTTATGAGCCTCAACAAGTATATGTGACCGCAAGTTGAATAGCCTTGTTGGAAAAAAAAAGCACAGATAAAAACAGACAACTTGCTGTGCGACAATGATCAGTCGTACCATGACTGAATGTCTGGCCAGAGAGATCACCGGGCAGCGCGGGCAAGGCTGGTAGAGTGCAAATCAAGCATGACGAGTGAGAGACGTGGTGAAACAATGCAAAAAGCACAAAATGTGAGCCGGGTGCGACGCTGAGCTGTCAGTGCAAGGACCTACTGCCGCTGTATTTGATTTTGAGCACATCCACCTCCTCGGGGACATCGGTTTTGTCAAAGGCATATTTGCGTTTCACGGGCTTGCTGAGGAATGGGTTGATCTTGTAGCGGCTCATGATTTGACCCATCTCCTCATAAACATCAGCCATGCTCACCGCCTCATTCTAGCACCGTTGTATAGCAAGGCGTTGTTGAGCCACTGTTAATTTACGGTGACGCGGGATGCATGCGCCAGCTCCATACCGTCTCAACCCCCTCGCGATCGAGGCGAAGGCGGCGAGGGACCACAAAAATGTTGCGCTCCAGGTTTGCCACGGTCAAACAGCAGCTGATGTAGGTTTCACTCTCGGGATGATAGACCTGGGACGAACAAAACCAAACCCCCAATTTGATGTGAGCAAAGATGGCATATGCGACTGCCATCGACGCGTTGCCTGACCTTTCCAAAAAGGTAAATGGATCCATCGCCACAATTGCGTGAGACCTCAAAGGCATCCAGCCAGTACATGTGCAAGACCTGAACACGGACGCGGCCAGGAAAGATGACCGATGCCAGGTAAGAACTAGGAGTGTGGTATTCAGCGACAATCTAGGGCCTTTGCAATCATGCTTGAAGCGCAATTGCTGATACCCACCTCCTCGCCTGATTCCAAAGTGTCGAGGGGCAACTTGGTGCTGTCCACCTGCACATGTTATTCAACGTTCAGGTCGCCGAGGCAAAACAAAAGGCAATGGCATTGGATTGGCTCAGCTCAGCAGACAGGAAGGTGGACAAGCTCTGAACATACCTTGATTTCAGCAATGGTCTCAGCTGGCTCAGCGTTGGGACGAGCTTTGTGCCAGTCCGTGGTATCATCGGCAACCTTGCTCCCGCTTACTTTGAGGTAGCCGGGCTCTATGCGACGCGAGTCACAGAGATTGGGTTGAATTCAAGCTGAAACGGAACAAATCTCAGCAAGCCCCATTCAAGGAGCTGCGAAATCTCTGCCTCTAGCTGTGAACGGAAGAAGGTGCCATGAAGTATTGAGTTGGAGGCACGTACCGGCATCATCCTCTTCTTCATCGTCTGAGACATCTACCGTCGCCACTGCCACGACCTTGCGCGTTTTAGGGGAAGTTCTGTCAAGGAGATGACAAAGGATCGTGAGCCAAGCCGAGGGGCCATGGTAGGTTATTGCACCTGATTCTGAGCTGCACCCCCGTGCAGCGACGTGGAAAAAATGCAGAACATACTCGTCACGAACGACGGAATCGGTGGCCTTGGAGCGTTTTGCCGGTGAGGCGGGCTCTGGTACGGAGACGCTGGTAGCACGGTCGCCTTCACTTGGTTCCAACTTTGGTGGCTGAGCTGCAGCTGAGGGTGCGTCAAAGTCAGCGCCGTCGCTGTCACCATCGGGATGCTCAGCTGCTGGTGGCTGCACTCGCAAGGCACGCTTGGTGACGGTGGGCGAGCTGGGCGGTGAAAGGTCATCGGCCAGATCCGCCTCAGGGCCAGGCTTGGCGGTGCTAGCAAGTCGCAACTGGCCGTCCTCTGCAAGTGGCTCATCCTCAAGCTCCTCTTGTTTAAAGATATTGAAGACAGCGGCCTGGGCTTCGGATTGGCCGCCAAAGAGTGCAAGCTGTTTCATCGAGCTAAGGCAGAAGGAAAACAATGAATGTGAGGTCGACTGTTTTGCTGACTCGTGCAGACCATGTTCGTGCCAATGTACGCGCTAGCGCACCGCTTGTTCTTGCGACCGCGGCGAAGGACACCTTGGGCACCTTGACTTTGTTCGGACTTGGCCTCGGCCATAACCTCTGCCAACAAGGCATCTTCTGAAGTGGCAGTGTCGGCCTGGAGCACGTGTCATGACCGGAGCATGGGGATAAGAGCAGCGATTGAAAAGAACAAGCACGTTTGAGAGGAGATACCTCATTGAAGCTGAGAGGTTAAGGGGGGGGGGGTGGGGCACTCACCTCGCCACGCTTGATGACAGCAGCGCCAAGCCGACTCCCTTTGCCACCAGTGAAGAGCGAATTTACGCGACGCTTGGGCGCTACATGTGGTTCACAAGCGACACAATACGGAGAGATGGCGAATCAATCAGGTAAAAAGCAGATGGAAATCGAGTCTTGACATGATGCACGAGGGCAAGGTCTTCAAAGCCTACCCAGCTTGCGACGACGCACACCACCGGCAGCATGGCCCGGTGCTCGGCGGCGAGCTGCAGGCACAAACAGAGTCGTGAGTGGAAAAAAGGGCCGAGCTGTGCTTGTCATCTGTTTTGTTGGTGAAACGAGGATGAACAAGGGGAGGAACAGGATGCAAGTCGGGCCAACCTCGCGAAGCAGCCGAGCTATCGCCATCGATGAAGTCTTCCTCTTCAAAAAAATCATGACCATCGTCGTAGTAGCCGCCGTAATCGCCTGATTCGTCAGCCACAACGAAATCAGCTTCAGCCAGGCGTTGTTGGCGCAAAAAGTCGTAATCGTCTTGATCAATCTATGATCGGACGTGAATGGGTCAGGGCTTTAGTCAAGCGTGGCTCAAGGAAATGCAGAGAAAAGGAGCAACTGCACCTCTTCGTAAAACTCTTCGACAGCTTCGGCCTTGAGATAGGCGTCGCGACCACCCTGTGTAGTTGAACTGGGGATGAGACAAGGCATGCAATTGCCAAAGCTAAACGGGCGAAGGCGCGGGAAGCGTCATACCTTGAGAATATCCTTGACCGAGTTGCTTTTGGCACGATTGCGGCGAGACCGTTGACCGTATGCCGAAGAGTCTGTTGCAAATGGAATGACCAGCACATGAGACAGAAATCGGAACAAAAAGAAGTGGGAAGGGGGAAAGAAGCCGCCAAAAAGAGATGACCAAATGCTGGCTGGTCAAAGGATTCGAGCAAATGGCAGCCTGGAATCCGTCGTACCTAGCTCCAACAAGCCGCGCTCAGCGGCATCCAGGGCGTCGTAAGGCGCGTCATTGCCCTGATCTTCAGCCATGGCAATGGTGGCCAACAATGGCCAAAAACAGGAACACGCCGATCAACACAGCCAACGCCAGGCACCACGATGCACCACGATGCACCAGGCGAGAAGCTGTTGAATCGGAGGGGATGCCCCGCCAAAAAAAAAAAAAATACAGTCGGCGCCTTTTTTATTTTTTTTCCGCGAGAACCACAAACTGTAACGGTCGCATCGGGATCGCGAACTTTCTAAATTGTTTTGGTGATATTTTTTCTGGTTGAATTATTGTAACTTTTTGGATGCTGATAAACGCAGTGGGCGAATGCAGTGAAGGGTTCCTGGACTGCCCGCAAAATGTGTGGCTGGCGTCAAATGGCAGCCAGGAGCCAGGCTCCAGCCGCTGAAGCAGATCGTACCTTGGAGCTGGTAGCTTTTGTGACTTGAAGCCTGTGTAGAAGAAGTCCGTGTAGAAGAAGCCCGTGCTGAGTCTGCCCATCTCCGCAGCGTGCCTCGGAGCAGATGGGTCTTGCCTAATAGATGACGTGGTGCCAAAGCCCACACACACACACACACACACACTGACACACAGCAAAGTAAAGGGATCCATCATCACTCATATTTTTCATTTTTAACAAGGTTTGTGAAAGATGATGGCGGCGGGGGGAGGCAGGACGCGAGGGAGATGATGGTCACTGACGTCCCTTCGGTGTTACCCACCTCTCTCTCTCCCTCTCTGTGTCTGGCTTGACGTGCTAGTGGGGGTTGGCAATGAGCGGTTGCTGATGCAGATTGATGGGCCCTCTAACGGGCTGGGCAGAAGGGGGCAGCACAGGCACGACAGTTACGGCTGGGACTCACTGGCAGGTCGTCGCCTTTCCCCGTGTCTGCTTTCCGCTTTTAGGACGAAAAATGGCGCGCAAGATTCTGGTCACCGGCGGCGCCGGCTACATCGGCACCCATACCTGCATTGAGCTCATCGCGGCTGGGTTTGAGGTGATCATTGTGGACAATCTCATCAACGCCTCGCGAGGTGAGGAGCCTCGCTTTTCTGATCAGAAGAGCCTGTTGCCTGCTCTCATCTGATGCTGCCGTGCATTTTACTTTGCTGTCACTCCGCTCACGGCTCGGCTCGTGGCGCTCCTCTGCTCTCCAGTGGCGGTGGAGCGCGTGGAAGAGATCGTGGGCCAGAAAATCACATTTCTTGAGATCGACTTGCTGGACAAGGAGGCCATCGACAAGGTGTTTGCAGAGCATGAGTTCTTTGCCGTGATCCATTTTGCTGGCCTCAAGGCCGTGGGTGAGTCGACGCAAAAGCCCTGGCTCTACTACCACAACAACATCACTGGCACCCTGAACCTGCTTGATTCCATGAAGCAACACAAGTGCTTCAACCTCGTCTTCTCGTCCTCGGCTACCGTGTACGGCGACCCAAAGTATCTGCCCCTCGATGAGAAGCACCCCGTTGGTGCCTGCACCAACCCCTATGGCAAGACAAAGTACTTCATCGAGGAGATGTGCCGGGACATGGCCAAGGCCGATAGCCAATGGAACATTGTTCTTCTGCGCTACTTCAACCCGATTGGAGCTCATGCCTCCGGTCGCATCGGCGAAGACCCTCAGGGCATCCCCAACAACCTTCTCCCCTTTGTAGCGCAGGTACGGCCACCTTACGGGCTCAAAGTCGCTCCTCGGGGTATGCCTCAAGACTCACCTTATCCTACCTTATCCTTACCGACCGCCACCATCCCTGCTCGCCCTGTCTGCTGTGCCTGTGGAACAGGTCGCTGCCGGCCGCCGGCCGCACGTCAACGTTTTTGGCGATGACTACGATACACCCGATGGCACGGGCGTGCGCGACTACATCCACGTCGTCGATCTCGCTTTGGGCCACGTAGCCAGCCTGCGCAAGCTCGAGAAGCCCTGCGGCTGTGTCGTCTATAACTTGGGCACCGGCAAGGGCGTTTCTGTGCTTGAAATGATCAAGGCATTCGGGAAGGCGGCTGGTCGTGACATCCCCTACCAGATTGCCCCTCGCCGCCCTGGTGACATTGCCTCTTGCTATGCCGGTTCGTGCATCCCAGTGACACTGCACCCGTGTTTCTCTTGCGTGCGCGTCTTCCCACGGCAACAGAGTCGGGCCAATCCCACCGCATAGGCTATGCTCTTTGCCCATATATGTGCCACCTTGTCCCCCACTGACATTGCAAAACAATATGCACAGATGCCTCGGCAGCAAAGAAGGACCTGGATTGGGTCGCCACGCGTACCGTCGAACAGGTGCGTGACTGTGATGGTGCCCCAACGGCAGGAAGTGACAAGCCTAAAGGCCGAGCCTGATCACCCATGCCGCTCACCATCGCCCACGAACATGACGCCCATAGGCCTGCGAAGACTCGTGGCGCTGGCAATCAAACAATCCCAACGGCTTCAATGCTTAAACTGCAGTCCAAGGCGCCTCGCATTCTCATGTGGCCGTGGCTCCACGTTGCGACATGTCAATCTACATTGAATAGCGTTGTGCCAGTTCACAGCAGCCAGTTTATGATAACACAACAGCACCACCTTAATCTCCAATCAAGTTTGAGACAAAACACCGCCCCTTCTGGCTGACCCAACGACCATGGATGCGTGAGCATAGATCTATCAAATTGCTCGTTGCATGTTGTTGGATCAGTAAACAACGGGTCAAGCCGCGTTCTTTGTTTTGTTTTGTTTTGCTTTGCTATTTTCATGATCTTCGATTCTGATCCTGCAAAACAGTTTGGCATGCCACTTTGACAGACGTCCACACGAAACCAACAAGGGAGCTCGAGTCGTATCTAGCTACCTGTATCTTCAGCGCAGAGGCAGAGTGGAGGTTAGACTTGAGCATCCAGCTTCATGGCGAAATTACAGATTCCAGAAGCACCATCACCATCACCATCATCATCACCGCTCGCCTCGACAACAACAACGACCACTGTGCCGTCACCGGCGTTGGCTGTGCTGTTCCCAAGCAAAACTGATCCATGGGGCTATATCAAGATTGCTGGCACCGGTGCCTTGATGGGTTTGGGCTTTGCAACGGCACGCGGCCTCTTCCTAGCGTCTGCTAACTCCGGCGTTGCCCCAAGGCAGGCTTTTGCTGTTGGCTTTCGAACGACCGCGCGCCTATACGTGCCCGCGTTCGTACTGGTAGGCCTGGCCGACCACTACGCCATGCGCCGTGACAACCCGCGCAACCGCATCTGGGACACAACCTACGACGTTCCTTGAGCCACCTGCACCACCCTAGTGCACCATGACCTTGACCCTTTCGTTCTTTCTGCGCCTCGCAGTCTGGATGGATAAGCAGAAATAGCTTGGCTCGTGACGCTTCTTGACCACCACTTGTAATCGATCAGTAGTTTCTTAACCTTGTCCATCATCTCACCGCGTACACACCCACGCACCCACGCACCCGCAGCCACGGCCACCATCATTTCCCCTTATAACCATGGCCGGATCTCACACACACACACACACACACACACACACACACACACACACACACACAGATCGATTTGTCAGCACGCCAATTTACCGTTACAACGCACATTGTCAAGCGCTGGTGTTGCGCTGCGCGCTGTGTGGGGTGGCGGTCGTTTGATGGGCATAGAACGCGACAGCTTGAAGAGTTGTGGGGGTGGATTGATAGGTGTGATGGCGCCCTCTACGCGAAAGCGTGGGGTGGGCGCGACCGCCGCATCGACCCCACACAAGCGCACATTGCACACCTCATCGGCGGTCGACCTGGAAGGTCAGGCATTGACTAACAACCCACCTGCGACTGTGCATGCACCCCGACTCAACAACCCCGAACCCCACCCTCATTTCTAGAGCTGTGCCGCACTCGGCATGAGCTTTCTTCAAGTGCCTCATCAGCCATACAGCACGCGCTCATACAGTGGTATCACCAACACCAACGCGTGTTGCCTTGGCGGCAGCCATCGGTACGCAGGTCCGCTGAAAGCATGACGTACTGCCGCCCACCCCGCTCACTCTGAATCTGACGCAACAGGGTCGGCAGGGAGACGAGCGACCTGTCAGTCACGGTCAAGACTCAAATACCATGGCTTATGCCGTGTGGATCAGCGAGGTCATGTGCCAACAAACCCAGGTGCGGACCCATGGCTCCCCCCGCCAGCAGCTTACGCTCGTGCTCGCTCACACTCGCCCGTTGGCCATCGGCCTCGATAAGATCTCTGTGGTCACCGACTATTTTGAACGCTGGATTGCCAAATGGCCCACCGTTCAGGCGCTGGCGGCGGCTCAATTGTCAGACGTGCACCAGGCTTGGGCCGGCTTGGGCTACTATTCCCGCGCCACCCGATTGCACGAAGGTAGCACCCGCCCTTACCCGCACTTCGACCAGACAAAGGCGTCGTGAATGAAGTGAAGAGTCGGTGTTTCAGTACCCAACCTTACACCCCGCACCTTTCTTCCGCCTTGTCTTCGACTCAAACACCTCAACACGACACCAATAGCTGCACAATACATCGTGAATCAGCTGGATGGCTCTTTTCCGACGGTGGGTGCTTCCGAGCAATGACTTGCCCACTCAGCCGCCGTGCATTTCTTGCCGAATGACTCTTGCTTGCCGACTGATGAGCCGGATTGGCTCACACTAAGCCTGAACCATCCTCTGTAGACCAAAACCGAACTTCTCGCGCTGCCAGGTGCGGTAGTTGACCGAGTTCTCCGTCCTCCTTGACTTGTCATGAAGCTCGCCTGATCTTTTGCTGGCCGCCAGGCGTGGGTCCGTACACGGCTTCGGCCGTGGCCTCCATTGTGTTTGCCAAGCGCGTAGGGGTGGTGGACGGCAATGTCAATCGTGTCCTCAGCCGTCTCGGAGGCATCGCTGTGCCGCTAACACAAGATGCAGCCAAAAAGGTCTGAAAGTGATTGACGCAGTTGCTGAATGAGATTCTCTTGTATCTGACAGGCAACCTTGCTCAACGACCATATTGATGTGCGGGCATGTGTGCAGTGGATGTGGCGTCAGGCTGATACGCTCGCCGACCACGCAGCGCCGGGTCAGATCAATCAAGCCATGATGGAGCTGGGGGCCTTGATTTGCACCCCCAAGTCTCCACAATGCCACGCTTGCCCCTTGGCAGAACATTGCGTGGTCCATCGCTCCATCACTGGCCGTGCCAAATCCACAAAAACCAAGCCAGAGCCGACGGATACTGCATGCCCCTTGTGTCAAGGCGCAACACCGACGGGTAAGACAACAATGCCTCCACCCTGACTGCCGACTTTCGACTTCGTGGCAAGTGCATGCACTGATATACATTCGGTTCGTCAACCCTTGCCACGAGCACCAGACTATACTGCGTACCCTGCCAAGAAACCCAAGAAGGTGACACCGACACATCAAGTAGCCATTGCGGTGCTCCGCGTGGTCAGCGCCTCACCCGATGAACCAGATCGCATACTGTTGCAACGTCGGCCCAAGTCGGGCCTCATGGCCAACCTGTGGACGTTTCCTTATGTGGATCTGGATGAAACAAATTCAGAAGGCGGGATGGGCTCAAAACCAAGTTCCACCGCGCCAAAGTCGACATCGGTTGCCAAACCCTCACTGGCAAGCACGACTGAGGTTGCAACCCCCAATGAACGACAGGTCAGGGGTCGCACTCTTGTACCGCCATCCTCCCTCTTTGCCCATGTTAAGATGCATGTCATGCTGTGCTTTGAAGTGCAATGGGCCCTCACGCCGTGATGGTGCCGCATGACAGCTGCGAGCAGCGCTCGCACCGCATGTGTCACAGCTTTTGAACCTACGACCAGCCCTTCGCCCGACGACGGTCAAATGGTGCCTGGCGCCCAAGACCATCACCCACGTATTTTCGCATCTCAAACACGCGTACCACATCTTGGTCGGAGAGATACCCGCACCGGAATTCAAGACGGAGGAGGAAACAGATGGTTCGCCTTGGTCTTTGGTCGATGTCAATCAAGTTGAGACCACCCTCGTCTCGGCCAACATGGTCAAGGTACGCATTGTCTGGCCCTTGCACCCTTGGCTGGAAGCCTTGTTGTGACCAATGGCAAAGGTCTCATATGCTACCTCGTGCCTTTGACTCTTGCCTAAACGTTTGACTTCTCGGTGACAGGTATGGCGGGCCAGCCAAGGACAAACTTCCATGACGGGGGCCCGCAAGGGGCGACGCACGATTGAACGCCCCGTGGCCAAGTCGGGACAACGCACACTCCAAACCGTCTGGCGACAGGTGGTGAAGAAGGAAGAGTAACACGGCAGGGAGTGGCTGAAACAGGCAAGAAGAATCGATTAGAGCCCGAAACCCGCAGGCAACGAGAAAGACGTGAAAAATTGGCACCTGGATGAGACATGCCCTCAAGTCAAAGAAAAGGAGAAAATGAACAAAACAGTCCGCATGAAAGTGAAGAGGTCTGAAGCCAGGCACATGCCGCAGAAGTGATGAAAGAGAAAAGACAATGATACAAGCCATCAACAAGCTTAAGCCTCCTCTTCACCCTGAGCAAACAGCAGCAAGGTTAAACAAAAGACACGCCACATTTGAAATGATGCCAGAGGGCACAGCCCTCCACTGGTGGCTCAGGCGCAGACTAGTTTTTGGTCTGCGCAAGCTGGCTCTCGGCTGCTTCGAGCTGGCGGCGAAGCTGAATCTGTTGGTCTTGGTCCAGTTTATTCATGCGCTTGCGCTCTTGACGCTCCAAATCCTTCTTCACTCCCTCGCGCAGCGCCTATATATCAAGGTTTACCAGTCAAACACCCCACCATGAGCTCCATATCCTCGAGTCTGAATTCAACTTCTCGTAGCCCGTCACTCGCTCAAGCGAGGCCGTGATGCAACCGACTCATCAAAAAAGGCCTCGGCCCGCTCATAATTCATACCTGGCGCTCTTGGTCCTGATTGAAATGAACAAAAGCAATCATGCCCACTGCGAACACAACAGATGCCGCCAACGTCGACCATGCACGGCCCGAACCAGCCACTGCCGTCACCGCCATCTCTCCAGCTGCTCCTGAACCTCAAAATGGCACTTCACGTGCAACGGTTTCATGTGTGTGTGTGTGTGTGTGTGTGTGTGTGTGTGTGTGTGTGTGTGTGTGTCTTTGGGTTTTACTTAGGAGGGGTTGAGTGTATTTTACGCGACTGCGGACACGAAGGAGCGCGATGACGGTGGCAGCAGCAGCACGCGCAGCAGCGACAGGGGCGACGGGCATGGTGCCTTCCGCCCTTGTCTTTGGGGGCACGCGTGGCCTTGGTTTTGGTACTGTGTCTGAAACAGTCGCCGCTGCTTGAGCTACCCCAATTTTCCAGGCGCCCGCTACCCCCGCCCGCCGTGCTCACGCTAGACCCTCGTGATGGCAACACGTTCTCTAGCACTGGCGCGCTGGCTTGTCGATCAAGGACACCGGGTTACAAGTACGTCCGCTCATCGGTATGCTCTAGACTAGCTACAGTCCCCCACCTCTCATGGCACGGGCGTTGTGTGGCTGCCCCCTATTCACGCAGTTGCAGGCACAAGCACCGCCACCGTCAACCATGCCCTGGCCCGGCTCAACAGGTATCCATGCCGAGCTGCCTTCACCTTGCGCGCATCCGCCCGAGCCGCAGACTGACAGTCTCCGGGGTGCTTAATCAGTGACCATGTCCATGGTTTACCGGCCAACATCTGTGATCCAGCCCAAGTACGCCAGGCCTTTCAGGTGAGTGCACCACCCTCATACACTCGCCACCTCCCGCGGTAGCCCTCTCGACCTGACCTCGGCACTACCGACGAGTTTCTAGGAGCATAAGACACAGCTGGGTAGCTCGCCACAAGTCGTCGTGCAGGCAGCAGGAATAAGCATCGATGCCTTGCTGCTCCGTGCCCAAGAGGAGCAGATCCAGGCCCAACTCGACGTCAACCTGCGCGGCTCCATCCACGTCACCCAAGCTGCCCTCCGCGTGATGCAACCCCTACGAAGTGAGGTCGTCTAACCAGCCTTGTCCCCGTCCCCGTCGTTTTGGTATCCTTTTCATGGGCTTGCTCGTCCAAGTCGCCCCCGTCAAAGTCACGCCCTCGCGCATGCCTCGGCCAACAGATCAAGATTGTGCGCCTGCTCAAAGCTCACCCCATCGTCTTATACTAGATGGCCTCGTCGTTAACATCTCCAGCTGTGCGGCTCGTCATGCCCGAGTGGGTCAGAGCATTTATGCCGCCTCCAAGGCTGGTAAGTCTCTTCTTTTTTGTGTGCTGATCTTTCTTTGTATGCACGCTTATCAATGTCGGCTCAATGACTAGGCTTGGAGGCATTTACCCGAGTGGCTGCCCTTGAGGCAGCGCGAAGTGGTGTCCGAGTTAATTGTATAGCACCTGGATTTCTTGGTGTGTGCTTGCATCCTACCAGAAAATGTCGTTTTCTCTCTTTGACATTGCAAGTCTACAGGCTTCGCTCAGGCTTCTGCCCTTTGGCCGACATAGAAACGGACATGACCGCTCATTTGGACCGAACAGCGATCGCTACCGCCGTGCCTCTCAAGCGCCTGGGTCAGCCAGAAGACATCATACCCGTGCTAGAGGTACACAGATCCCGTATCCCTATGCGCTGCCTGTACACGCGCCTCTCGCTCGCTGACGAAGAGTCCGATTTAATTGCTACAGATGATGATGCGGACACCGTACATGACTGGGGAGACAGTGACGCTAGACGGTGGTCTCTCCATATCCGCTTGAAGACGGATTGCTTGTTTGCTAACTTGTTAGCGGTGACATTCAGGTGGGCTGATGATTGAGGCACAAAGCCGTGCTTCTTCCTAACTAATTCATTTCGTTCGCGGCGATGCATAAATGCGCCACCTTCAAGCCTTCAAAGAACAACGCCTTCTACGTGGGCAGATCAAGTATGGCGACCTGCAGCCGACAATAGACTTGCAAAGCGTGACGACGGCCGCTGCACCAGCGCAGCCGGTGCATCAAACTCTGCCACTCGTCCGTCCTCCAGCACCATCACCAAGTCGTAGCGCATGGCATTGTGCAAATTGTGTGCAATGCTGAGCACAGTGCTTTCCATCCCAAACAAGATGTCATGCACCAGCTATCAGCGAGACAAATACAACACACGCCGTCAGACATCATGACTCGCCTTTCCTGGCGCGGAAACAACAAAATGCTTCGCCTTTGCGACGACAAGAAGCTTCTTGCTAGTGTCCCAATCACCATGCATTTAAAACATGCAGTCAATACGTACACGATCCGATGATTCGTCGAGGGTAGACGTGATTTCATCACATAGTAAGACAGGCGCCGGGTTGTACAAGGCACGCGCCAAGCAAAGAAGCTGTTGCTCGCCAGCACTGAAGAGCTCACCCGTCTAGGGTTGCAGAGGGCCGGTCCCTCAAGCATTGAGCTCTGATCACCCCAGAAGCCAGAAGCAGCATGCGCGCCACCGCAAATAACCACAACAAAAAAAAGCCTGTAGCCTCAGCGGCCGGACCTACCTCAACGAGCTCCGTATCCAGCTGCCTGTCCAACAACCGGATAGCGTGCGCCATGCCCACTTGTTCGAGGATTGCCCACAGCCGTGCAACACTTGTGACCTCACTCTCCGGCACCTTGGTGCCCAGCATGTCGCTCAGATCGTCCAATGCTAGCCCGCGCCCTGTTCCACACACACACACACACACACACACACACACACACACACACCAGAGACATCAAGTTACGGCAGTTCGACTGCCTTGCATGCGGCTGACATGTGGAAACGTGCATGTTCGAAAATCACCTTGAGGAACGCCACTAGTCAGTGTGGCATCAGCTGGGCCCATCAAAATTTCACGAACAGTTTTTCCAAACAACATGGGGCGTTGAGGAATCAGATGCACCAAGTGCCGTAGCTGCACCAGCATCAGATCTTTGCAACAGGAAGACAGTGTAAGCCCTGGGCTCTACGCCTTATTGCAGCGACCGGTTTGCCTACAATGCCAAAAATCCACAAACCGCAAATGTCGAGATCGCCCACGCGAATATGACCCTCAAAAGGGTGAAAGCGCAAAAGGGTCGAGAATAGCGATGATTTGCCTGCCCCTGTTCGTCCAACACACAGAACCTGACGAGCATGCAACATGAGAACACGAGCCATAGATGGCTGACAAACCATAAGACCACAATTCTCCAACCTTTTTGCCAGGTGGGACAACCACGCTGATACCCTTCAAAACAGGTGGAAGAACAGAGCTATAACGCAAAACAACCTCTCGAAACTGCATCGTTGACGTGTCAAAAAAAGAAGTTGAGTACAATAGGGTAGGGCAAAGATGCGTCTCAAATTGGTGCTTGCCCTGGCCCCAACCCTGACCCTGGTGCCAGCAGCACATCAGCAGCGGCACAAACCTCCAAGGCCAATTGACGGGCTGCACGATGTGCTTGATAAACTCGCACGCTGGACGCAGCCTGGGCTGTGCGCAGCCATTGGCGTCGCTCACTTTCGCCCTATGGCCCCACATTCCAGTCAGAAAAGTCAATGGTGAAAGCCCAAGCCCGCAAAGCAGGAACATCAGATCGCGCAGCAAATTGGAAAGCCAACCTCATCATTTTCGGTGGGCTCGTCCAAGTATTGCCACGCCCGCTCAACAGCAACAAGCTCAATCTGAGAACAAAGCAAGTGTCAGTCCGATTGTACATACATGGTGCTTCTTCACAAGTTGGTGGTGGAGCAGGGATCAGCGTTGAAAGGCACATTGTCTCGCTCTCGTGAGGTGCATGGATCGGGCGCCAGCACCGCAACTAGTAAATGCCAAATATAGTGTCGACCGTACCTCTGTCTGAGCCACCTCTTTAAGAAACCAGCCCAACATTCCTGGCAGCTGCGTCACGTAGGTCAGAGCCAGGCCGACGCGACCGGCACTCAGCAGCCCCTGGCTGGTGGCATACACGGCCAAGACCGACGTGCCTAGCACAACCACGCTCCCCACAAGCTCCAGCCACACAGTCACCCATTGAGTGACGGCCCAGTTGTGCCAGGCACATTTGGTATTCTGATTGATGTGCAAGACATGTTCTCGCTGAAACGTAGCCTAAAGGGTGGAAGAACAAACAGCGACCCGTGAGAGAACAGGACGCCCATGGCGAGCCCATATCACCGAGGCACTGTCACCCACGTGCATGTCCAAAGCCTTGATCACGGGCAATCCTGACAGAAACTGAGTAAAGTTATTGATAATGGGCGTTCTTGATACAGACTCCATGCGCCTCAAGTCACGAGCCGTCCACCTAGATGCCAAACAATTGAGCCCATGCGCTCGGCAGACATGGTCGTCTTCCCCGTCTCAGTGCGCATTTTGATGCCCTCCCCCAAAGAACCTTTGCTTGAAAGAAGTCAAAAAGTATAGTCCTTTCCCCACATGAAGCACCATAACCATCACGCGACCCAACAGACCGATAGTGCTGTGCAATGTAGTAAAAAGGCCAGGCCAAGACAAGTACCAGCCCTAAAACGCTAGGCGCGGTCCATGCTACCACAACCAGCGTGGCCAGGAGATTCAGAGCCGTCTGAGAAAGGTAATTGAGTACATTGGGCACCTAGAAGAATGAAGCATCGCGCGCTGATGAGATAATTTGCTCTGAGAGCGAGTTCAGTCGAGATGACAATCATTCGTATCATGTTCCCTGTCTGATGACCATACCGCTTCGTCAATGGCAAGAATATCCTTGAGAAAACGATTCAAGATCTGGCCCTATGGAAGGTTGTGTGACCTATGAGAAAATCTTCTCGTTCACAGACAAGCAATGACTCGGCCCGCCTTACCACAGGCGTTTTGATGAAAAATAACATGGGAAACCATAGCACGCGACGGACAAGTTCGTCGTGTACTCGTCGCGATGCCTATGCAAAACGTGGACGATGGCTTCAATCAGTACATGCTTGAGCTGACTGAGTGAAATCAGCAGCGTGCCTTGGGGCATTTCTTTTGATGTGCAGAAAAAGAAAGGCTGGAAGCAAGCTCCCTGTACACGTACGTTGATGGTTCCTCGTACAAAAAGCAGACTGCGTGCCAAGTTGGTCAGACAAAGTCCCACGCCAGTGGCCAAGTAAACATTCACATAATAAAACTGCCGATCGGTCATTGAAACAGGTTAATGCAACAACAAAGATAGCAAATTTCGTTACGGTTTCTAAGCATCGGCGAGGCAGAAAGCTTGATACCTGCCCACTCGCCAGCACGTACCTCGGAGTGCTGCAGTGCCGTGTCCGACACCCACACAGATAGCCACCAATTGTTCACTACATTGCCCGCTGGATAAGCAAGCAAGGCCATGATCACTGCAGCTGCAAAGACGCGCGAGCCGTAGTGGCCAAAATAACTGCACATCAAGTGTCAGTTCTGAGCACAAACGCCCAACGAAAGCAATACAAAGACATGTGGCGCGGCGACTCACCCCTTCACAGTTTGCCATGCAATTTGCCCTGTTTCAGACGCTTCAGAAGCAACATCGCCTGTCCTCGCCGTGGCCTGATCGTCGTCAGTGTCGTTGAGGTCCTGTTCAGTCGGGCACGCAGATACACTGTGAGATTGGAAAGGCGCTTCGCTTCGTGACAAAGGATGACTTGAGCCACCAGCAGCGCAAACGTGGCCTGCAGGCAAAAACATCACCTCGTAATCCACAACGACCCAACTAAGGTTACGATCACGACCCGAGCGCAACAAATGAACTTCAACAGCATCAATGTCAGAGTCGTGGCGGGTATTAGACACGGGTTCCAATGCCGCATTGTGCGTGTGGGTGTGGCGGCGACGCCGAATAAGACGAGAATGCGATCGCCGAGACGAAGCCCGTGAGGAGATGGGGCTCTTGGCACCGGCGGTCGCGAAACGATGCGCCAGTCGGTGTGTGCTTTTCGAGTCTTCGCGCACCGTCTCCAGCGGTATGTCATTTTCCAGGTCGGCCTCCGCCTCCGCCTCCGTCTCTGTGCCGGAAGTGAGGTCGGGATAACTGGCCCAAATGCCCAATGAAGCAAGTTGATCGTATGTGCCTTGGGCCACCATGTTGCCCGTGGCGTCCAACACCACAATCAAGGAGACGTGGGGTGACTGGAGAACCTGACGCGAATGCGAAACCAGCACTCGCGTACTGTCTGCAAGATGGTGAAGGATGGCACGCTCAAAGACCTGCGCGGAGACGCGAGCATCCAGGCTGGCCAGCACATCATCCAGACAAATAATCTGTCGCTTGGCGTAAAGGACTTGACCACATGGCGTGTTCAAAATCATTGGTAAGTTCTCGTTTGAATCCCGTTTAAGAGCATGGCTGAGATGAGAAGGCAAAATAAACGCCCAAGGAACTCACCTCGCGCAAGCGCAATGCGTTGTTTTTGACCGCCGCTGACGGCCGCTCCACCCTCACCCAACAAGGTCGCGTCACCATGAGGCAGCTGCCTGATATCCGCATCTGGTGCATGAGCAGCAAGATAAGGATGAGACCCTGCAGCGGCTACAAACACGGTTGTAGAGGTATTCCTGCGCATCAACGCCACGCACCCAGACAACAGGCATGCAGGACGGCAGAGTACTGGATTGGGTCCAAAGGTCGACCAAAAAGGATGTTGTCTCGGATTGACTCGCCGGTGACCCAGGGCGTCTGCGGCACATATGCCAGGGTACCAGCCACGTGGACTCGACCCGCTCGCACGACCGTGTTGCCTAGGAGCGTTTGCAAGAGGGTTGATTTGCCGGCGGAGGTTGGACCTGTGACCACCACCAAGGAGCCAGGCTCGGCCTGCAGTACGTCGCAAAAGACATTATCCAGTCGATGAGCGCACATGTGCGTTCAAGCCCAATTTTGCGGTCAAGCACGCCCACTCAACGGGTTGGACGTGCCCTGAAAGAGAACAAGATGAGAAAGCGTCATACATGCTCGACAGACCAACCTGGAAGGAGAGGTTGTTGAGGATAATCGACTGTTTGGCGCCGTAACTCACGCCAGCACCTGTGACCTCTATGCCCCCAGGTGCAGCGGCTCCATGTAATGTGTGGGAATAGCTCGCTTGTGGCACGGTCTGAAGAAGGACAGAATGATTGAATCAGACCTCAACGGCACATTGCTCAGGAGGCAAGGGCGGGCACAGCGGCATATCTGCTCACCTTGGTATTGAAGAGAACGGACAGGCGATCCAGTGAGACCTTGACATCCATGGCGCTTGTTATAGCAAACGGCAAGTATGACACGGGTCTTCGGAGCAGGTTGTACCAAGCCAAGCATGTAAAGGCTGTGCTCGCGCTGAGGGGCGTTTCGTGAGTGTAGGCATACGTCAGAAAAGAGAGTGTGGGTGCGAGTGTGCGCCCCGAGTTGATGACGAAATTGAGCACGGCATTGAGTGTTTGTTTACGCTTTTGCTGCGCCAATTCCTCTGCTCGGACAGCTGTAATCTGTTGTTCAGCCCAAGCTTCCCAGCAAAAGGTCTTGAGCACTGCACTGGCAGTAAGAGCCCGTTGTGTGAGCCGCGTGCGCCGATCACGACACTCCTGAATTTGTGCGGACGCTCGCTATTGGAGAATGCAAATGAACAAAGTGGTGCAAAAATGAGACCGAGTAGAAATTTCCGAGACCCGGACAATCACAGGCTAAGCATTGGTGTGTGTCAGGTTCGTTCTCGACAGGAAGCAGGAACACCTCACTTTGATTCCGGCGATGATGCAAACGAGGGCTGGCACTGATACGACGTAAACGCCGACGCCAACCCACATGGCAAAGCCAAGGTGCATGTTGAGAAAATAGAGGCCGGTACCAAGAATAAGAAGGGAGCACCAGGTACCCCAATGAAAGGACGGAATGAGGTAGGTATCCGAAATCCGTGCCGCGTCGATCATGAGCAGATTGGTGAGCTGGCCAGGGGAGAATTCAGCCAAGACGGTACGGCTGTGCCGGCGCACGTGTTCGTACACTTGTTGCATGAGCGCTGCTTTGGTGTGAAGGCAGCATCGCATACCCACGCCCCAGAACTGTTGCTCAAGCAGCGCCTGCCCGGCCGTGCAAAAGAAAAGGGCAACGGCGAGCACATAAGCTTTGGTGAGATCGCGGCTGTGGGCTTCGTGGTCATCCTTTTCGTTGGGCAGGCGCTCGATGACATCAAGGAGAGATTCCGTCACGAGAGGGACTCCAAAACTGATGCAAGTGCTGAGCAGGACCATGACAGCCGACAAGAAAAAGGTCTGCCAGAAGAGTCCGAGAAGGACGCTGTAGAGGGCGCTGGCATTGACATGGGAGTGGATACGTTTCCATTGGTCGTGGAGTCGATGCCCAATGTATCGAGCATGATCCACCAAAGCCACAGGAGGAAGGTCGGCCACCGTAACGGCACGGTGCTTGAATGCGGTGTGCAAGAGTGGCCACAGCCAAGTGTACATGAGGCGAGCGCCGAGGCTGCTGGTTTCTTCAGGCGATCGCTCGGCCATGTCTGGAGGACACGACTCGGAGAGTCCCCTTTCAGAGGAGAGTAGGTCATATGCCAGAATATGGTCCGAGTTCATCGCATCCACGCTGGTGCGCGGGTGCGTGCGACCTGAAGTAGTGCAGCAGTGCGAGCGTGAGGAGGAGTCGATGTGAATTGTGCATTGTCAGCTGCAGCTGTAGCCAGGCCTGGGGGGCACGTGTGTATGACCGTACCAGTAGGGAGATCGTAATCCTTGATGAGGGGGGTGGTCTCGGTATCTGCATTGATAGAGCTTGCTACTGAAGGATGTGACGGATGATTGGCGCGACGGGAGTGGACACGGGCGGTGAGGTACTGGAAGGGGTCTGAAGTTTCTTTTTGGAGGTATAGCCGGCGAGCTCGAAGTACGAAGAGGGCGGCAATGAGCGTAATGATGGAAACAATGAGGAGTAGGCATTCGACGGCTGGAACAATGAGGTCGGCACGATCGATGGGCCCTCGAGCATACTCATCGTACACGGCGTAGGCGCTGAGGGTCAGCAAGGCTGTCCACGCGAGCAGTAGTAGACGCCGCAGCCCTCTGGACCAGCCATAGCGTAGGCTGAGCAGCATCTGCATCCAAGAGGCGGCAATGGTGATCCCAGTGACAACATGGGCCACCCGTGTGTATGTGTGGCCATCCCAGGCGACGCTGACCGCGATGCCCATCTGGGCAGCAGCCGTTATGAGCAAGCAGCATCGGAGCGACCAGAGTCGTAAGCTGAGGTGACCCGGGCGAAAGAGGCGCGCCGAGGGGTCGAAGTTGGCGAAGAAAAAGAGGTAGAAAAGCAGAAGCAGATGAATGGGGAATCCTGTGTAGAGGGTGACTCTGCTGCAGGGATTGCTCTCGCCCGGAGGCCGGAAGGCAATGTGACCATCATGTTCCATGCCCAGATGCGCTGAGCTGTTGCTGCTGCGGCACCAGTACATGGCCACAAAGTCAGGCATGGTGTCGGGTCGGTGCTTGCCTGCTTTGATTGAACCACTCTGGGCCGCGCTCGCCGATACTCTTGTTGCGACGACAGCCACCACACCGACGATATCACCCTCGTTTGCCAATCAGAGCTGTTTGACCAGCTCCTTGACACGGCCTTGTGGCCACGACGGCACCGGCAGACGGACCAATCAACTTCTCACTGAGCTAATCATCCATCTCGTCTATCCACTTCACATGTCACTGCATGGACTTTGACGGGTATGCTGCGATCGTCCTATTTGGTTTCTCGCACCACCAGCCGTCGGCGAGCACATCACTTCAACATCTGCACATACCACCCAGCCCCGCCAGCCATGATCTTGCAGCGACCAGTAGGCAGTGTGCGCTGCGAATACGGGGCGGTGGGCCGTGGATACCGCCAGAGGTGCACCGATCGAGCTCCGCAACTCGTGTGTGTGTGCTGATTCTGATTTTGCTCTCTGCTCTGCTTGCATGTGTGTGTCTGACAATTGCCCCTCTCTCTCTCTGTACCTTTGCAGTTGCCTCTGAACCAATTCATTCCCCTCACTCCGTCTCTCTCTCTCTCTCTCTCTGTACCAATTCATTCTCTCTCTCTGTCTCTCTCTCTCTCTCTGTCTCTCTCTCTCTGTCTCTCTCTCTCTCTCTCGGTCTCTGTCTCTCTCTCTCTTGATTTTTATTTTTTTCCTCGACAAGAGTAAGGGACATAAGGACTGGAGAATGGCGGCTCGACAAGGGCCCGCATTGCCGCCGCACCTCGCACGGCAACGCCAGCAAGAGGCTGAGGCCAAGGAAGCAGCGCCAAGCGTGGCAGGCCCGGCACTACCACCCCATTTGCAGACTCGTCGTGATGCTGACGTGAGTGACCGAGACACACCAGGTGCTTCACACAGTGCTGTTGATGATGGTCCCGCCGCTGTGGCCGGACCAAGCCTACCACCGGGGTTTGTCCGAACTGCTGTTCCTGAATTGGACCGGCGCCCCGTCGCTGGTCCGGCCCGGCCACCAGTCAACGCCGATACAACTGGCGGAGATGCCGGTCCTGTGTCGCGCCCAGATGAGGATTCGGATTCGGACGACGATGACATTGGGCCGATGCCGCAGGCCCCAGGTGACGCCGAGGCCAGCGACCACGCAACGGTTTTGGCTGACTTTGAACGTCGCGCGAAGCAGCAGAAGGACACCCTCCTGGGTCTTAACCGCCCTGTTGCCACCGAGCGGGAGAGCTGGATGACCGAACTACCTGAAGCCTACCGCAAGAACTTTGGCATGGACAACCGCTCCTTCCGGCAGTCATACGGCGCTGGTCAGGTGGATCAGAGCTGGGCCCGGGCGCCCTCGAGTGCGCAGCCAGGCAGTGAAGCACCTACCCCGCAACCGCCTTCCAAGGGTCCTGCGCCGCAGCCAACCGTGCGCGCCGCACAGCAGCAACAGGAAGCCGCCCGGGTAGTGCAGGCATACAACGAGAAGCATCGCGGACAGTCGTTGGTTGACATGCACAAGGCAAAACGTGCCAAGCAACAGGAGACCAGTGGTTCTAAACCAGCTGGCCGCCGTCGGTTCGATCCAGATGTAGATTTGCACGGTACCCGCATCAGTGCCGACAAACAACGACAGATGATTGCCAAGGCCTCGTCTTTCCAAAGTCGCTTTGCTCATGGCAAGTATTAGGGAGCGCTGGAGCGTTGACTTCCACCTGTCAATGCCGCTGATCATGATTGAAATTGAGTCGAGAATTGGTACCGAGTATTGTGTTGATTGTTGTTGGGGGTCGATGGCCGGGCGTCGTGTGTTACTGTATCCGTAAGCCGTGGGGTTGGGTTTCTTTGTTGTCATAGACATGTAACGACGACAACAACAGCAGTGCCGTGTACGAGTACGAGCCCAAAATCGTGAAAAGTACCAGACAAGAGTCGCTTCACTTGACGATAGCTGGAGTTGAGCCACAGCAAGTCGAATCAAGACGAGACGAGCCAGGGTTTTTTTCAAGCCAACGTTGGTCGCTTGACGACCCAAATGTAGTACATACTACAACGGTTAGAAGCAAAAGCCAGCACACACGCACACACACACACACGCGCACGCCGAAGACACACGAGGTGACACAGAAGAGATCGAGCACAATTAACACAAGCGAGCAGCAAAAGACACATCGTAAAAAAAAAAAAAAAAACCAGCAAAAATACAGCAAAAAATCAGCAAAAATGCAGCAAAAATACAGCGAAAACAACGTCAGACAATTCATTTGTTTTTTTTCGCACACACAGCGAGGTAACACGAGGTCGTCTGTCGGGGCAGCCGGCATTCCGGGCTCTGTGAACGCAGCAGCAGTAGTAGCAGCAGCAGCATGACAAAGGCGAGGACCAGGAGCGAGCTTGACGAGCTGGTCCAGCGCGGTGAGTGTGTCCAAGGCATGGTTGGAAGACGAACAACTGCTGTCATCCCTACGCGATACTCTCACGTGCAATGGCGGCAGACTATACGGAGCAGGCTCATCAACGATACAAGGAGTTGGCGCAGGAACTACCTGGGCTAGCCTACAGGCCCGGGGCAGCTGTCAAGGCGCACAGTCAGCAGGATGAAGCGGCAGGCTCACATCTCTTTGCAACAGTGCGTCACTTCCCCCGCGTCAAGGGCCGTGCAGCCGCCAGCTCACAGCTCACCCAGAGGTGCACATGCGCCACGGGTGCCCCCAACATCTAGGATGTTGCTGCGTCCGACAACACACCTTGGGACTACAAATCCTATTATCGCCACATCAATCCCTCCCACCACGCCCGGTACCCTCAGATTTTGAATGCATCTGCCCTCGTGGCACAGGCCAGACGGTAGGACCCTCGTCATCGCTGTCTTTCAAGCATCCAACATGCGCCTCTCCCGCCCCATCGCGGCTGGTGCGCACAGGCACTCACTCGCTGCCGCATTCACACGCGCACAAGAAGCACACACAATCTCATGCTGTATGTTATGTTGTGTTGGCAGCACCTTTATGAGAGAAGTACTCAATAAGAGCCCAGCCGGGGACGCAGCCGAGACCGTCGACGTTGCAGCTGAAACGCCACCAGTCCCGATAGCCGCAACCACGCCAGGCGACAGCAGTACAGCACACCACAACACAGAGCTCCCAGCGCCCTCAGACTTTGCACTTGCCATGGTCACATACAAGCGACTAGACCTGCTAGCACGACATTGGATCCGCATCCGAGCCCGAGACGCAGCCGTGCTCGGGCTATCGCGACGTCAACGACTATGGCAACGCCGACACGACCAGCCGAATCAAACGAGTCGGGCTGTTCGGGTGACGGCCGTGGACGTGAACAGCGCTGTGCAACTGGCAAAGCGGGTACCTGCCCCTCTCCAAGAGACTAGCAACCGGCACACGGGGCGGTGCGCCGCCGTGTCCAGTCTTCTGGGGCTTGACCCCGTTGACCTGGAGTCGCAGAACCCAGAGGAGATCGATTCACACTGGGAGGGGTTTGAATCGTCGGGCTCTGATGCCCCGGACCGCGGCACAAGCCCAGGCATCGCCGCAGACGTGCAACCCAGTGCGCGGCCGCATGAGTCACGCATGAGTATATTTCGTCTATTCGCAGCGGTGGACGGTGCAACGGCACGGCTACAAGCCTCGATGGAGCGGAGGCTTGGAGATGCTGCCCGGTCGAGCAGTGAGGAAAGTGCTGACACGGATGAATTATGGGCTCGCGTCGGCGGTCGCCCCGACTCACCACCTCCACTCAAGCAGCATCGCCGCCGTCGACACACGTCGCGAAGGAAAGGGACGACACGCACGGAGAGCGACAGCGACAGCGATAGCCAAAGCGACAGCGACAGCAGCAGCAACGACGACGACGACGACGACGACAGCGTCAGCCAATGCGAAGAGGACCAGGGGGACGAGGCGGTCGAGGGGAGCGCGTGGCCGGGCGCCATCCACACTTCGACAGCCACCACCCCGAAGCGGTCGCGCCTTGCAGTGGGGCGTCGAACCGGGGCACCCGTGGGCGGAGCCGCACGCAAGTCGCCTCGTACCGCCCATGGCGCGGGGCTTCCATCCCCAAAACGCAAAAAGCAAAGCACTGCGCGCCGGCCTACGGCAACGGCGAGTAGCAAACCCAAGCGCACCACGCGACGTGCGAGCGCCGCTCAGCGCCCCAACTACAATGAAATGTCGGACAGTCAGTCATCAGATGTGTCTCTAAACCTTCACATGTTCGACTGATGAAGCTCCTACGCATGCGGCGACCCGCCTGACCAATTGAAGCGTTGACTTTGAGTCCCCAGAATTCTTTATCCCTCGACTCCATCTTCACGTGTCACATGTCAACAGAAGACGAGAGTCATCGCACACGACGCGCAACCCATAAGAAGAAAGGTGACTCGGACATGGTAGAAATGCGTCGCTCCGTGGTGCGTGTGGGAGGTCATTGGTGGACGCAAAGTCAAAATTACATGTAATTCACACGCAAAAAAACAAAGGCTGTGACATGCCATGCCAGCCAGCCAAAAAAAATCATATTCTCAGGGGGTTGCCGGGAATTGAACCCGGGACCTTCCGCACCCTAAGCGGAAATCATACCACTAGACCACAACCCCTGATGCTGCTGAAGCTGTTCAACGTGACAGCTAAAAGAATTTATAAATGACAGTCAGATAGAGCGCCCTGGAAAAAAAAAAAGTAAGCAAATAAATAATCAAGAAGAGGAAAAAGAATCAAGGGGGTTGCCGGGAATTGAACCCGGGACCTTCCGCACCCTAAGCGGAAATCATACCACTAGACCACAACCCCATTGTTGTGATGAGTGAAGAGGGTCAAAATATTACATATAAACAGCAATCCACTTTATTGATAAAACGTCAGCAAAAACATGCTACGAGGCAAAAAGTCAAAGGGGGTTGCCGGGAATTGAACCCGGGACCTTCCGCACCCTAAGCGGAAATCATACCACTAGACCACAACCCCTTTGAGAACGCTTTCAACGGCGCTTGATCTCTAGCTGCTTAATTGCTTATATATATGGCGCGTATGTGTTGACTTTGCCCAACAACCCGTAACTTCACACCGCAACAAAAGAAATGAAAGAAGAGGCGAAAGAGAGCGAAAGAAAAGAGAGAGAGAGAGCGAAAGAGAGAGAGAAAAGAGAAAAGTGAGTTGACAGCAGCCAGTTCATCTCGTGGCGTTGTTGGTTTGCCGACTTGGCCGCCGTTTGGCATCCTACATGATTCTTCTTCTTATGATAGTACTTACGACACGGGCACGGAGCGCAATATCTGTGCTGCAGGCGGCTGTCTAGGGATTGAGCGACGCTTGAAGCCCCGCCTACACAAGTCTCCAGCAGACGGCGATGGTGGGTGGGCAGCGGTTTCACGCGTGACGCCTCCAAAAATCATACCACAATCATACGAGGCGTTGCGACGACGGCAAAACTGCTCCAGTCCTGCCGACCGGCCAGTATGCTGAGGCAGACCGCTTTGAGGCTTGTTTGAAATTGTCCTCTGCTTGCTTTTCTTCGGTGGCAGCAGCAGGTCGCGCCTTCCTTGAACATACCCATCACAGGGGCGCTTGCGTGTGGGGGTGTACGGGGTGTGCTCTCAGCGCAGCTTGCGCAGCGCCATACGCGCGCCCTGTGCCGTTCACCACGACAACAGCGTCATGGATGAGTATGATGAAGAGTCAGCAGCCGACCATCGTCGTGGCTCATCAACCCGCAAGGGTAATCGCTCGCGCACCCTGACGCAGCAGCTGATTAACGTGCAGACCAATGAGACGGTTGACCAGGAAAACAAACATTTTGCTGCTGCTGAATCTGTGATGGCGGCGCTCGAGCTGGCGTGCACATTGCTGGATCCTGTCCATCCAGGCAGTATCCCCCGCCTTCATACGGCACAGACAACCGCCACTAGCCTTCAGCTGTTAGACCCCTCCTATCACTGCGACCTGCCCGTGGCTACCAACTCGGCCAGCTTCCAACTTTTTGGAAGTCCCAGCCGCCGCCACCCTTCTGTTGCCTCGCCAGGTGTTGGCGAGCCGGGGCGAGGTGCTCGGCGGCCTCGCCTCACGGCCATGTCTCAGTCCAGCACCCGCCATCACCGACGTTCCAAGTCTGATCCCATGGCCTTTCATATGGGGGTGGGTGATAACACCATTGAGGCGCTAGCTGACGGACCAACGCGTGGCGTACGGTTACATAGCCCGGCACTGCGCGAAGCTGCCTCAGAAGAGTCTCCCTCAGCCACGCCTATCAACGGTGCTGCAAGCTCGCCGCGAACTCAGCGCCTGCGAGGCTCGCCCTCACAACCTCAGGCCGTGCCTGTGCGGGGACGTCTTCCCCCACGCGCCGCCAATCTCTCCGGCTCGGCTTTGGGGTCTCGCGCGCCTTCATCACTTGGCATGGTCTCTCCGCGCCAGAGTAGCTTTGAGGTGCACGATCGCACTGGGCAGACGCCAACCGTGACCATGCTCAGTAGCACACATGACTCAGATCGACCTGTTCTTCTTGAGCGCACTGCCGTCGACGATAGCAATGACGAGACGCCCTGGACCTCGGTGCGCGTGGATCCATCTCTAACTCCCGTGGCCCTCGAAGATGAAGAGGAAGAGGAAGAGGAGGATGCGACTGGCGTGCACGTTTTGCACAATACCGGCGAAAGTCCTGATGATGCACCAGGTCGCGGCGTGGTCCGGCAACCTGAGCTCATAGCAGGCACTGCCGGAGCTCGTGAGGACAGGGGTCACCTCACGCAGTATGCTCGCGCTGACCGGACTCGAGATTTTGACGCAGACGAAGATCTTGATGATGGATACCTTTCGCCCGTGTCATCATATTTGGACTTGGATCATTCAACGGGCTCTCCCACGGCCATTGCCAACAAGTTTGTGTTGGCACTGCACTCGGAGCGTTTGCGTGGGATCGTGGAGGAATACCTCAACCCCGGGCCCGATCTGGACACCAGCCTGACCTCCGACTCGCCTAGCTCCGCGTCTTTGTCCACGTCTGATTCGCGCATCATCCCCACCCGTGGCAATGCCGACTATGCGCCACCCCGCAAGCAACTTATCTTTGATCTGCGCAAGCCTCCGCGCAGTCGCGGAGAAGCCATGAAGACTCAAAATCATCGGTGCCGCACCTGCGGCCTCAAAGCTGAGTCGCACCTGTCCAAGGTTGGTGCCCTTGATGCTCATGTTTTTTTTCTTCTTCTTGGGCCTCTGCTTTCTCTGTCGTCATGGCACAGACTGCGATGTCTCTCAGGAGCCAGGGGGGAGGGCCAGACAATTTTCAGAACGAGTGTGCCGAGAGTATGCATTTCAGCGGCTCAAACGTTCAGATTGTACTTTCCTTCTACCTGCATGCTTTGCTCACGTGATGCTGCTTGCGATAGCGCTTCATTTTCGACGAATACTTGGGCAGTTATTGCTGCACCAGTTGTCATCAACACCGAGCCAAACGCATCATCCCGGCGTATGTAATTCATTGCTGGGACTTTAAAAGGCGAGCCGTCACAGACTTTTCTGCACAGGCAAGTGTCTTGTTTCATTCCTCCAATTTACAAACCCGCTTCCTCATGTACGGAACAATCTTCACCTTACGGCCTCTAATGAACGTGGGGTCAACTTTGAGTCTCTTGCAACTTTGCTCACCTTGACTATAATGCACCTGCGTGCGCACAGGTCTTGGATGAAACAGCAGATACACCAGCGATTGACATGAAAGCCCACAATAAGCCAGCATGTCGTCGCGGCGTGCTCTTGCAAGCAGCCACGCTCCGCCAACAACTGCATCACCTCAAGGCCTATGCTGCCACGTGTCGATACAACTTTCCTCGCTCACCCACGCTCGAGGCCCATCCTCATTTGTCCGATGAGGAATTCGTTTATAGCCTCAATGAGGTAGGCTGCTGCCAACTGCTCATGCACAAGAGAGTTCGCCAGGCTTCAACGGTTCTCATGTCGTGCGCTCATGAACGGGGGGGGGGATAGCTGGTGGCACTTTTCAATAACGACCTGCTGAAGCTGCTGACCCAACAAGTGTGCCTGGGCATCGATCACATTCGCAATTGCGAACTGTGTCACAGTCGGGGGTACTACTGTCTCATTTGCAATTCTTCGGAAATTATTTTCCCCTTTGAACTTCGCAAGACCACACGGGTATGATTTTGCTTCAGTGCCTTTCAGGAGACCGTCACGATCCGAGCCGCGGTGAAGGTGAATCTCACACACATTCTTCGCTTCATTCTCACACCCAATTGCAGTGCGACAAGTGCAAGTCGGTATATCACACCAAGTGTTTTGAAAAGGTGAGTGCAGCACGATGAGCCTTGCTTTCTTGGAATGTCAATTACGATTTGACACAAGTACATGAAGTACATGAAGTACATGCCTACCCACCATCCGTGTTGTGATGGCTGGTCTCTCATATGCCATGCAACATGCTTCTCCTTATATCTTTGGTAGCGTCAAGGGGCATGTGTGATGTGCGCTCGTCGCGCAGCTCTGGCCGCTAAGCGAGCCACGGCAGTCCAGGAAGGACCGGCGTGATCTGGCATGCGGTCTTTCCTTCTCTTTTGACACCGTGGCCGCAATGCCTTTTGGTCTTCTCACTCCTCAATTTACAGTTGAAAGAAGAACCTTACATCCGGGTGCACATGTGGATGCAAGTTGTTTAAAATTTCAGAGGGAAAAATCATTCTTGTGTCGGCCCTTCCCGCCGGCTCGTAGCAGTTTACGTAGCAAGGGATCATTGTCGAGAGGCAGAGGCGGAGCGCCCGATCAAGACTCGATGCCAACATTAAAAAAATCTGACAAAGAACCGTTTGTGTGTGTGTGTGTGTGTGTGTCGAAATTGGTGTTGTTTCACGTTCGTGTGCACGTTCAGCTGGGGCGGTATCTGTGGTCGTTCATGCCGCGACCCTCGGCTCGGGGTGTTTCACGTTGAGCCGAGCGGAGGTCAAAGGGCATGTGTCTGTGAGAGGCAATTGGGATCGTCAAGAGATCCTGTTGACTGTGGCGTAGCGACTTGACCCGCAGCATGAGCAGCAGTTTCGATCCCGTGGATGAGGAAGATGACTTGGCCTGGCGTGCTCGACGACGCTCCTTGCGACGCTCCGACGTATGTGCCCCTGCGCCCCACATCAACCGCTTTCTTTGCGTATTTGCCACAGGCTTTGAAGGGGCTCTTCTCCCGCTCTTCTATCCCATCAAAAGATTGGACCAAAAAGCTCTAAAACCTCAAGCCCGATCTCACCATTTCCAACTGGCTGATCCTAATTGACGTCCTTGTCACCCACACGACTGTGCTTGTAGTCCACTTCATCAAGTCACAACCAGAGCCGGCTCAATTCGGTATGATGGAGCTTGAATGGCAAAACTCCACGTGTCTGTGAAGATGGCATCGCCTCACCTCCTTCTGGTGATGAGGGTTGGTTCACCTGCAGGTACAGTCGAGCGGCTCGAGCAGGGCTGAGCTCTTTCCAGAGTATCGTGTGCGGGTTCAGCGCGAACGCGAGCGCAAGAGTCGCCGGAGGCGGTGCGTACATGGCGCTGTTTGAGAAATTGCGCTCTTTGGTCAAGCGCTTCTATACCTGAAAGCCACAAACGGCGTTGATATCGTGAGAAGATGATCATCCATGTGTCGGCCCTTGAAACCTTTAGGCAAAATATTCAGGCTGCTCGCGATGCCAAACACGCACCAGAAGTTCCCAACTGGGATCATGAAGCCAATGATGGTGCTTTGCCAAGGTGCAATTGCTTGAGGACATTTTGTTGTTGAATCGTGGCAACTTTCGTGTAAGGTGTATACTAATGCTGTCCTGTGCGGCGTCTTGTGGACCAATGCCAGGGATCGGGCCTATTCGACCGGGTGCGACGGCGGGGAAGCAAACAGCGAATCCTTGGTTCCTTTCCTAAAGCGTGAAGAGTATCTACGTCGTTACCAGCTTCAGTCGGAGATCACAGGAAGCCGGGCGCACTTGCCCTCAACCCGCGCGCCTCGCGCTGTTGTTGGCGAGACCCAAAGCACGCGCCTGAGCTCGCTTCCAGCCATTGCACCCGAAGCCAGATGTGGCTGTAAGTTTTGTCAGCCCCACGCCCAGTCACGGCTACCATCACGAGCCATGTGGACCTACGAACTGCTGGCTGTCCGCCTGTGGTGGCAAGTGCGCCTCCAGCCCCGGTCAACCTTGGATCTACTCGAACGGGGCGGATGCGTCTGTCCAGCAGCAGAGATCTTGCCACACTTACCGAAAGACAGCTACGCACAGTGGCCCAGCCGTGTCGAGAGTGCTCTGGCGGCTCGCCGCACGTCACTGATCCAAGAATTGGTAAGGGAAATTTAATATTCATATTCCTCATGGTGTTGCACAGTACAAGTTCATGGACAGCAGAGGTGAACATGCCCTTCTCACTTGTTGTCTCTAACTGCCCGAGCAGAACGATCGCGTGGCTGCACTTCGCCCATCGCCTACCTCCCCATCTTTAAGCAACGGAGAGACTGTATTCTTGTCCCTTGTCAGCGCCTATCGCCGTGCCTGGAGCGATGTTGTTGCGATTGTGCATCTCTACGATCCGGCCTTTGAGAGTTTGCTTCGGTAAATCCAACTCTCCCTTCCTTTTTCTGCTTTGCAAGCTTGATGTCCTCGTGCTGCTTACACTTCAATATTCAACGACGGGTTTGTACTGCTTCCATAGTGCGCGCACACGTTCTCGGCTGGAGCTGATCCTGCGCTGGTACAACCTGGCGTCAAGCTTGTCGGCGGTGCTTCCGTTGGACCCTCCGCCCCCGGCGCCCACCCTCAAATTTAAGCAGTCGGATTTTCGTCAAAGCAGGGGCGATGTGGCCCATTTTGTCCGTCATGTGCTTGGTGATGAGTGCTTACTTCAATCGCAGGCAGCGGACGACTTGAAGCTCAATCGTTCAGACTTGCGGGGCGCACTGCGCAGCCTGATGTATGAGCATAATATACGCGTGGCCGCCGAGATTCCAGTTTCAGCTCCGCCACAGGTTTTAACGATGCAGGACTTGGAAGATCTGGCTCAATTGGCACCAGAGTGTTGCTTGGGCTTACCCAGGGCCTCGACTCCTACGTCGCGCGGCTCGGGGTCCCGCGATCGTTCGCACAGCAATTCTTTCAAGGGCTTACAAACTGCTGCCATCCAGCGGGGGTGAGTCCTGCATTGCTCCGTGTCAAGAGCGCAATAGGCCAGCAATGCAATGGAGTTTTGTATTCTTCCTCAGGCATGGTTTGTGAAGGGCACTCAAGAGGCTGGGTTGTACTTGCTCGGGCTGTTTTCTGGCCTTTCCTGTCAAGTACTTTGGACGCTTGAACATGTGCTCATGTTCAATGGGTTGGTTGGCCTGTGACCGCCATCATTGCCACCATGCCTGTAGTATCGTCTATTCCTTTTCAGACCAAGATGGCAACATGTGCTACTTTGCCTTCCCGCTGGAGGAGTCCAGCGGCGAGCCTCTGGTTCTTGGACGCGTGTCTAGTCAGGCTGAGGACGTCATACGTCAACTCCACCTAGCACCCATGTAAGATGTGCATGTGCTTCGACCTGATCTTTTTTCGATGAGACGGGATACGGAATTGCGATCTGTGTGCGTTTTATTTCTCACACCTGGTTCTTCTGTCACCGTGTGGGGACCTGTTACGGGCCACAGCTCTCCACAGGCAGACACTTTTGCCCATGATGCTGCACATGGGATGTTAACGGAATCGACGACGCAGCGAGGCAGCTTTACTGCTCTGCGGCTGCACAAGCTCTTGACGGCAGCTCAAGCCTCGGCACAGGCTATGGCGTATCTTGGTGACGGACGAGATGGGGAGGGCTGGCTTAGCGCCACCTTTTCCTTCTGGCAGCAGCTTGATGCCTGTGAAACTGGCTTTGGTCCAAGCGGGAGGGATGTGGTGAGTCGAGGCTCCGACTCGCTTCGTGCTCAGTGCTGAAATCATAGTGACGCATGCTTGCTTGGTGTCATCTAGTTGCTACCCACACTACAACCATGGTTTTGCTGGGCCATTGCCAGTTGCGCAACCGTCGTCACTGCCATGCTTGAGATGGTCACACCCACGTACGGCTACCTGCCCAGCCATCACTCTCGTCTGCTGCTGGTTATTGTTGAAATCATGTTCGCTGTTGCTATCCTTATCGCCATGTAGGCTCGAAGAATGCCGGGGTCAACCTTCCGTCATGCTCATGAATCAGTGTCACCTGGCCGAACTGGGGCTTTCCGTGGGCTTCAAATATCGCGTATGTTTCCTGTTGACCACCTCCCCTGACCCTTGATGCGCGAAAGCCGTTGTATTTACTCTTATTCTTGACTGACCGGTTTGGCTTTGTGCTTGGCTTTTTTGCAAATTTGCCCAAACACATTTTTTTTTTGCTCTGTCCCGGCAGCATCGGTGGACACGAGCAGCGCGCACTCAACTGGACCCGTGTCTTGCGGTATGCCAGCCTTTTATCAGCCGGTTTGAGAACGCCTTGGATGCCTTGATTCAGGTTTGATCTGTGCGCGGTCTCGATGCCACCATTGACCGCCTCTAGCCTTCGTCTGGCATCCCTCAGCCCTCAGTGCGTCTTGCTTTTTACAATAAATAATACGTTGGTAGGGTTACAGTGCTGTCAATCGGCATCTCTGTGAGGTGGCGCATGAAATTCAACTCCGCCGGCATATCCGCGAACGCCTCGTTTTTTCGCGCCTCGATGTGAGCACGCCTTTCCTTCACCGACTAGTGCCTTGTGATTTCCCGTTGCTGATGGCTTACCATTACCATGCTATCCGATTACAGCTTGCCGATTTGCGCGTGACGCGCGCAGACGCCTTTGTCCATAATCTGCTGCACCCATACGAAGTCCTATTGGCACGCCTCTCTCCCGTCTTCTCGCGTGGCTGTTGGGACACCAATGGAGATACTATCCACAAGGCATACACGGACACTTGCTCGCGTTGCAGTCGCTTTCCCCAGGTAGCAAACTATTGTCGACACGGACAGGATCGTACAGTCCTTTCATGATCTGACACGCATGTTGTTGCGGTAGACGCTGGAGGTGATGGCTATGGATATCCTGCAGCCACTGCGCGAGCTGATCCAGTTGTTGCCTACCTTTTCGCGCCTCAACGTTCCCCATCCAGATTGGGCCTCAGGTGTTTCCCACCTTTTGCTGTTGCTGCTAATCAGGACGCATTGTACTCATGACACAATGCTAACAGCCATCCTGTTGTTAAACATGTTCCTCAAACTGCTGCTGCCATGTAGACTTTTTCGAAGAACTTAAGAGCACTTTCGATGATGTGACTGTTGTGCGTTCGCCCTTGCTTGCTTCAAAGACTTGGCAAGTGTGGTAGCAGAACCTGTCTCATTGTGATGTCGTTGCGCAGCTGGAGACGACTCAGCTGCAGTGGACATCAGATCACTCTGATGACAACGGGGTATGACAAACGGTCGATCGCTTGCTTGGGCATGTCTTACTTGGTTGAGTAATCATGATAGCCGCCATACAGGGTTGCGCTGATGCCTGGTGTATCTGTGTGTGTTTTCATTTGCACGTGTGGCGTGTCAGATTTTGGTCAATTCCTCGCACACGGCCATGCTCGTCTATGGGGAAAATCACAAGCAGCGAGCGTTGGAGCTGCAAGCATTCTGCCAACAACACACCCAACAGCTTGTTGAATTGACCGCTCTAGACACCAACAAGGATCAACTCCGGTCCCGCGTGGCCGACATCCAGCATTACTGCAAAGGTGCGGCCAACTTCTCGTCCCAAGATTTGTTGCATCGAACTTACCGACAGGCTTGTGCGTATACGGCTATTCTGTTGGCTGTAACTGAGTAGCTATGGTTAAATGCCTTTATGCACGACAAGCCTGTATCCCTATGGCTCAAACCGTGGCCCTCTCGAACAACATGGCCGTGCTCTTCAACGTTTTCCGTCACATTCTCGACCTCTTTCCAGGTATGAAGTGATTGCTCTGAGCAATTGGTGGCAGAGAGGCAGCTTATCAGACATTTCACGTGAATGTAGATCTATTGGACATGAGTGAGATTCCCATGTTGTTGTGCGATTGGCTGGATCTGCGTAACAACTCAAGCTGGTCTCGACGGGTTCTTCAAGCGGTGAGGCACAAAGGCACTGGTCGCAGCGTGTTTCAGAAAAAATGGTCCTTCTCTTCCGTTACATAAGGCTGAGGCACAGCTCTACTGTCAGGTCTCACCCATCATCTTGACTAATCTTGTAGGGTCGTACATTTGTCCAACATCTCATTCCAGAAGGCATCTGGTTGTGTCGCCTTTTTTACATGTTATCTGATGCTGAATTTGAGCAACTGTACTCTCGCCGTCATCTACTGCCTCGGCACGGCGATATGGAAGCCTTTGAGAGCGGTCAGTGTGCCTTGATCCAAGAAATGCGAGGGGAGAGAGAGCTTGAGAGAGAGAGAGCTTGAGAGATGTCTGCCTATTCATTTCGTCCAGTGACTGACATGCGAGGGCTTGTGTTACGCGGTATCCTGTAGATTGTGGATGCTCTAGCCAATCCTGGCTATCAATGGCACGTTTATCACCACAGGTTCGTCTGTGCCGTTCAAAGAATGCACGTGTGCCATGATGTTGAATCAGCTGGGCTAGCAAAGTACAGGAGATGGACGTCAAGCAAAGCTGAATTTTTGTGGATTTGCTGTACTGTAGCCGAGCATATCTACTCCCGCATTGCCACGCTTGGCCCAGCTGGACGTTGCGCAGGTACTGCAGACTGCATAATACCTGAGCTGTTTGGCGTGTTGTTGATTTGTCGTCTCTTCCCATCCCATCCCATCTGGCACGGGTCGCGTGGGGTGGTACGGCTTGCTTGCCACCATTGACCGGCTTTTAGGCGTGGAAGAGGGTGGATAGTTTATATCGAAATGGGATAAAGCGCAATTTGGAGGCGCTGCCTGTATCGCGCTCAGATGATGTCCAATACGGTCTGTGCACTTCTGCATATAGCTTGTTGGTACCGTATGGGCCAGCACTTATCAGGTGCAAAGCCTGGTCAAGAGCGTTCTTGTTCTAACCGGTCTCGATCTGCGGCGTTTGCATCAAGCAGGTCCCAATCGGCTATGGTATCTCGCGGCCGGAGAGCCATGCAGGTGGGTCTAGGAGAGTATATCGGGGTCTCTGGCCGCATGTCGTTTGGCATCGGCTCAAGGCTTGTAGCCTTTCTCGCGCAGGACGTGGATGAGGCGCTCACTTGTCTTGGCGAACTGTGGATGGTTGTCTTGATCATAGGGGTGGGTTTGGGCAAGTGCATGTTGCGTACATGGTGGCGGGGCGACGCAAGATTGCAGTCAAGTACTGCAAGCGATCAAGCAAAGAAAAGGTGTGCTTGCTTGTCTCAACTGTGCTGGCATGTTGCATACTTATATTTGTGGTCAGCCAATTCATTATGCATGGAATCCTCCTTCTGCGCAGGAGGCACTGGGGCTTGAAAGTGAGCACAAGTTTCTTCAGCGTTTGAATCATCCAGCAATCTGCCAGGTGTTTGCATTGGAACGGGCAGGGGATAAGCAGTACTTGGCCATGGAGTACTATGAGGGTGGCACGCTCAAAGAATTACTTTTCAATGCCGGCCAGCCGCGCTTTGAAGTCGAGCTGCAGTTTCAAGCTGCTTGCAAGTGCGAGAATCGTTTTCTGTGATCTGTGACGCTCACATCATTAGTACAGCTGCGATCTGCTGGTGTTGCCATCGCTCATTTTTTCTTTTTTGCTCGCCGCTTGCCTGTGCTGCTGCATCGATGGCTCGTGGGGAGCAGATACACGCGCCAGCTCATTGAAGGACTACACTACTTGCACACGGCGGGTGTGGCACACCTGGACATTAAGCCAGATGTACGTACCAAAGGAACGAGAAAAGGTGTTGCAATGCATCTGCCCGGCTGAGGGTGCTCATTGGTGATGCTGGGCTTTGGATGCTGGGCCGGCTTTTTGCACAGAATTTGATGCTGACAATCAACCACGTGCAGCTGGTGGTGAGTTCCGCCGTTTGTGGTCGACGAAGCGTAACCGTGTCTGGATGGCGCGCTTTGTTTCACTTTAAATTTTGCATCATTGACTAGATCATTGACTTTGGGTCAGCCCAAAGCCGTTCTGCGACTTCACAGCTCCCTGGCACGCATGGGTACGAGACTCAAGGACGCGTTTTCTCTTTTCTTTTATTTTTTTATTTTTTTTATTTTTTGGGGCCATCTTTGTCTCGCCAGTTGCGGGTAGCCCTTTTCGATCCGCGATGAAAGGGTGAAGTTTGGTCGGGAGTTGCGCGTCATGTGTTTCATTTTTCGACCGAGTCCATCTCATGAGACCGTTGTTGGGCATGCTCGGCAGTTATTCTGCACCAGAGCTATATGATCCAAGCTTGAGGACCGCGGGCGATTTGGCCACATGCGATGTCTGGAGTGCCTGCATGACGACCATCGCGATGTTGCTGGGCCGGAATCCAGACATTCCCGGAACGTCGTAAGGCTCGCCCGCTGAATCAGCGTTTTATTCACCCCCGCCTCTCAATTTGTAGACGTGCTCATCTCTTGTGGGCGGCTCACTCGTGCGCCTCCCTTGCTGGACGGATCATCTTAGAGAAGCAGCCCAGCAAGGACTGATGCAGCTTCGCCGTATTTATGGCAAACTTCCCGATTTCAACGAGTATGTCGAGCCATACTTGACCTCTGCCCTGTGTCTCGATACGCGAGAGCGAGCCACAACTGAGGCTCTGCAAGAGCTAGCAATTTGTCTCGACCACAGCCTGTTGGACTCATTCCAACAAGAAGTGTGATACCTTTTCGATAACTACCAAGTAAGATGCTACGTCCTGTCCTTCTCTTGTGCGTTGTGTGCGCGCCTCGAGAAAAATTGACACTGATCCATGCATCTGTTCAATGGGTTGGCGTCGCCAGCGTGAGCTTGGGGAGCCAACGTTGTCATAAGACCAAACAATTTTTGCATGCATGCACCTTCAGTATCCTTAAAAAAATAAAAACGAAACAAAGCTTGACAACCAACACTTGCTTTTGCGCACATGTGTGTGTGTATGCGCGTGTATGTGTATGTGTATGTGTATGTGTGTGTGTGCTGTTGTCAAGTAGCTGGTTGTCAGACGTTTAGGTTGCAGTCCTGAGTTTTGTTGGCAACAATGGATTTTTCATTTTTTGTTGGATGAGCTGTGGCTCGGATTTGAGCTGCAGTCACTCCTTGTGGCAAGAGCGAACGGAGCAAGAGCATGGGTTCGGGAGCCAGCAAGGGGGCTGCGGCGCCCGTGGCGTCATCTGGGCAGGAAAGCAATGCCGCCCCGGTCGCCCCGGTGGCGCCGCGTGGAAGCCAGAAGCGACGCACCTTGCGGAAGCAGCCCAAAACGCCGGAGCCGGCACCTGCGCTAGCTGCAGCAGAGACGCGTCCTCCCGTCTCGAACGGTCTCGCCAATACCGGCGCCAAGGTGACGGAGGAAGATCAAGTCAAGGCCTTGCAAGATCGCAATAAGGAGCTAGAGGAACAGCTCCGACAATGCCAAGAGGTGAGCTTGATGAAACTTGCTTGAATTTGGGTGATCGCATCCTGGCTCCGGCTGACCCAAGGCATGTCCACGATGAAATACGTGCAACGATCACAGGCAAGCAAGAGCAAAACCCTCGAGACAGCTGCCAGCAATCGTTTGCCTCCGATCAAAAACGTTTGTGCCCGCCGTTGTCCAAACTTTGGACCTTGTCCTGCCAATCGTGTTGAGGCCCTGACTCACACCCTTTCAATCATAATTAGCGACGAGATTCGTCCGTCAAGGCCGAGCTCAAGCAGACAAAGTCAGAGCTCGCCAACGCCCAAAAGCAACTCAAGCTGGCCGAGCAGCAGCTGGCCAAGTCGCGCCGACAAGTATGTTAAACACCCTAACGACCCTTGCTGCATCCATCTGCTCCCGCTCACTCATTGTGACAAAATGTTGCTTGTCCCCCCGCACCCCCCCTCCAATCCTTGGCTTGTTCTCGGGTCAGAGCAATTCAAATCTGCCCACCACTGAAACTGGCCAAAACGACAAGCTTAAACTGCGACAAGCCCTGGCGCGCATCCGTGAGCTTGAAAGCAAGCTCGGCGTTGACAATCTCAATACGCCCACCATGCGCCGCCTCTCCACTGTCTCCCTGACTTCCCCGCTTGATGTGGATGGAGACGAGCTGCAAAACCCGGCTCCCGTGCGTTTGTCAACTCCCTCGCACACACACACACACACACACACACACACACATACACGCGCACACATGTACATCATGTCATGATCAGCATCCAATTTTGGCATGCCCATGACCTTGTGAATGGTTAGCCGGATTCAGCGTGGTGCTGTTTTTGGCAATGTAGACGAGTATCTTGGGCTGGGATGATGCTGTCACACCAGAGGGTTTGGAGCAGGCCTTTATGACCTTTTACACCTTTCGTAGCGTGGTGGAGCCCAGTCTTGAGCTTCGTACTGCGGAGCCGCCTAAACTACCTGAGAATTTGGGTAAGCTCCCTGACCGCCCGTTCCATCCCTTTGTCAAGTCCTGGCAATGATATCTGTTTGTGGCGCGAATCGATCCTTCTCCAGATAAAGCAGCCATTGCTAAGAAGCTGCTTGGCAGTCGAGAGAAGACATTTGAAGATTTGATCTCCTATGACCGTCTCCAGGTACTGCTGCCTCTTTCAGGCCATGTAAAACCGTCTGATGCCGCTTCCCTTCTCACCACTGCATGGACTGTAATGTCGATGCTGCTCACTCAACTTGACTGGTCGTATGGGACGTTGTCGCGATTCCTTGCGTGTCTGCCCCATCTCTTGCTAGGAGGCTTGGGGCCAAGTGAATCTGCGGAGTACGTGTTTGCACGAGCTGCCTCGCACTCGCTCGCTCACACTGTCGCCTTGGCTTCTCGACTTTGCTGTACAAATAGCCATTCATTTAGTGCCTCATCCATTTGTCGCCTGGCACTGCTGCAGATCTTGGTGGTGCATCCGTGCGCAGCATCCATCAATTGCTCAAGAAAAAGTTTCCCGACTGGCAATTGACGAAGCGTGGCTTCCGTCGGGCCTACTGCCGCGTTTTGTCTCAGGATGGCGATTACATTTGCTGGATTCGACAGCACGAGTTTGCTTGGTTGCTGCATGGCGCATTTTGGTACGAGCTCTGTTGGCCGTTTCTTCCAGCAGAGGACGTTGATGCCAACCAATGGGTCACGCAAGAGCAATTTGTCAACATTGTCAAGCAGCTCGGTGCCGGCCTGAGCCAAGAGGATATTGAAGCGCAATGGGCGTCCCTTGACAGTTTTGGCAACAGTGCCACTACGCTGGAGGCCTTGATTCTCTTTCTCATCCGTCTCAGTGGTCTGGAAGCGTCGATGCAAACCATTCAGCTCACGTGGGCGGAAAAGATGCGTCAAAAGCGCCGTCTGTACTCACAAAGTAGGTGGCTGCTATTTTATTGCCGTCTTGCGCGGGTTGCGACAGTTCGTGCCTTACTTTACTCTCGCTGATTCCGGCCGGCCCATGCAGGTGAGCGTGCGCTATCGAGCCGCTTGCAAGTTTCAGAGGCGCTGCAAGATCGAATGATGGACTTGACCACCGATGAGTCTCTCGAGGTATGGGCACAAATAAGAAAGAAGGAGAGGACGCATGAACACCCCTCCCCTCGCATCCACGCAGCCTCATGCTGGTCTATGGGTGCAACCTTCCACTGTTAATCTCAACCCTTGCTTGCCTGCCCCGAATATCGTTCATCATCTTGCAGCAACTATGGCATTCCATCGACTCCAATCGTACGTTTACGCTGTTATCATGCACAAACTGCGCGCTCCAGGTGGCACATTGATACGTTGTTATGTATCCGTAGGCTCAGGCAGTGCATCGGTGAACGAGCTGTCTACCATGTTGCGAACGGTCAAGCTGACAATCAAACCTCCTGTTATTATGGAGGCACTTCACTGGACGGACCTTGACGAGGTGCCTAGTGGCCCTCCGTCCATCCCCGAGAGCCAATTGGCCGGTTTTGTGAAGCATTGTCTGATTTTCCAGCAAATCTTTGAGGTGTTTGAGAAGTTGGACATTGACCACGATCGACGAATTGAGCGTGCCGAGTTTGGCAAGGCCATGGCCGACATGGGTTTCAAACTCAAGGACAAAGAGCTCGACCGCGAGTTTAAGCTTTTGGATCTCGACAACAGTGGTCGAGTCACGTTTAAGGAATTGTGCGAATATCTCGTGGATGTTTACAGTCACTCGGGCTTCACTTCAGACGGTCGGTGGCAGGCGTGATCAAATGCCCTCCTCTTCTCTTTTGCTCCCAACCCTATTTTGCATGTCGAGGTGTCATGGTTGAGTCTGCGCTTGAGTTATATTCTTTTGGGATTTGCAGTTAGGCCCTCACAATGCACCATCTTCACTGCACATGCTTGCCACTTCTCGTAGGCACCATCAGCGTCGATTTGTGCGTCAATACCATGGCAGCCGGTAAGCATGGTACTCCAACAAGCACCAATCACCCAATCAAATGTCTGCTGTTTTTCTTGCTCGTTGATGCCCTTGTGCCTACCACCCACGGCTACTGACAGCACCCTCGGAGGCTTTGAAAATGGGCAACCAATTTGGACACGTGGTCAACACGTTTTCCAGCTTTTTGGCGGATAACTTTGCCGTGGAAAAAACCAAAGTAAGGTTTCAAACGCAGCTCTCATGCCCAAGTCAACTTGCAATTCTCTTCCTTTTTCTCTGGATAAAAACATCAAGACGCTCATTCCAATAAACGCGTGGACAGGTGCGCTTCGCCGTGGATGGTGAATTCAGCGATGCGGCGACGCGCGAGGAAGCAGCCGTGTTCACCTCGGACCCTGCCAAGGCGCAGGAGCTATTGGCCAAAGCCGAGGCTCCTGCTTCAGCCCAAACGGATTTGTCGCGCGCAGTGACAGCAAGTGCTGCTCGTCGATTTCGTGCCCCTGCTCGGGTTGCCTTGATTGCACCTAGCGAGGAAGCCACTTACTGCTATTCAGTGGCCCTCACACAAGCGGCCTCCCTCTGTACCCGCCATCACATGACGCCAGTGTTTGTCCTCTCCCAAGCCAACCTGGAGAACAAGACAGTGCAACAATTTGCGAGTTTGTATGGCAGCCCGGTGCGGCCAGCCAGCGTTTTTCTGGCCATGGACGATCTGCATGTTATCTCTTGCATCGACGAGTCGCTTGACATTGTACCCTACTGGACCGACATTGTTCGCGTGCACAACACTTGGATCCAAGCGCGGCAAACCGACCCGCTGGCCACGCGTGACGTTGTTTCCGTGTTGCCCGCTGAGGGTCTTCACGTGCCCATGACACGGCGTTCCGTCTTTGGTGCCGGTCGCTTTTTGCCCGTCTGCCGCCGCGGGGATCAAGGCATCTCGCGTGCACTCAGTCAGGCAGTTGCGCTAGCGCATGACGACTGCGAAACCAAGAGCAAGGTTCCTGCGATCATTGTTTAGTAAGTTTGCGAGCCTGGTGTTTGTGGCGGCTGTTCACGATGACCGCGCTTGCGTCCCACCTCATGTCTGGCTTACATTTGTACCTGATTGACAGTGCCTTCAAAGGACAGGCCGTGCACTTGGACGAGGCGACGATGGCCAAGCTTCAAAGCCTGCCACGCTTGGCTGTTTTGGTCGTGAATGTGGACGGTACCAAGAGTTCCGAGGAAAATCATGAATCATTGAAGCAGCTGATCAATTGTCAAGTTTCCTTTGTCAATCTGGATTCCCCAGATGCGGTCGGCAATGAACTTCTCAAGCTGCGTTCGGAGGCACTCGCTTCGTCGTCAGCCATGAGCTGGGTGGGACACCTGGCTCAAGCCGTGGGCTCGGCAGCGCAAATTGCGCCGTTGGGCAAGACGGGAGCCTTGCCCAGCACGCTCACCTGGCCAGCTCGTGCCGCAGAGCAGACGAATGGCAACCAGCAGCTGCAGGTAACTTATGAGGACGAGGATGGCACGGCCGCGCAGAACGTGGGCATGGACATCCGCACCTATTTTGATGCGTTTGCTGCCTTGGCGCGGCGTGACCTTGGTGCTTTGACGCTTCGGGCTATGAATGAAGGCAATGAGGCAATCACGGGGCTTCAACACCTGACCGAAGCAGTGCAAATGTTGGCTGCCGCTGCCAAGGAGGATGTGGCGCGAGCCGAGGGGGAGCGTGATCGAGCTGCGTCATTGGCCTCAATTCCTAACAAGGAGGACGTTACACTAGCTTATGCGGGTTTGATCCAGGCGCGTCGTGACGTGACGCATCAGGTGCAACGCATGGTCGATAATGCGGCTCTTGAGTACAAGCGCTTGTCCGAGCAGGTCGTTCAGGTCCAGGCTGAGCTCAAGCCGTATCAAGAGTTGTCGGCCGACCTCTTTGCTTCCGCGGCAAATCACGACTGGACTCAATGCTCCCAAGCTTGGTCATCGCTGGCTGGCTTTATCGAGCAACACAGTGCGGCACTGGACGATGTCTTGCGTCAACTCAAGGCGACCATCGAAGCAGAGCTGCCCGTTTTGCTTGGCAAGGTGGAGCTGCTGTGCAATCAGTTGCCATCTGATTTGGTGCCGCCAACTCATTAAATTTTTGTTCTGGACGTGAGCGGCTCTGTTCGTGGCTTTGGTGCAAGCCAGTCCGTCACGGACGTGCTCCAAAGCCTTTATTCTCAGTATTATGCTGACGACGTGGTGCGTCGATCTGTCGACTCAGTGTGCATTGTTCCAGTGCCTGGCCCTAGCCAGGCTTTTGCGGAGCGCCCAGAAGCTCTCGCACAGTTTCAGATCAGCGAGAATGTGGTGGACTACTTTGTGTCCGCTGAGCAGGTGTGGGACCTTGTGAGCAAGGCTGCTGGGTTTGCTGCCTCGCGCAAAGTGGTTGTCAATATCATGTAGGTCATGCACGCGTGGAAGTGATTTTGTCGTCCCCGCAAGTCTTTTGGTCTTTTCAACCCCCCATCTTGTTCATTGCCCTTGTTCATGCTCGCTCTTGATCGGGGGGGGGTTCCCATTGTGAATTCACTCCTCCTTCCTCCCCATCCTCGCTCTCGCTACGTGCTACTTCTTGACTTCTCACGGAACGCGCGGCCGTGCTTTGAGTAGCTCGGATGGCATGTTGGATAGCTTGATACCGCAGTTGCTGGGCAAGCACGATTTTGCCGCTGGCTGGACCATCAATACGATGGTCGTGGGCCCACATGTCGACTCGATGGCAGCACGCTGCTTGGCCGCAGCTGGTGAAGGGTCCTTCTGCCAGACCACAACTCATTTGGCACACGCACTCAGCGACATGCCCTACCCCTTGGATTTCGCACTTCTTGATGCATTGCCAAAGTGCGCAGAAGTGGCCAAAGTAGCCTTCGTCCCGAGTATTGTGCAGCCGTCTCGGCTTGCACAATCGGCAACCAACAGCGACCGCGTGCGGGTAAGTCGAGCCATGCATCCGGTAAGGTTGACACAGCTTCTCTTGTGGCTTCTGTCCTCACAAGCTCGGTGGCGTCGCTTGTGCCGCACAGATGATGCTTTTGGCTTGGGTTAACGCAGCGTTGGGGCGCGAGTCAGTGGCTACATTTGATTCTCTGGATGAGTTTCAGCAGGACGAGGGGGCTGTCATTCAGCTGATTGACAAGCTCTGTGGCGCAGCTTCGGCCAGTCCAGACATGGCGGTAAGTTCAACACAGCCACACGCTCTGGCAAACATTATCGGTGGCCGACTGATGCATGGGGATTTATGGGCGTTTTATTTGTTTTTACCATCCAGCGAGCACTCGAGCTCTTCCACCGCACTTTCTCCGGCAAGCAGCTGGATTCCAAGTTTATTACAGGTTGGTCTGAACTGAGCGATCCAAACAGAGCCAACCGTTTTTGACTTGGGGGGAGAAAGGAAAGCTGTTGGCACGCTGTCCTTCTTGTTGGTCTGCTGCGCTTGCTCGAACCGCATATCTATTTTGACCCGCGTTGCTGTTTATCGTCAAAAGGAGCTGGCCACACTTTTGCCAAAACATTGTACATCATGTACCGGCTGGTGGCAACCTCGAAAGAGACGGCAGATGTGAAAGACTTTGTACGTGAGGAAAACGGTGCTCGAGCGTCAAAGTTGAAGGTCCTGATGGGACTGGACAGGAGGCGGCTTTGTGCGGGCGTTTTTAACACTGTGGTGCTTATTTTATCAGGTCGCAATGGAACTTCAAGGCTTGGGGCTGGAGGTACCCGATTTTTCCCAGGTGCGCACCCGTGATAGCTAGCCCAAGCACGCTTGGCACTGCCACAATTTTGCGTCATGATTTGAGGCTGATGTTTGCAACGTATGTCACAATGCCTAGGCGTGGACCTCGGGCAAGTTATTCCTCCATGTGTTGGAGCGAATGGTGCCAGGCTCGACGCAGGGTAAGTTCGGCCGTGTCTTGAACAAGCACAAGGTTTTGGTGTTGTTTTGGTGTTGTGTTTTCTTGGCAGCCTGTTCCTTTTTCCTTTTTTAACTTTTCGCCCTTTCTGACAACGTGGTTCCTGTGTGTGTGCGGTTGGTTTCAAAATTACAGCGGCTTTGACGCTGCCAGCAGATAAAATGTTGGCCGAGTTTTTCAAGGTGGCTCAGAAGGAGCTCAACACCCAGTTTACTACCCAACCCTCTGATTTCCACTCGGGCCATTCAGAGCGACCCGTTATACAGACGCTGGCAGCGCTCATGCAAAGCTTCGTTGAGCATGCCTCGAGCAAGGCGATTGCGGAGGGCTTCAAAGCGTCAGCATCACTCAAGGCGCTGGAGGACAAGCTCGCGGATGCCGTGTCTTGGGCAACGGAGGTGCACGAAGCTGGTCAAGAAGACGCGACGCGAGCCGCTGAGGTAGCCGAGGGGTTGATTTCAGCCCTTGAAGGGCTGCCCGAGGATGTCCAGGCCCGACTCAAGCAGCAATGCCGAGAATACCAGTTGGCAATTCAGGTATGACCTGGCTTTTTTTTTTTTTTTTTTTTTGAATGCATGGTGGATTATTTTGAGAATGAGTGAGCCAGTGCTCATTTGTTGGTGGGTCGAATGGTCAATGCTTTTGTTTTCTAGGATACGGTGGCAGACTTGAACGAGCTGCCCGACTTTATCAAATGGAGTCAGGAGGTCGGCAAAGAAGTTGTGGCCCTGCGGGCGACAGCAGACAAAGCGACAGGGGAGATCAAGACGCGACAATCTACAATCACTTGGCAACGGGATTTGTTGGTGGTGCGGGACCGCGCGCTTGCTCTGGAAAAAGTACAAGAACGTGTGGCTGTTCTGGAACCCATGGTTGAGGAGCGCTTGAACCAAGCGGAGCGCAAAGCCTTTGGGGCCGTGGACAAGTTGACAAAGGACTATGAGGCAGGCAAAATTCGCACGCCAGGCCTGTTTCACTTTTGTAAGTTTCAAGCATGCACGCGGGTCAAGTCGGCCGCGGACGTAGCTGTGGGTCAAGGCAGTTGTACGTATTTTCATGGGCTTTTTGTGCTATGAATAGTGTTTGGTCTGGACGAGAGCGGATCGATGGGCGGCGACAACTGGGATGCATTGCTCAACTCTTACAGCAGCTTTATGCAGTCACGTGTGCACGATGAACTCAACCTGGCGGATCGAGTGACGGTGGTACAATACAGCGACCGGGCGCGCACGACGCTGGCGAAAGCGAGTATGCGTGAAGCAGCGGCATTTGTGCCGCAGATGAACGGAGGAGGCACCGACTTTAACGTGGCCATTCAGGAGTTGCGAGGGCAAGGCAAGACCATGTCGAACATTTTCCGTCCCGTTCTCATCTTCATGTAAGCAATATCAACGATGGTGGCATGGGGGAAGCTCGAGGGAGTGTGATCTGAGCGCGTTGTTGTGCGTGACGGCGAACAAACTGAGTGAATGCGGGTGAATTTCTGTGTGAGCGTGCTGCGCATGTGGCTCATTCTGTCGTGGCATGGCATTGATAGGTCGGATGGCCAGGCCTATGATCCACGAACTGAGCTGGAGCGCATGAAGGCTGAGTTGCCGCACATGTCTTCCTTTATGGTGGCGTTGGGGCCCAATGCGCAGGTGGCCGTGTTGCAAGGCATGGCTGAGTTGGTAGGCGGTCGATTCCAGCATGCATTGGATGTATCAGACCTACAACGCTCCTTTACCGAGGCTTCAAAGCAATCCGAGGCTCGCCCCAAGCTCACCAAGATCCGCCGCCGAGCTCGCGGCATGTAAATGAAGTTGAGGAGAAGAAGAAGAAGAAGAAGATGAGACTGTTGTTGTTGTTCGTCAAAGAGGCATGGCCATTCTATAATATGTATTTTGACAGACCCATGTCATTGACCTCCTCGGTGACCCGAGAACAGGCGGGAGTGAGGGAGGGAGTGAGCGAGCCGGAGATGCTCAAGCTCTTGAGTTTTGGCGATGGCCATCCCATACCCTCTCTAAGGATCTACCTGCCTTTGGAAATTGATCCAAAAAGTTTCCCATACATGAAAAACGAACCTCCTTTTTTTTTTTCCTCCCTGGTTGATCGTCACCCTTTTTCCAGCAGCCCAGCAGTTGTGTTGTTGTTGTTGTTGTTGTTGTTGTTGTTGTTGTTGTTGTTGCACAACAGCAATAACTAGGCCCACGGGTACGTGTTTGGCCCAGTCGCACTGGTTCAGGCAACAAAAGGGGGAATCGCATCATCATCATCACACAATGGGTGGAAGGTAGCGAAGGGTATGGATCTGACTTTGAGCCTGTTCCTCGTGCCCTTGCCCGTTCCCATTTCGCTACCCAAGTATGGTAGTAGAAGTCCATAGTCTGAATCTTCGCCACCGCATCGACCAAGGCGCGTGCCTGAAGGGAGAGAGGGCAAAGCCACAGCACCCAGTCACGGCCTGCCACGTAGATTCGCTCAGAATGTTCTGTCAAACCCTTTTGCACACTTCAATAGTGGGACGCCCCCCGCCTTTGCCTCTTAACCTTTGACCTTAACTGGTGCTTGCTGCTTTTGTTCCTCCCTCTGTTTGGTCTCGTGCGTGTGTGTGTGTGTGTGTGTGGAAGATCAGTTTGCTTCTTCGTGGTACGCAGCCCATCCTTCTGGTGTGTGTGTGTGTGTGTGTGTGTGTGTGTGTGTGTGTGTGTGTGTGCGTGTGGAGCTGGAAATGGCAGAGGGGTTGTGCGCGGTATCTGGTTTGGTGTGTGGACCCGAGGGTGATGATCCGACCGCATAGCTGGTGCCAACACAGCAGCACATTGCCATCGCATCACATTACCCTCAGCCAACCAACAGATCCCCCCCCCACACACACCAATCAACCAACCAGTCCAACACACCAAAGCCCGAGGAGGCCGGGGGCGGGAAGAAGGAGGGAGGCGAAGGGTGGTCCTGGCGGTTTTAATGGAGTGTACTCCTTGCGCGCGCGCTCTCCGCTCCCACAAACACACCTGCCTGCCTCGCTAGCTGAAGCTCGTGCGGCGAGTCCAAACAGTGGATTACCATCAGACGTACACGCGCCTGTCTGTCTGTCTGTTTGTCTGTTTGTCTGAACCGCCTTGATTCAAGAGAGAGGGTTGGTATCCATCCAACCAACACACGCCTTGCTGTTCCCTTGGTGGGCGGTGCCTCGACGTGTGGTGCTTGCTGCAGTGCACACAGGCACACAGGCATATATACACAGTTCAAACACGCACCACTTGGCCCGTCTCTTCTCTGACTTGCATGAACGGCCCCGTTTCGCGTACACCGCGCTGCCTATCTCACCTTCCGGCCCCGATCACTTGCATCCGGTTCAGTATTCTCAGAGTGCCGCTGGTTCGGCCCTCGCTCTTCGGGTGCCGGATAGCTTCTTGAACCGGCGCCTCGCCCTTCACACCTGGCCGGCGACGCCCCTCAATCGCTTGACCCTGCGAGTCGAGGAGGGCGAAGACAGAATTTGTTGTTCTTCCACCAGAATCAACAGCATGACTCGAGCCCTGCTGCTGGCTCCGGCTGGCTTACTTGTGCTCTGCCTCTTCTCTGCTGTCGTGCCTTCAAGTGCGTTTGATTTACCTGGATCAATCGCGCTCGCTCTTTCGATGCCTTTGGCTGTCTTCCTATCCTTTGGTTGATTGCAAAGCGTGATGCGTCTCGCCTTTGTACGACTTTTGTATACTCACCTTTTTCTCCCGGCTCTGTCGAACCGTACCTCCAGCTGAAGCTCGTGTTTACTGTACATACGGTCAATACGTCAACAACACCGACGAAACATGTCGCCCTTGCCCACAAGGCTTTTACAAGAGCTGGTCTAGGCACGATGACATCACTTGCATTGTCTGCCCGCCAAGTACGGCCGCCACACTCCCACCCGCACCCCTCTTTGACCCCCCGGCGGTTTTCTGCTCACAGTTTCTCCTACCGTATAGACCAGTATGCTCCCAACGAAGGGCAGCGCATCTGCTTCAATTGCCCTGCCGGCAAAATCTCCTTGGAAAATCGCACCGGTTGTGTGGACTGTCCCGCCGGCTATTATGCAAACCAAGGTATGGGATTGCCATTCCCCCAGGCGGCCTTTCCTTGTTTCCTTTGCCAAGCTCACTGACCCTATCATTGGATGCATTGTTGGATGTATCCAGGCTACACCTCCTGCTATCCATGCCCCGTCGCGCGGTATCAACCCATGTCTGGCCAAAGAACCTGTGTACGTTCACTTTGATCCTTTTGACTCATATCCTGGCCACGGCACAGCATAGCCATCTCTTGACGTAGCCGCGTCAACTGCCCCGCGCCGTAAAAAGACACGGTGACAAGAGAGAACCCGAGTCAGAGGGACGAGAAGGGTGGATACAAACATGGAGATATGGGCGCCGATACAGCCTCGGGGACGTTGAACCCAGACACAGCCACACAAAAGAAAAATGCTTACGACCGGTCTTGACATGATTCTATCGCCTGGTCCCTGGCCTTGGTTGTAGCTCTACTGCGAGCCCGGCAAGTACCAGGATGAACGTGGTCAAAGCTCGTGCAAGCTTTGCCCCAAAGGGTTCTTCAACCCGTACACAGGGCGCATCAATTGCGACTATTGCAGCGCTGGCCGCTTTAGTGATCGCGAAGGTGCCACGACCTGCCCAACCTGCAGACCAGGCGAGTACCAGGACAAGAGCCAAAGCTCCAGCTGTAAAGTGTGCCCACCCGGCACCTACTCCAACTGGATTGGCCGCACGAGTTGTACCAACTGCAGCGCCGGGTGGTATGCTCCCAACAACCGAACGAATCAGTGCAATGCCACCATCGATGGCTGGATGACAAGCTACGAAGGTGCCACCGAGCCCGAGACCTGCCCACCCGGGCAGATCACTCAAGGGGTGGCCAGCAGGTCCTGTCGTAACTTCACCAACGGCGAAGGCGGCATCGATGAGGGCTACCCCGTCGTCTTCCTTGACTATCCCTGCCCCGCTGGTCAAATCGTCAACGCGTCCCACCCCCAGCGCAAGTGTATGAAGTGCCCGCCCGGTACATATCAGCCGTATACGGGTCGCACCGAGTGCTACGAGTGTCCAGACGGCCGATTTTCCGATCACTATGGCATGCGTACCTGTGCCAGCTACAACCGCATCCCCAGCGGCTATTATCTGGACCCTAATATCACGCTCAACAAGACAAGCGATTACCCCCATACACCCTGCCCTGCCAACACGTATCGTCGTTGGGACTTTAGCCTCAGCAACTGTGTAGATTGTCCGGCCGGCTCGTCATCACCGCCCGGGTCCGGGTTGTGCATCTCAGATGTGCCTCGTGGATGCGTGCCGGGCGAGTACTGGACAGGCTCGAGCTGCAGTGCCTGCCCCCATGGATACTTCACCGATCAGGCTGACGCCGTGGTCTACAACCGTGTATGGCAGTGTGTTCCGGGCCAGCACCAAAATGTTAGCTATACCACTTCCTCAGATCGCATCTGCACCGCATGTGAGCCGGGAAAGTATCAAGACCAATCGGGCTCCACAGCCTGCAAGTCCGTCAGTGTGTCCAGCTACGACTACACGGATTATTACGGTGCTTACTATCCAAGCAAGGCACAGTATTGCTTGCCTGGTACCTACGCCCATGAATGGGTGGCGGAAAAGCCGGCCGATTGTCGCGCCTGTCCCGAGGGCAAGTACCAGGACCAATGGCATCAGCCCTCCTGCAAAAATACCACCATCTGTCTTCCCGGCCAGTATCAGGTCACAACTCCATCCGTTCGACGGGATCGCCGCTGCTACGACTGCCCAGAAGACCGCCTTACCCCGTTTGAAAATGAACTTCGCTGTGACTACCCTGAGCTATGTCCATCCGGGTGGGGTGTGGTGAGTCTTGTGTTGTGACTGAGGCTTCTGCTTCCTCCGTTCTCGTGCTCATGCCATTGGGCCTTGCCTTTGCTCGTTTCGCTATCCATGCAAAACGGTTGACGGTTGACGAGCAGACACAAGAGTTTACGACATCTTCCGAGCGTGTTTGTGCACCTTGCGTTTTGGGTGTGACCTACAACGACGATCCTGACGGTGGCGTTTGCAAGGTATGGTATGGGCTGCAAGACGAGACATGACAAATGTGCATGTTGCTGAACCGCGGCGCCATCTCGTCAAGCTGATGTATCTCAGTATCTCAACATGTCTCATGATTCGTGTGCTCCTCGTCTCGTTTATGGTCTGGAGTAGCCCGTCAACGCGAGTTGCCCTCCTGGCACAGGGTATCTGGCCGAGCCCACACTGTACAACGACCGGTCCGTTTCGACTCTTTCATGCGCAGGCATCCTCGCACATCTCGTATGGTGCCACCCTAATCCTTTCCTTGCATCTCAATTGTCGCTGTTATCCCGCTTGCGCTATCGTAGAGCGTGTTACGAGTGCCCCTCCAATGCTTTCAAACCCCACTGGGGCGATGAGAACTGCACGCACGCAACCATTTGCGATGTGCGCGAGCGCGAGACAACGCCCATCACCCCCACCAGCGATCGGGTTTGGTACGTTGTGCCTACCAATGAATGTCAACCTCCCCCAACTCGGTGTCAGCACGGTGATAACCTGATCTTGGGTGGCTTCAGCACGTCTCGCTACTACTGTCAGAATACGGTGGATGACTTTGGCCTGGACTGTGAATGTCGCTCTGGCTGCCGAGACTGCTACAAATCTCCTTCCGGTGATGATTATCTTCTCGTACGTCCCCGCGCAGACAACTTCTGCTGGGACAGGAGCACAAGCCTCAGGATGCCTGCTTGCCTAAGTGTGTCCAACCTTGATCTCATTGCGATCATCACCATCATCATCTCTAGCTGCGCACCAATGGTGCCCCTTCTTCAGAGGCCACCACCAAGCATCCCATATGCTTCAAGGCCGACAATTACACGTCCGATTTCACCGAGCAAGACATTGTGAACAGCTGCAGCATCGCGTGCCGACAAGATGCTGAATGCAACGGCTTTCAAGTTTATCCACGCACAGCAGACGCCACCCTGCGTGGCAGTTGCTGCCTCAAAGCCTCGTACGCCAAGCCTCTATCTACTGTTGCGTGCCGTTCTACCCCTCTGTTGCCTCAATCAGTGCTCATGACTAATGACTATTGGTGTTTGCTTGGTGATTATTGATTGGCTTTGAAACCATGCCAGCTTTGATCCAAACGCCATCTCGGACGAAGATGGGGCTGACTTTTACGAAATGGAAGGCTGCATCAGATGTCATGACGAGCATTATCTTGACGGCCAAGTTTGCCAGCCCATGTCCCAGTTGCCGGGGCTCGGGTACAACGTACGTTGGGTGAAAACCCGGGCTTTATCGTGGTTGTGAAGCAAATATGTTGCAGCCGATCTTTTGGCCCTTTTGACAATGGTGTCGTCCAATGTGGAGTGGTTTGAACGCAAACCATGTCTTCATCGCTTCTTACGCTTGCAATCACCCCCTTGGGTTGTGCTTACTATTATATCGTGGTTTCAGGAGCTGACCTTTGCTGTCCCCATCAACTTCCCGGGCAATCAAACTTTGACACACGTGAACATCACGCGTCGGGAGGGGTATTCATACACATTTGCCATAACCGAGGTGCAATCAGCCATTTTGGCGCCCGAAGACCTCATTATTGATCCCAACACGGGAGCGATTACGTGTACATCAGATTTGGCCACCATTGGGCAGGTCGTTTTTACCGTGCAGATTCAGGACAATCAGTCTGTCTGCTTCCTTCTTGATGAAGACGGCTCGCCCACCAAGCTGCTGAGCGGCTGCACCCTCGACATTGAGTTTGATATGACGGTGGTGGGTTTCCTCTCGTGCCCCGATGACATCATCTTTTACATTCCTCTAGCCGATACCGAGGCCTTGATTCAGTGGCAAGAGCCACTCATTCCAGCGACCGCCACCAGCGTCAACGTCACCCTGAACAACAACCAGACGGTCTTTGAAGCTGGTACTTATGAGGTGCGACCTGCTACGACCCATACTTATTTTTTTTTTTATCTTTTATCTTTTTTCTCTTTTCTCTTTTCTCTTTTCTTTGTAAGCCTGGTATTGCGTCAAGCTTGCGCTCACGTGTGCCACTCCTGTGCTTGCCTTTCGAGCAGATTATCTATCAAACGACACCTCTCTACAACAACGATGTTCTCAACTGCACATTTTCCGTGCTGGCCATCAACGGGTTCCGTCGCAACGTGTCATATGTGCGGCACGAGTCCACGGCAAACATTGCTGTGGATCACGTCCTGGAGGGCACCGCCTATGACCGCCGCGTAAGTACATATATTATGCCATGAGGCAGCAAGCCTCAAGCAGCTCAGTCTGCGCTGGCGTCCATTGGCTTGTATTGTGTTTTCTGGATTGAGTTGTAATCTGATACTTTTTTTTTTTTGTAGGTCCTGCTGCCCGAAGCCTTTTACGGTGATTTGAACCGAGCCAGCTTTGCCTACGGCGTGTATAGTCCCAATGAGAAGCCTTTCACGGTCTTTCAAGCTGATGGGGTAGAGGCACGCGTTCACATTCGGCTGGCTTGGTGTGCCAGTGGCACCATGTTTGATGCGAGTCAACTGGTGGCTACAGAGCCGCAGATTCAGTTTGCAGGCTCGGATATCGAATTTGAAGATCTTGGCTCAGGCGTGGCAAGTGACTCAAGCTGTTTGCTAATTTGGGCCCGCTCGGCTCCAATTGTTGACGCCGTCTCTTTCCCACGCATTGATATTATTCTTCCGCTGTCTGAGGTGTTCAACTCCAACGAAACGCGCGCCCGCCGCTCCACCGGTGAAGTGGCCCTTTATGCACCAGTGGCTCCTAGCGCCATTTTCCTGCAGCAGACGCCCATCAATAATCAGGATATGAGCAGAGCTAGTTCATTGCTCGTGTTGGATGATATTGTGGCGCCTTCATGGGTGGGGTGCCCCGTCGCCCCCATCGAGGTCAACATGCCGGCAGGTAGGTTTGCCCGTCCTCGCCAACACCTCTGCTGGCCTACCCAACTAACACACTCTTTGCCATATTGGGTAGGCTTGGATCAGGTGCAAGCCATCTGGATTGAACCACAGGCCAAAGACAACGTTGGTATCTCGAGGATCGATGCGACCTTTCGACCCGGAGACAACTTCTCGTGGATAGGCAATCCCTACCAAATTGTGTACACTGCCTACGATTTGTCAGAGCAGAGCGCCGAATGCCGGTTTGATCTTCAAATTAACTACAATGTCAACGCGTACGAGGTTGTGAGCCCCATGCCCGCCATGTTCAGTCGCTCGGTGACTGGCCTGATTGGGCTGCCCTTTGCTGACGATGAGCAGCAGCTTCTTGATGTGGCTGCTGATAGCCTTGCCTTTGTGAGTAACCTCAATGGCAGCAACGCGCTAGAGCTACACCTGAACGCCGGTTCAGATGATCTCATTGAGGTTCGCAAGCGTGCAGACACCCAGTTTGCCCAGGTGCGTCGCGCGGTTTATGTGATGGTCCCAACAAATGTCGCTTTCATCCTGATTCATTTGAAGGAAGGGGAAGTATTTTTTTCCCCCTTTTTCGTGTCTGTTGGCTGTGCCCTTGTCGCCGATCCAACGATTGATGTTTGCTCACGACTTTTGTGTGCACAATGACACATTATTGCAGTTTGTCGTCAACCTTGATTGGACGATCGAGTCGACTGAGGTGGTCACGTTGCCGCATCAGCTGACGCTAGCTGCCGAGCTTGAGTTTGAACAGTATCGACTGCCCTCAGGCGTCGTCGCGGGAAGTGACACGCTGCGCAGCGTGGAGCTCCTCTACGATGCCACGTGCCACATTGACATTTTGGCAGGACGCATTCAACTCACCGCCCTGTCAAGTGCTTTCACCCATGGGTTTTTCTTCCGGAATTTGATTGTGCGCATCAAGTACCCGCTGGGCCTGGAAAACTACGACAACATCACTGATATTCTCAACGGAACCGTGCGCTCGTGGTCTCTATCTCCGGATAGCATTGTGGCGCTCCGTCATCGAGTGGATGCCGAGTTTGTCGAGTCATATGATGCAGAGGTGAACGAGCCCTTTGTTTTGGTTTATGACAACCAAAAGCCCACTTTCTTGAGTTGCCCCTCGAGTGCCGCCACCCGTGCACCGATTAATGTGTCGTTTGCAACCTTCAATTGGACCGAACCCGCCATCACGGATAATCGCCCCCTCGGGTTGCGCCTGAGTTACACTGCATTCTATGATGACGGACCCTTTGAGGGCAATATCAGCAACCCCATGCAGGTACCCATTCGCGATCCCGATTCCCCACCACTCACGGTACAGTATCGAGCCCGTGATGAGTATGGCAATTTTGCCCTGTGCAATTTCACGTTGCGCGCACAAGACGGCCAACCGCCCAACGCCGTTTGTCCGCAAGATCTGGAGTATACCCTCCTGCCTGGCCGTGCCGAGTACGATGTTCCCTACAGTGCTTGGCGGCCCACCACCACCGATAATGCCGACTTGGCTGTCGTGGTCCTTCAACCCGAGGCTGGTGCCTCCATGCCCCTCCCCACAGGCGCTCACGAGTTTGTTGTGGTAGTTCAAGATGCTTGGGGCAACAATGGCTCGTGCACTGGTACCGTCACCATCATTGACGAGGAAGCGCCCAACGTCATCTGCCCCTCTAACGTCGTGGCCTTTGTAACAGCCAACGACGAGGGTAATGCAACCTGGGATGCCCCCGTTGTGGTGGATAATGCTGGTGCCGAGGGCCTCACTTGGACCTCGGAAGTAGCCAACGGAAGCTCCTTTGGCCTCGGCAGCCATCTCGTGCGCATCGATGCATATGATGCGAGTGGAAACAAGGCATCTTGCCAGTTTGCCGTCACCATGCAGCGCCCTGCTGCATCGACTGGTGCAGATCCCGCTGCCGTGCGCGGTGCGGCAGCAGGTGGCGGCGTTCTCATTGTCGTGGTAATTATTTTAATGGTGGTGGTACGGCGCCAGTACCTGAAGAGCCGCCGTCCAGCCGATTGGAAGGACATCTTCTCAATGATCGACCAGCTGAACAGTGGTGCCGTGGGTGAGGATGGTCCTCGCGTACCCCGCGAATTGGGACGCAGTCATGTCAAGTTACTGGATGAGCTTGGGCGCGGTGCATTTGGTATCGTTTACAAAGCACTGCTGGAAGAGCCTGGCATGCCGGGCTATATCGTGGCTTGCAAGTCGCTCCATGAGGCCAACCAAGGCGGTGCCATGCGCGAGCTTTTGGAGGAAGCGGCCGTGACCGCGCAGTTTGTACATCCCAACGTCGTGCACCTTATTGGCGTCGTGTCTGTGGGCAAGCCACTGCTTGTGGTACTGGGCTTTTGCGAGCGTGGCAGTTTAAAATCATATCTGGAGGAGAACGGGCCCATGGTATCCGATGAACAGCGCGCATACTTTGCCTTTCAGTGTGCCTCGGGTATGGAGCATGTGGCATCCTTTGGCTTTATCCATCGCGACATCGCGGCGCGTAACATCTTGTTGGCCAGTGATCTGAGCTGTAAAGTCTCTGATTTTGGTCTAGCCCGCGAGTCGCCCAACACAGATGACTCGCACGCCGCCTACTACCGCTCGCGCTCCGGTAACTTGCCCGTGCGTTGGTCGGCTCCTGAGGCGCTCGAGGATCAAAAGTTCTCACATGCCTCGGACTCATGGGGCTTCGGTATCCTCATGTATGAGATTTACACCGATGCAGAGATGCCGTACAAGGGGTGGAGCAACCAACGCGTCTGGGTCGAGGTGTCCGCCGGCTTTCGGCTGCCGCGACCTGAGACTTGCCATGAGAGCGTTTATGAGATCATGATGGATTGTTGGATGCATACGCCAGCAGATCGCCCCACCTTCTCGGACATCGTTTTTGAGTTGCGCGGTGTGTTGGAGGGTGTGTTCAACTTTGATGTTGATGACAGTGCCAAGAGCAGTGGATACTTGGACGTCAATGATGCCGAGAGTGGCTACGAAAATCGCACCCTTCTCAAGTCCTTGGTCAGCCACTTCACCCTGGGCAAGCGGGGCAAGGGCGACAAAAAGGGGGCTACGGGCAACAAACGGTTTAGCCTGCACCGCAAGTCTACTCTGAACGACGAGAGTGACATGCAGTTGCACAATTTGTCAGAGGAGGCTGGCGACGAGCCAGAGGAGGTTCGGCGTGTCACCGCTGTCAACGACCCCGATGCGCTGTATGACATGGGTGCTGGCTCAGACTTTGGTGAGGACGACGAGGAGTCGGTATCTTATGCTTATGCTACAGCAGGAGCTGGCAAAGAGAAGGTGTCCTACGAGCTCGCAAGCGGCGTGCATAATGACCCAGAGGCCATCTACGATGCTGGTCAGGCATTGGAAGAGCCCGATACGATGGGCTTCCATGCCAATGCTTTGCTCAATGACGACATTTATTCCAACGAAGGGCGACCCAGCGGGCCGGCGATGGTAGCCCCAGTGGGTCGTGCCGCAACCGAGTACCAAGTTGGCCGTCGCGTTCGCGTGCAGGGCTATGCCTGCCAGGGTACCTTGCGATACTATGGACCCCACCAAAGCAAGCCTGGCAAGCGCTGTGGCGTTGAGCTCGACGAACCTTTGGGTCTGAACAATGGCACTGTCGCGGTACGTCACAAGTCAAACACGCAGTGCAGGCGGGTGGTATGCTCGGAAAGAGAGAGGAGGGAGAGGGAGAGGGATGGCGGCTTTCGGCTTTTGGCTGGCAAATTTTTTTATTTTTTTTTGAACTCACATTCACATGTAAATTTTTTATGTTGGATAACGCTGCAGGGCCACAAATATTTTGAATGCGCTCCTTCGCACGGTGTGCTGGTCGTGCCGTTGCGAGTAGAATTTTTGGACTAGGTGCGCAACTACCACTTGAATTTTACCCGAGTTGTGGGTGTGTGCCACATGGCCCCGCAAACACCTTGTTTGCAAATTGGATACTAGGCATTTTGTGCCTGGTGTTTTTTTGTTCTTGTCTCTGCTGTTGTTGATGTGACTCTTCCTTTAGGTTCGTTTGTATAATTGTGTATATGAGGTTCACCTCACCTATCAATCCCTTTTTGATGGCTCGCTCCCATCCTGGTTGTTTTTGTGTTGGGTGTTTGATTGCTTTTTGGTTTGTATGTCATTCATTTCACTCCGTCGTGCCTCCGATTCATTTGTTCATGCCCTTGCCTCTTCGTGCCTCTGTTCGTTTATCTCTCTGCGTGGCGTTCGCCCGCAGCTTTCCTATTTTTTTCTTCTTCTTCTTTTTTTTTTTTTTTCTCTGCATGTTGCGCTGCTCGTTTTGAGTGGCAATTTTGAACATAGACTTTGCGGGTGAGCTGCTGCTGGAGCAATGTGGTATTTGATGCTGCGGGTTGGTTGGTGTTGATCATCTACACACCCAGCGCACCCCATATTGCTTTGCTGCAAATCTGCCTGTGTGTTGTTTCCGCTGAATTTTCTTTGCTCGATTGATGATTTGTTCTGGAGGCTTTTTTTCTCTCTCCCTCTCTCTCTTGACGACAAAAGACTTGGGCTGGTCCGAGTCTCCGTGCTGTAGCGTTTGCAGGCTAGCCGCGTCCTTGTCGTGGCTGACATGTAAATTGGATTTTACCACTTCTCCCTTTCCCCGCATCAAAACAAGAAAGAGGCAAAAGGCACAAGCAGAGACACGCATGCTGCGCCAAACAAGCCACTAGCATTTTGCCACAGACACCTTGCGCATCAATCACTCGCTCACCCTCACCCTCCCTCCCTATCTATCGATCAACATGACTTGTTTCTACCTTTGGCCGAATCTGAATCTGTTGTGTTATGCAACAGTACCATCAGCACATCAAATAGTAGCACATTAATGTCAGACACTCGGTGTGTGTGTGCGTGTGTGTGTGTGTGTGGCATTTGGTTTGGACTGTCGTCGGGATTAGGTCATCCTGGCGCTGAAGCAGTGTGCACTGGGGGGTAGCCGCAGCAGCGGATACCTGTGGTTGAATTGGTTCCTGCAAACGAGTCAACGCCAAGTTTTCAACAGGACTGGGTGGACGCGGCTGCGGCATCGCTCGTCCAGGAAAATGCCTAGTTTTGTGAGCCTCAACACTGCGCGCGGGCGCGAAACGCTCGCTCACGCTACCGTGAGTGGTAGGTCTAGCGCTTTGGGCGGATTCGGGGCTGCGGCCGGTGACTGACCGGCCAAACCGACTTCTTGTCGCAACCTTATCAATTGGGACTGACCCTATGACATGGCACAACAGGGCTAGAGGTGGAGGCGGCTGATGATAGCCAGGCAGGCCATCCTTTTTTGCCGCGGCTCGAAGACCAGATGGCATTGCTGCAGCGTCAAATGCTTCGACTTGCAGCTGAGTCGGATGGTGCATCTGCCACTGGTGGGGTGGCGGCAACGAATCGGGCGGACGAAGATGCGTGAGTTGTTGGCTTTCAACTTGCATCTCCCAGCACTCTTTGGGCCTCTTCACACACCGAATGGATCACGTCGGAACGTTGAGTGCATCACCTCACTTCTCTTTCAAATCGACCTGAACAGAGAGCCTAGCAGCAACGATGAAGAGGCCTGGTCTGATAGCGATGGTGGCTCCGAGCAGGGGTCAGAGGTGCATGCAACCCGATCAGAGGCTGGGGCTACACCCGACCAGCGGGGAAACAAACTTTACTTCGAGGCGCAGTAAGTGCACGAGGGAGGTCGAAGTTTGCCTTGGCTGCAGTCTCTGTCAGGCAACTCACAGCATTTTACGTGGCTGGGCCTTGACGTTGAAGAGGGCAATGGTATACTGCGTACAAGGATATCCTGCTCTCCCGCGCAGAGCGCGGAAACGATGTGGCAACGAGTGAACTGCGCGCACTTGCTGCTGCGCCACATCGGCCTTGGGCTTTTTTCCTCCTTTCCGGTGGGCACTTTGCCGGCGGTATTGTGCGTGATAATCAAGGTAAGCTGAGGCCATGGCCTGGCACTTGTATGAGATCCAGAAGAGAAGAAAGAGCGGGGACGACTTGCTTCCTCGTGCATAACAGTGTGGGCCTGCAAGTATCAACACTGTTGTTTGCTTCACAGTGACGCTGCACAAGTGCATTCATCGCTACGTGGTGCGTGCCAAGCGCGGCACGGTGCAATCCGTGCGAGACGCCAAATCTGGAACCAGCGCCCCAAAGTCTGCTGGCTCAAACTTGCGCCGATACAACGTACGCCATCGATATGCACCCTACCCGACCCCAAGACCGCCTGATCTCCAAGCGGGCACTCACAGGAGCCCGTGCCTGTCTTGACAGGAGGCTCAGCTGCGACAAGACATTTTAAATTTGTTGCAGCGCTGGGCCACAGATATAGCCGAGTGTGAGGTAGGCTGCCCAAGCTCTCCGATTGAAGTAGCAGAGGGCATCGAGTTCCTGTGTCCCGCCAGCAGAAGCAGGCTGCACATGTGTGCTCGTTTTCGTTTTCTCTTTTTTCGGAGGCAACTTGGGGCTGCATTCATTTGCCTCTTGCCTGGGCTGGACTACACACATAGTTGATTTTTCACCACACGTCCGTGCACAACCGCAACTTTATATTTGCGAGCAAAACGGCACAGCGCCAGCAAGCTCATGCGCCGGGTAAGTGCTTTGAGAGCCAGACACCTGTGTTGGTGATCGGGATCAACCAGCCGAGTCCGTAGTCGCTTATGCCTTGCCGTTTAGGTTTGATTCCCATTGATGATCCGCGAGTACGCAGTCTACCCTTTGTGAGCAATCGACCTACGCTGAAGGAGATTTTGCGCTGCTACACGGTCTTGACCCGCGTGGAGGAATTAGCGCAGCCGCCTCGCGCATACACGGAGCAGGACAAGGGCACCGAGGCCGATATGGCCGGGGACAATGGCTCGGCAAATGAGGTGACGGGAGGCGCCCTGCCCAAGAGCCAATTGGGTGCTGCGGTCGAGGCCGCGCATGCCGCTGCCCAAGACGCGGTTGGCGAGGCTGCTGGCTCGGCACCGCCCGCCACAAGCAATGACTCAGCCCCTCTGGGCCTATTGGGTCTGGTGGAGAAAGGTGACTGGGTTGGATTTCTGCGTCTTTTGGGCTTTGCACCCTCGGACTTTCCGATTCACTACAAAGGCCAAGAGGAGGAGCTGACGTTACAAGAACTTCACCTCTTTGAGATCCGTCAACCTCGCACTGGTGTCGATATTGAAGAGACAGATGCGGATGGCGCTTCGGCGTTGCATGTCGCAGCGAGCAAGGTCAGGGCTAGAATTCATTGTGCTGGCCAACTCGGGCACCGGCCCCAGGCCTTTAGCATCAGGCTCACAATCACTTGCACTTGATGGATTTTGCTTGCAGGGGTACACGGACATGGTACGGCTGCTTCTAGAGCTGGGCGCGAACTTGAGCCAGCTCAACGCGCGGGGGCATACCCCTTACGACGTGGCAGCCAACAAGGAGGTCAGCTTTGCTTTTTTTTTTTTTTTTTTTTTTTGTGATTAATAATAATTATAATTTACCCAGCTGAAGGCTGGGCAGCGCGTTGCTTGACAATCCGGTCTCCCTCACGTTTGGCAGATTCGCAATTTGATTCGTCGTTACCTGGCATTTGCACCACAACAACACGAGCTATCCGCCTGCCACGTCCCCTCGGTTTTGGCTTTTGAAGTACGTGTGCATGTTGGTCTAGTTGCTTGGAAGGGTTCAGATCAGATTGCTGGCCCACGTGCGAACAGGGCGACCCTACTGTACTTTATGGACTACGCTGCTGCTCGCTTATTGAAATGTTGGCCTCTGCAGACTGAAGAGAGGCAACGCGCAACTCGCAAGACCAAGGCAGCCTCGGTGAGTGGCCGGAACGCGAGTGTGATTTAGCGTCGTGGAACATTCTTCCATCGCATGCCCCGTGTTCATGTGTGCGCGTGCCTGCGTGTACGTCTGACCCCTGCTTGGGCTGCGCAGACGCGTCAAAAGCTCAAGGAGCGGGCTGCAGAGCGCAAGAAGGTGAGTCGGCCACCTGCCATGGCAATATCTGCTTGCAAGGTTAAGATCATGATTCACGAAATGACTGGCCGACGCTCTACGTCAGGTGGTTGCAGAGGCGGCAGCGACGCCTAAACCAATGTCGGCGCTTGATCGCGCTAGTTCGGCTGCCTTGGCTCGAGAGCGACGCGCGGCTGCGGCTTTGGCGCGGTTACGTGGAACGGGGGCCACCACTGATGTAAGCTCCCGCTGAGGTTGTGAGACCCCCAAACGATGAATGACTTCCCAAAGGGAGACAGGTTGGAAATCAAAAGCCAAAGCATTCACCATTTCTCATGTCGGCTGCTCGTCGGGTATTTGTGCAAAAAAAAAAAAAAAAAAAAAAAAAAAAAAAAGGCTTCGGCTGAGAGCGATGGCCAAGGCCACTGTGCGTTGTGTGGCAAGCCTTTGGTTCGGGGCCAGAAAGACAGCCCGGTGTTTGAGCGATTGGAATTTTGCTACTGTAGCATGGAGTGCCTGCGTCGGCATCGAGCCCTCCTATCCAAGTAGCTTCCGCGCATCGCGACTGCACATGAGCGTGCACGTGGCAGCAACATCCGTTATCCCAAGCATGCGTGCCGGCTTGTGATGGCACGAAATTATTGTTTCTTTGCTTCGTGCTGAGGTGGATTGACTCTCCCATCAAGGGTGTTGGAGACTGCACGGAAGGCGCCCTCCATGTCCATCGATCCTTAACCTCTTTTACGAATTGACCACCAGATCCAATCATTCGCCAATCGACAGTCAGCTGACATGGTCAGTCGAAAATTCTCAGCACAGCAGGGCTTGATGCCATTTTGGCTCTGATACCAGACCCCTCTCCCCAACTGGTCTCTAGATACATTGGATAGTAAGCCAAAGGAAGAGGAAGAGGGTTGTTTGTGGTCTCGCTGGTTGCTGGCTCGTTTGCTTGCTTGCTTGCACGCTCACCACAGTCATGCATGCTGGCATGAGCTTGGACAACTCCCAAGGGTGCCAAACAGCAGAACGACGAGATGAGTCTCGCGCTGTGCCGCGCCATCTTGGTCAGTGGAGAGTATCCGCCCGTGCGCACATGACAAGACTGACCGACCGGTGGGCCTCCAACCGTCGCAGACGCTTGTCCAAGCTCCGCTCAGATGGTCCGCTTCTTTAAACACCGCACAGTATGGACAGTACTCGTGGTGCCTACCGTTATGTGGCGGTTAGGAAAAGTGGCCGCTTGGGTGTCCGCTGACACGCCAACGGGCATCATGCAAGACCGTTGCACTGACATGCTGAAAGAACGGTCAGGATCCAAACAAAATACGAGCTGGTCGTCGTCCGGTCTTTTGACCCCAAGCCCAAGCTCACAACGGAATGCGACAACCGAATGTGACAATGGTATCCGGCCCAACGACCAAAGGCGACCAAGGCATTCGCGTGACTGACCAACAACCCACCATCTCATCCCATCCCATGTTGCTGGTTCAGGCTAACCGCGAGCCGTTCCCCCACCCATTCCCCACTCGTTCCCCACCCACCCTCACTGACAAAATCAGCCCCCTCGAGGTTGTCAACCGCCATTGCGTATTCCGCCAAGGCTGGCACTGCGGCCCAAGCCTGCCTTGCCAAGGCCCCGTATCCTCCTCCTTTTCCTGAGCGTGGCGTGCATTTTCATCTCCCGCCAGCTCCTTGATACCTCTGGTCATCCCCTTGCTCAACTACAGACGCCCAATCCAGAGACGGCTCGAGCTCCTCCCAGCTCCTGGGTCTCAGACTGCACTTTGTTGCATTTGCTTGCTCCTGACCGACCGACGCCATGCTTCCAATGACTGGCTGTGCATTGCCCGAGCCCAGCGTGGTGCGCCCGCGCTCGTTGGGAGAGCCAAGTCGTCCGCATGTGCCCAGCGTCTTTGGCTACCGCTCGCTTGGACGCCGCCACTTGGACAGCGCCAGCTCCATTTGCTCCTCGACTTCCTCCCTCAACTCCTCCGGCAGCGAAGATGATCTCACTTTTGCGGCCTGGGACACCTCCCTTCGTGAGAAAGACGATGTCTTCCAGCTCCCCAACCTGCGCCTCAACACCATGGCCCCCGACTTTCACCCTACTGCTGTGGCCCAAGGCTCAACCACCCTGATCCGTCCCAACCCGGTCGTCGCCTCGGCACCGATCGCGGTTGGCCTTTTGGAACACTTGCCTGCCGATGCCGAGCTCACCTCGAGCGAGATCAAGCATGCGCTTCCATCCTGGATGTGCGTCGAGGTCTGCGACATCAAGTTTAAGAAGACCCGACGCGGCTGCCGCGGCCACCGCAAGAACCGCCGCCGCCACCAGCCGGGCGAGGACAATGACGAGACCCTTGACCTCTAAATGGAAGTGAGGTCTTGGACACCTCCAGCAACTTGCCCAAGCTGCTTCTGCTTCTTTTTCTTCTTTTTCTTCTTCTGCTTCTTTTTTGGTTTCTTCCCCTTTTTTTTTCCTTTTGATGTTTTGATGCATTGGTGTTTTTGTTTTTCTCTTGGTTTTCCCCGCGCGTGCGCCCTGTTTCACGCTCCCCACACGCACACACCCCTCTTTTAAAAGTCCCAATTGTTGGTCCTAAGCGCCTGTCGTGGCTACGTGCCATGGCCCCCCTTTTCGGTTGAGGCTGGAAAGGACTTGAGAGCCGATATTTGTTTCTGGGTCATGCCGCCCTCCTCGCATCATTCGTGAGGAGTTGGGCGCATCCCAAAAGCGCACGCTTACTATTCATAACGAGACAGATAGTCCCGCGTCATGTCTTGCCCGTAGCTGAAGAAGCCGCCCATTTGGTTGATACACCACTTTGCTTCTCTAGTCAATTAAACGACTCATAATGCTAATCTGTGTCAATCTCATTGTGCAGAACACTTGGTTTTGCTCACCTTGGCCCGACGCGCACGCCATACTGTCGGCTACAACCGTCAAACAAATTGGTCATGACCAAGCTGTGCAACAGTGTGTCACCGAAACACGCGAATGCTGTTGTTCTTGCAAGCTAGTAAATACAGCACGAGGAGCAGAATCCGCTGTGTTAGCAAAACTGTTGATGATGATCAGTGAGGGCTGGCATCGAAGCAATCTGGTTGCTACAACTGGCATACCTGTTACAAAGCAGTCCGCATGGTAGTCAAATTTGATGGCAATGAGCTCGTCTGGGTGTGGGAAGACCTAACAAACATGATGACCACACCGTGACTTGTGCGGTGCTGCTGGAGTCAAAACGGCGAGCGTCGCACTCACCTTGACGCAGGTACCAGTGCTGGTACACCACAGGCGCACGGTGTGATCACTGCAGATGGAGGCTAGCCGCGTGCCCGTCGCGTTGAACATCACCTGTCAAAACATCTTGATCAGCTTCTCGCAAGCCTGGACAGCTACTGTGTACACACATTCTGACAAGCTCTTCTCACCTTGGAAACCTCTCCGCGATGCTCGGCGAGTTCGTGACGAAACGTAAAGGGCTCGGTGGTGTACAGGCGAATCACGCCCGTCGCCGTAGCCATGGCGCACTGCCGGCCCGAGGGGGAGAAAGCAACAGACATCACCTCCGAAGGCATCCTATTCCAGCGAAAAAAAAAAAAAGTATGAGCTGCGGCACAATCTCGTCTGCAAACCTGCTTGTCGTATTCTTTCTGAATTTTTCAAGCCTCTGGACATACTTGCAGGTGCCCGTGGGTTCACCGGTATCTGTATTCCACAAAATGGCAGTTCGATCCACAGAGCCGGAGAGGATCCAGGCACCATCAAAGCTAAGTTCGGCGCGGGAAATGGCTTCACGGTGCATCAGCAGTGTTTTAACCGGCCGACCCGTGGCCACGTTCCAGAGAATGACTGTGTGATCAAAGGAGCCGCTCAGAAGCCGCACACCGTCGGCACTGAATTGCACGCACACCACCTCGGCGGTATGACCCTGGGGACACCGGATATGGCGGCATTGACGTTGTAATGGCAGGTCATTGGCAAGCGTGAAGGCATGCACACAGACAGGCCTTCAAGGTGGTGCTGACTCAATGTGAACGTACAGCCAGCGTGTGAAGCTCATCGCCCGTGGCAAAGTCCCACAAGCGCACGGTGTGATCCAAGCTGCCGGTCGCCACCAAGTCGCCTTGTTGATCCGAGGCAACACAAAGCTAGAAGCGCAGTGTCAAAAGCACAACAATGAGACAATAAGAAGAAGATCAGAAGCACAGCGGGACTAGGGTGTAACCATTGTGATTGTGAAGGCGAGGTCAGATACAACGAGCCGGCGACTTGTATGACCAAACGCACAATTTCGCCTCGATGGCCTTTGAGCACAGCCCGACACTCTCCAGTCGCAACGCTGTGAATCTATTCGAATGACGGAAGGAGGCTATCATGAGGACTGGCGTGTGCTGGACGGAGAATTCTGGGTCCGACGTTGCGGAGCAGGCGTGGCGCAGGCCTACCCGAGCCGTGCGGTCAAAGCTAGCGCTAATGATGTGATCACTGTGAAGGAATAAAAAAAAAGCGTGGCGCAAACAAGATGAGGGGGCGCCGGTCACCAGCTGGCACACTGATTGTTGGGCGATTTGCAACGTGATTACAAAGCGTTACCAGCGCGGAAAGTTGAAAATCACGGCCTGTACGACATTTTTGTGGCCTTCAAAGACTTGAAGTTCCTCGCCGGTGGTCGTGTCCCAAAGCTACAGCAAAGTTGGCAAGAAAGTGTGCGTGAGTCTGAATCTGATGGGAGTGAGAACGTGGCACAATGCCTATTGGGGCGTGCTCACAATGCAAGTTCGGTCGTAGCTGGCGGAGACGCATCTGCGCATTGAAAAGCCACGATATTGCTCAGCCGTTGTCCAGGAGAGACAAATGCAATACCCCGTTATTTTCTAATAAGGACGGGAGCAGCCGGCCCGTACCTTCGACCATCTTTGGACACGTCAATGTTCGTCAGGGGAAGCGGGTGGGCTTTGATCACCTAGGGTAGAGAACGTGAACGAAACATTGCATATCACCGGGTCAATAAGGATGCAAGGCCTTGGCGCGCGCGCCTTTGAGGCAGTTGTACACTGCACGGAGATTCGAGTACGGACGTGTTCCTCGTGGTAGTCATCATCATGAACGGCGCTCACGCGGGCCCGCAATTCTGTGAGGGCAAGGGGTGAAATGGTGAGTGGTAAGAATTTTGGTCGCTGTGGCGGCATGGCGATAAGGAGGGGGATACATGCGCACTTTGCAAGAGTTGAAGGACTTGAGCTTTGCGTTTTTCGGTGATGAGGGGCTCGTATCGAGCTATGTCGGCCACCACGGCGTTTAAATCCGTACTGGCCATGGGGAAGCCGATAACATGGTATGAGAGAGAGAGAGGGCGGGGATACAACGACAGGGCAGAGACTACTCGGCGTTTTATGCGGTGATAAATGCTTGGGCAGCATGACTTACTCTTCATTCAGGTCCAGCAGGTCCAGAATGCGGCACTCGACAGCATCGCCGCGCCGAAATTCGAGAATTATCCCTACGCGACATGCAGCGGCAGCCTGTGAGGTGATGGCCCGTGTGAAATCCTCTGGGGAGTCGCGCAGCCACAAGGCAAACCTGGAGGATGATAGCGGAGGAGAAAGCGGAGCAGTCGCATGATGGCACCGTGTCTCCAACGACCTCGGAGGCTGGCGGGATCAACACCTGCACACTCTTTTTGCGTGCGTGCGTGTGTGCGTGTGTGCGTGCTTTGGAAGGAGCGACGGGCGGCTGGAGAAAGGAGCAGATGTGCAACCACCTCGCGCCCCCCTTCCCCCATGTACCCCAACTTGCTCTGCAACGGGAGCTGATGGCGCGCAGTGTGAGCAGCGCGCTCCACGACGACACAACTTGCTGCTCGTTTCCAAATTTTTGAATCAAAATACACTGGCCGATTTATGTTTTCAAATTCACTAATAACGTCGCTTTCGACATGTATGCGTGCCAAGTTTTTGCAGCAAATAGAGAGGAAGATGTAGATATTCAGTGGCTTAGAGGCCTTGGCGACGCTTTTCTCTCCCGCTGCATTGTCAGACCAAGATAAGAATACATTAGAGGGTGTCAATTAACTTTACTGCTCCAGTGTCCCCGAACCGAGGCGCGCGAGCCCCTCTGCTAAATATAGCTCACCAACTCCCAAAAACGGAAGCATCGACTATTCTTAGAAAGCACGCGTGACAGATTTTGATGGTGATACAAAGTTTCAGGTTGTTGTGCTCAACCCACGTTGAGTTAACCACCTTTAAAGCTAACCTGGACTCTTTCTCTCTCTCTCTCTGTTTTGTCTTTTTCGTTTTTTCTGTTTGTTCCAACAGGTTGTTGTTGTTGTTGCTACCCCTCCTGTACGAAAAAGGGGGTGGGAATTTCCTGATCTCTCTCTCTCTCTCTCTCTCTGAATCCCTCTCTCTCTCTCTCTCTCTCTCTCTCTCTCTCTCTCTCTCTCTCTCTCTCTCTCTCTCTCTCTCTCTCTCTCTCTCTCTCTCTCTCACTACACACACACTCACTGTCAAATTTATTTTTCTGCCATCCAGGTACAAGTCGACCTCCTCGACCGCTTCTTGCCGTGCCGCTGTCGTTCAACCCCGGACGTCTACACACACGCGCACACACACACACATTCACGCATTGGCAGAGTGCTGGGGATTTGGCGCAATCTGTTCCTGTGGCTCTGGGTCAATGAGATGGTTGGCCGCTTGACAATCTCTGCATTTCCTTGAGCACTGCCGCACCCCCGCCCCCTTTGTGTGCTCTTGCTTTTTCTTGCCTCTCACCCGGATCTTTCTTGCATGTGCCCCCCGTGTACAGCACGAGAAACAACCTCACCTCGATCTGCCGCCCCTCTTCTTCCCCTTCCACCGCCCGCGCGCTGCGCGCTGGATCATTAGGCTGAAAGCACGTGGCTTACCTTTTTCTTTCCTTTGTGCGTCGGGACGCCGCGCCAACGCGTGGCAAACCCTGCACCATGGAGGGACCTGCCCATCTCGAACCCATCGATGTGGAAGCCAGCACTGAGCAATCCACTTCCGATCAGATCCTTCGCTTTGGCGATTGCTTCTCCCTCTTCACGGCCGATGAGCCCGGCTATCTTCATGCCCCTGTGTTTGGGTATGCTTGCTTGTTTTGTTTTTTATTCTGCCCCACACTGGTACCACCTCCAAACCGCAGCTCTTCAGCCCACCCGCCGCTTCCCCTCACCTCACCCCCCCCATAGCGGAGAATTCACCCCCGTTCTCGTCAACACGGCGGCCGGCCAAAGCGATCACAAACTGGATTCCTTTTCTGTGCGTCAACCCATATCATCGTCCCATGCCCATGGTCATGTGCCAAGCTACCTGGTTCTTCATTCGCCGATCGCTCCCTTTGTTGTGCTCTCTGCCTCGACAGCTGGCCGTGTTTCAACTTCACGCACAATGCAAGTACAAGGCTGCCAAGCGTTTGCGCGCCGAGTTTGATGCCTATCAGAAACGCTACTTTGAGAAGAATCCTGACGAGGAAGATGAACTCACCCTCGAGACCGCTTTGCTGGAGCCTGATAGCGGCAAATTGGCCCAGCTCAAGCAGCTAGCTGATGATGAGCAAGAAGGTGATTTTTCGCTCCCCCGGCTGCACCGGCAATTCCCCCTGCCTCCCCCCTCCCCTTCTTCTTCATCTTGATCACATGCACTCGTGTGCTCATTCACATCTGATGCATAAAATGAATTGCAGACAATGCTTTGGAACAAGAGCGTCGCGCTCGCGACCCGGTCATGTACGGTCAGGTGGTCCAAGTATTCCACCGTGACTTGGAACGCTACCTCACCGTCTCGTCCACCGTCACCACGGAGGTTGAGAAAAAGTTTGTGACCTTGTTCACCCCACCCCCTCCCCCGCTACACCTCGTGAGCCTTGGCTACGGCATGCCTAACGTTGAGTTGACACGCATCACACTTATCCGGCTTGCCCCTCCTTCACCGTGCTTAGCAACATGCGGATTGAGGTCGACCCCTACACCTCACGTCACGCCTGGTTTAAGATTATGCCTCGCTTCAAGGTCCGCTCTGAAGGCGAGCCCGTCCGCATGGGCGATCAAATCATGCTCGAGTCCATCAAGACCACGGGCCAATTTGTGCACGTGACTTCCCAGAGCCTGCCCGACACGTCCATGACCCCTGGCTCTCGCGAAGTCAACGTGTCCGTCACCCCAACCTCCTTTACCCTGCTTCCCCACCATCGCCCCCTCCGCGCCTCGGATGTGTCTGCCGAGTCGGATGGCACCGTGCACCTTCCTCTTCGCTCTGGTGACCTGATCCAACTCTTCCACAAGGAAGTGTCCGCCTACCTGGCTGCGGAAGGCTACTTTTATACAGACCAGCTAGTCCTCGACGCCCATCTCCGCGTCCGCGAGCCCGACGCTCGCCGCCCCCATCGCCTCGAGCCACCAACCAGTGCCGTCTCGGTACGCTGTCACACTTGCTCATGACTGTGTGGTTATTCAACCCCTTTCTAACTCCCAACTTTCGCCCCCGTTGTCGCTGCCCCCGTTGTCGCTGTCTTCTCATCTTCTGCCCCCCTCCCCGCTGTTCAGTTTTGGATGGTCGAGCATGCCACCACCCCAACCATGGGCAATATCATCGAGTGGGACGATGTCGTCCGTTTCAAGCATAGTGTCTCCGGTCGCTATTTGACAATGAACGCCGATGGCTCCGTGTCCCTCTCCAATGTTTCCGGTGAATTTGGATTTGACGGCGATGAGCGCAACTTTGTCATGACCACGGTCATTCCCGAGCGTCGCGAGATTACCCTCAACTCTTATACCCGTATCAAGAACGTTGTGCACAGTAAGTCTGCTTCTTCGGCCCACTTTTTCTTGTCACAGTACCGTGGGGCACCCGTACCCAACTCCGACCCGCCGCTGCGCCCTCATTTTTGGCTTTACTCATATCGTGATGTGATCATTAGATCATTGGCTGCATGCCAACAAGGACGTCTACTTGGATCGTCCCACTCAGGCCATCTACGCCGACGACTCGCTTCGCACGCCCTTGTCCGAGCGCATGAACAGCATCAAGTGGGACAATGCTCCACTCATGCAACTGGCGGGCTTGCCCCAGCGCCGCTTTGATGACGCTTTTATCATTCAGGGCGTATCCCGCGACGTGTGCTCCTTTGTCGCCCACGTCAAAGCCATGATTCCCATCTTTCGCTTTGCCACGGCCCAGATCCAGGGCGGCCGCCCCACCCTGCTCTTCTACCAGCGCCTGACGCTGGCCCTTGAGGAGTTTGTGGCTTTCCTCAGGCCCAATGGCATCCACGATCGTCGCCGCCAAAAGCTCCTCCGCAACTTTGGCATCGTCGAACTTTGCGTCGAGTTGCTTCAGGCCCCGATCGCACCCTTCCATCGTGGCCCCAACGGCCGCAGCATGAAGCAGGTCAAGCAGGATGCTGCCCTCATCCGTGTTATGGAGGAGTGCTACGAGCTGCTGGAGAGCTACGCCACTGGCAACTCTCGCAAAAACGAGCTGTACCTCGTGCGCCACCTCAGCTTCTTCCACCAGCAAATGGGTTACAACTGCGGTTCGGAGAAGATGATTACCGAACTCATTCGCGACAACGCCAAGATTGTCGAGAACATCTCCGAAACTGAGGTCGATTTTTACATCTCCCTCCTAGCCTCCAACGGTGATAAGGACTACTTTGATGTCTTTGGCGTGCTTTGCAATGTTGAGGGCGCGGCCGACGGCGGCAACCAGAGCCTCATCGTTCAGAAGCTGCTTATCGATCGGGCCGACCTGCTTTATACCACTCGACTCGATAAGCAGGCCAATGATATGGTCATCATGGTTCCGAACCGGGGTTCCTACACATTCACCCAAGCCTGGAAGCAGCGACACTCCAACGAAGCCATGGGCGAGATCATGGAGTTTTTGGAGAAGCAACTGGACATGTTCTCTGAGCTCTGCTATCAGCGCTGTGCCAAGGCCATCGACTGCATCTCCCAAAATTACCTGGACTGGGAGCAGATCTTCTGGTGCGTGCAGAACATCAAGGACCCGGATTTGCGCCGCATGTACGTCGACCTCATGCGTGTCCTCTACGTTGACATCAACCCCAACGTCGACGTGCTTGATGGCGTCGCCCTCCTTTTCCCCTACAAGCGGCTGACAGCCGACCCTTTCGTGGATGCAACCTCCGACAACACGCGCTCCATCACGGGCACCACCATGTCTTACTTTCCCGAGCTCAGCCGCTGGATCATCAACATCCTCTCAAAGGACAAAGGCGCCATCTCAGCTGCGGATGACGAAGAGAACGAGTTTACCGAAGCCGTCCTGGAGCTTACCCGCTACCTCGTCGAATTTGGGTATTTCATCTCCGATGACGACATTGAGAGCCTCATGACGCCCTTGCGCCGCATCCTTCAGGGCTCGAATGACGTCCCCTCGCGCCCCGAGGGCCAGCGCTCACAGACAATGGCTCCCGGCAAGAAGCGATTCCGCACGCAGTCTCGCGTCCCCGTACTACCGGACAGCTACGAACTCAAGTGCCAGCAATTTCGCGCTGAAGGCCGCTTCGAGCTCAACCCGAAGAACAAAGTGGTGATTCGCGTCAAGCTCAAAGCCCTCGAGATCGTGGACACGCTTGTCAATCTCTGCCTCAACATGCGTCTTCACCAGTTTCTTTTCGACTTCCGCCAGTTGAACGAGGTGAACGAGCCCAACCGCCGCAATACGCGCCAAACCCGATCGGGCAAACCCCTTCTGGCTCGTGAGATGCGCAGCGGTCCCACCATGACCTTGGAGCAAATGCAGGCCCTCAAGGCCCTCATGGACGGTGATATCGATCCCACGCAGCTCACTTCCGTCGTGCGTGCCTATATTGATGAGGTTATTGACCGCAGTAATTACATCGCGCCCGGCTGGCGTCCCCAGCAGTCACGCGATCGCCAGGGCTCGAATGACTCGGACTTTGCCGAGATTCTCCTGGACCTTGCCAAGTATCCCTCCAGCAAGCTCGCTTGCAAGGCTCTGCAGCTGATGAACCGCGTCTTCTCGGCTGCCGATGACCTCTTCAACAAGGCTGTCGATGCCCAATTGCTTTTGGATGAAGGCTCCATTGCTTTTGAGAAGGAGCTTCGCGAGCGCATCATGCCTGACCTGCGTCGAGTTGGTGGTGCTCAAATCGAAGAGGGCGAGGAGGCCGCCGATTTTTGCGAGCTTTTGGACAAGCTTGTGCGTGCTTGCGACCTGGACGCACGCTTCCCCCACAGCATCAACCAGCAAATCATCGTCAACAACGATGTGCTCCCCGTCATCTTTGACACGCTCAACGCCGAGGATCAACCTTCGGAAGTGGTGGCCGGCTGCTTCCGGCTGCTCCGGGCCCTGAGTCGCAACAACCCCTTCGTGCAAAGCGAGTTTTTTGACCGTCTGGATCAGCTCCTCACCATTGAGAATGAGGGTGACACGTGGCAAGACGACATGGCCGTGGCCGTGTACGAGATCTTTGCAGACAACGAGAAGCTGAGCTTGGCTCTGCGTCCGCGTCAGATTGAAAAGTTGATGAGCTACATTCACACTCTCAACTTTAAGGCCCCACAGTTGCTCGTGACCACGCGCTCCATCGTCAAGTGCGAGGAGCTGGACGTGCCCCTTGATCGCAATCAGAACCTTGTGATGAAGTTTCTCATGAAGAACTACGACTCGGTCATTGCCCCTGCCAACATCTCCGTTCAGGCCGACCCCAGCGTAGTGGAAGCGCGCATGCAATTGCTGCGTTCCAAGGACCCGGCCAAACTTGGCGAAAAGCAGTTCCACGCCTACTTGGTGGGCTTGATTGCCCACTGCGCTGAGGGATACAACCGCTTCATCGAGTCCACCTGCATGACACTGCTGTCTTTTGAGGACATTCTCGCTGTGGTGGCCGATCCCCACATTCCCTTTTGGATCAAGTCTGAGTATGTACTCTTCTTCTACTTTGTATACTTGGAGACGGCTGCGCAGGAAATCGAGACTGGCATGGGCAACATTGCATCTAATATTCGTCTTTGGACAGCCCTCCTTGACCTGGCCAAGTCGGTGCTCAACTCAGCCTTCAACAGCCCCGAACCTTACCTGGCGCCCGAGGTGGAGCGCTGCGTTTTCGACGCCTTCCTGCCGACTTTGACGCACATGGTCAAGCACCATACAAGCAAGATGGATGAACGCATCCAGGCGCCCCTGCGCCAGATGCATGGCATCATTCAGCAGCTAGCCACCCGCGCTGCCGACCGCTTGTATACCAAGGAAATGGCCTTTGAGCTGTCCTCATGCTTGGTGGCCTTTGACATGTCCAGCCTTGGGCTGGCTACCAGCAGTGACCTGCTGAATCGCCTTGATCGCCGCATGCAGGTGCTGCAAGGCGACGTGGCCATGAGCACAGCGTATCAGCAGTACGAGGATCGCTTCCGTGCCCAACTGCACTTGAATGAAGCACTCAATAAATTCGTCAAGCGCGTGCGTGAGGCGTTTGGCGGCGCCAACTTGGTGGCCGTGCAAATTCCCCATCACACCACGGACAGCGAGATTCTGGCCCGTGACTACTGTGAGGGCGAGGAAGACGACGAGTACTTGCCCCTCGGCCCCGAATTCCAAATCTTTGTGGACATGTTTGCTCGGTATCAAGTGGTATCGGGCGTGAAGCAGCTCGTGGGCATTCGCGAGGATGACGTCCGCTCCTTGGTGCGCTCGCTGATGGCCTCGCAGCGCTACTCGGCGGGCATGGATGCGAAGGATGCTGATAGCCAAGAGGTCCTAGACATCCGCTCCCTGCAGCTCCTGCGCGCCCTGATCCATAACCAGATCAAGGTGGACGCCGAAGTTGTGGATATTCAAAATGACATCGCTGGCGCCGGTGCCGTGCTGCCCGTAGCCTCACTGCTCTCCCACAGCAACGACGAGGTGGTGCGTGAGTCCCTCGCCCTGCTTGTGGCACTCCTTGATGGCGGCAACAAGGCTGCCCAACAAAGCTTCTTGCAGCACTTCCTCGCCACGCGTGAAGAGACTTTCTTCTACGATGTCCGGACATTGTTGAGCTCTCCGTGTTGTCTCATCAAGATTCAGCGCTTCAGATGTTGACCGTCATTGAGAACCGAGATGAACCTATTTTGCAGGACCAAGGCAACATCGAGCTCGTGCTGCGGGTGCTGCAGTTTATGTGTGAGGGCCACTTCCGCCCCATCCAGGACTACCTGCGTTTGCAGCCGGACAACGCACGAAAGATCAACCTTGTTGCCGCGACGGTCGAGTTTTTGCACGTACTCTCAGAGGACTTGGAGGCCGACGACCGCCTGGACCTGGTCGTCCAGACTGTCGAGACTTGCGTCGAGTTTTGTCAGGGTTGCATTGGCAACCAAAAGGCTGTCTTTGATGCTCGCGTGGTTGATGACATCAACTTTATCCTGCGCTCGCCTGAACTGCACAACGTGGCCTCGGACCCTGATGTACCGGATGCCGAGCGACCCATCATGGAGGAGAAGGTGGCTCATTTGTATTTGGCCACGGCCAACCTTGTGTTGTCCATGCTGGAAAACTCGGATGACGAGACGGCCGAACTGGCCCTGGAAATTCACGACACGCTCGATCACAAGCGTATCCTTGAAACCATGTTCCGCTACTATGCCCTCATGGACGCGCGTGGGGACAAGAACTGGCAGACGGAAGACGATGACGACCCCGTGACGGCTTCACAGGTGGCCTACGCCATGTTTGCCGTCATCATTCGCCTGCAGGACTTTACTAAGAAGGACTACATGGAGCTGACGAGTGGCACTAGCTCGTTTAAGCGCTTGGTCGCTGACCCAGCTGCCTGCTTTGAGACAATGCGCTCTCAGGTGGTGTCCATTGAAATCCTTCGCGATAATCAACTCCATCGCGTTCACTTTTTCAACCGATGGAAGAGCGATATCCGCCCAGAAATCAAGGAGCATTTGCAGCAAAATGTCGACCGTAGCTCGCCTTCGGACAAGCTCCAGGACTTTGTCGCGCGCTGCAAGGACATCATCGCAGATATTTGTGAGTTTGTACTAGGCAGCACGCCTGCGTTTCGCATGGACGATGTTTTTGTTTGTTTTGTTTTGTTTTTTCGTTTGCCAGTGTTTTGATTGTCCATAACCTACTTTTGTCTTTTTGCTTTTCTGTTTTCCTGTTTTTCTGGTCTTCTGTCTTCCCCTTCTTCCCCTCGGTCCTTTCTTGTTGCTTGATTTCCTTATTTCTTTCCTTCATCTGACACAGTCTCACTTCACTTTCCATTTGGCTTGTTTTTCTTATTTCGCCTTCAGCCTATCAAAAGCGAATGCAGGAGTTTAGCTTTATCACCTGGTTTATCAGCCATTACAGTCGCTGGTGGGCTCATCTGATGCTGCTGTTGACCCTGGTTCTCAACGTGATCATTCTTGCTGTATGGCGGGCCCCCGTCAGCTGGGATGACCCTGTTCCAGAGTACAGTGTCGGGTGCGTTGACTTGAATCTCTCAACCGCCGCTATTCGTCCACTGGTTCATTTTATTGCTCTGTGGCTTTCGTCATCTCGAAGCACCGGCTTGCCTAACGACCGTTCCTTTCGTTGCCCTTCTTCTCAGTTGGTATACGGACGTTTTGGGTGTCCTGGGCGCCTTCCACATCATCTTTTCCAGCTTGGTTGCCATTGCCTTCTTCCTGCTGCACCCACCGTCCCTGTCCGCCTTGGTGACTGAGTGAGTCAACAGCGGGAACCGTGGTTTGGATCGCGTTGTTTGAGCGTGCATGGCACTTTGGTTTGCTCATGGATTTGTGTTCCTTGTAGCACTTTTGGTGATGTGGAGACGATTGAGGATTATCCTTCCTGGATTGCCGAGCCTCTGAAAAAGCTGGTGTCCGACGAACCGGGCTCGCGAAACTCGCCCATTAGCCTCTCTTCGCTGTACCATATTGGCTTGGTCTTGTTCTCCATCCTGGGCTTGGCCTACCACGGCTATTTCTACTGTTATGCCTTCTTCCACATTGTGGTGGGCAATGACATTCTGCTCCGCGTGATTCAGGCTGTGACCAAGAACAGCAAGTCCTTGCTTTGGGTAGGTGATGACGCATGGCCAGCCACCTTGAATCCCTCTCGTTCATGCCCATGCCCGAGACCGCTCTGATTATTCATTTGATTTTGCTATTTTCGGCTGTGCCCACAACTCATGCGATGAACCGTCAACTTGCGGTTTTGCCTGTCATGATGGATAGCTGGCGGCCTTGATGGTCATCGTGATCTACATCTACAGCCTGGTGTCGTTTGCCTTCTTGCGTAAGGCCTTTGATGAATCAGAGGGTGCCTTTTGCCAGACGGCTTTCCAGGTGCGTTCTTTGGCGGTGTGATAAGTAGATCTGTCGCACGTGAAGGCAACTTTTGGCTCGAGATTATGAGCTTGACCTTGCTAGCTGGGCTTGGCCTGTTCGTCATCTCACGCCACGCTGTTCTCCCTTGCAATGACGTTTGCAGTGCTTTATCACCAGCCTGCGCCTTGGCCTGATGTCGGGTGGCGGTTTGGGTGAAGCCCTACCTGGCGAGACGTTCAGCTTTATCGAACCTGGCGTGCGTACGCTGTTTGACCTTAGCTTTTTCATCATCGTGACGATTATCGGCTTGAACGTACGTCCTCGTATCCCCATGCTCGTTCTTTGTGCCCTTGGTTACGTGTCGGCATGATCGTGTCGCATCCTCACGACACACTATTCGGTGCCCCCACACCATCCTTGCTTTGGTGATACGCAGCTTGTCTTCGGTGTTATCGTTGATACGTTCAGCGAGGTATGTGACTGGCTCCTGTGGTTTTGGGTCTTGACCGAATATCCTTGCTCATTCAACTGCCTTTTATCTGCTGGTGTCCCTTAGCTCCGCGACGAGGCTCATGAGATTGCCGAGGCTCGCAAAACTGAGTGCTTCATTTCTGGCCTCAAGGCCGATGAGTTTGAGCGCTATGGCAATGGGTTCAAGCACCACATTAACCACGAACAAAACATGTGGCACTACCTAGCCTTCTTCCTGCATCTGGCGGACAAGCCCCGCACCGAGTACACGAGCCACGAGCAGTATGTCGCGGACCACTTTGAAGCAGATGAGATCACTTTCTTCCCCCAGAATCGTGCCATGTGTGTGACACGTGATGATGAGGCTGGGGTAAGCACATTCCGCTCCGTTTAATGGCGTTTCTCTCAAGGGGGTTTGGGTGACTGAGTAAGAAGGCAAGAAGAGAAACGAGAGGGGGATGCAAAAGTGATGCCTGGTTATCAAGTCGCTCACATTTTGTCTCTCGATGGCTTGCTTCTTCCAGGTGGAAGATCGCCTGGGGTCGCTCGAGGCCAAATTGGCACAGATCATGGACTTGCTTGAGCGCGAAACCGAGGAGCGGGCTGCCTCTCGCAAGCGAGTACGTGCTACCAGCATCTCGCCTGCTTTTTGATTTGTTTGCGCCTCTGCCGTGACCCCACTCATGATGACGTGGCTTTTTTCTTCTTCTTTTTTTTTCTTTTTTTTTTTTTTCCTTTTTTTGCAGGGTCTGCAACGCTCCGTGACCTCGGCTGATGAGTAGGCCCAGATCACGCGACACAGCATGGTGCTATGAGCAGCCCTCATACTTTATGTTTCTCTTCGGTTTCCTTTTTTCGGTTGCGAGTTGTTTCCCTCTTGCTGTTTTTGTTTTTTGCACGCGCTTGTCGGCTGCTGCTTTTGTTTCTTGGCGTGGCTTTTCGCGCATTCGTCGAGGCCACAGCGTCTCCGCGCCGTTCACCCGACTCGAATGCCTTCAGCCCAGGCGCACACCCAATTCAAGCAACGTCTTAAAATATCTGACATCTTGCATCTGACACGCGATCGCCGTGAAACAACTTCTTGTTCTGGTTCGTCTGAGGTCCGAGGGCAGTCGCAGCACGCCGTATGGCATTCGCTCGAGCCGTGTCAGACTCCCCGATCCGCACTCAGGCACCGGCACGGGCAGACTCATCAGAAGCGTCTCACAAGGCCAAGCCAAGATTCATTAACACGGTCGCCTTTCTCCCGAACCTTTTCTGCCTGACACCCTCAATGCAACAGTTCGTCACGTGGGAGTTTTGTGTTTTGTTTTTTCCATTTTCACGATCCTCTTCCGTTTCAGCGTTCAGAGAGCTGCCCTGCAACTTGAGCCGCGTGCCGGGACTCTATCGGGGTGTTTGTGGCTGGTGTATTGCACACGATGGCTGTGACCTCGTGGACGCGTCATGCGCCGATCAGTCGAGGCCTTGTGGCTTCGCTGGCGACCGCTCTTGCACGACGCACGACCTTGTCATCACAGATTTGCCGCCATGCACCGACGATGACGAGCTCCTCCTTCTCTGGTTGTGCTTCTCCCACGGGACCGAGCCAAGTGTCGCCTGCTCCGTTCTCGCTGTCCCTCGGCGTCTGCCCTTTGTCTGATGCACCTCAGGCTGGTTTTGTATTCGGCACTTCGCTCGGCTTGCCAACGTCAACGAGTGCCTCGCCGAGGCCCTTGGCTTGTGAGAAAGCGGAGCACTGTCGGCAGAGCTCTTGGTTGCCACTACGATGGCTTTGGCCCACCGCACCCCCGCCTACGGCGGTTCGCGCGCCCCGGCGTAATTGGACGCGTCGTCGAGCAAAGCCTCAGCAGTCAGGTGGTCTAGGCATGGCAGTGCCGGCCTTTCCAGGCCCAACGCTACGAGCACGCTCAGGCCGTCCACCCTCGCACCAAAAAGGCGGCAATCATGATCGTCCGGAATCGGGCCCGGGAGGACCAGATGACTTTCAACATAAACCCCGACTGGTGATGCGTTGGCTGCGCGAGACTTGGCCGCGTTTGGTCGCCCCAGATGCCATGCCCGACTACAGTCTCTACGCGCCCAATGTGGAGTTGATCGATAACATTCATGGCCTCAAGCTCAGCTCCCTTTCAGCCCTCAAGGTATGCGTCCTGATTGATCCTCGTTGGCCTGACTGAGATTGTGTTATGCCGGCCGTCTTGCGTTTTGTGTACAGCATCATGACGTTTTGCCTTTTTGTTGGCGACCCCGCGTGGTAGTTGGCCTACGGTGCTTTTCGCCGCTGCGCCCAGCTTCTTCTGCTTGACCCTCAAATGCAGTTGCTCAGCGTGGAGCTATGGCCCGACAATACCATCCACTGTCGCTGGCGCGTTGTTGGCTTGAGCCGTGCCACAACTTTGGGCGAGGTCTGTCGTCTTCAACGTCTTTGCAGCGCGTGTGGTTTTAACCTCTTACTGACCCCGCCTCGGTATTGGTGATCGCCTGTGTTCTTGTTAGACTTGGTTGGATGCCTACTCTGTGTTTCACATTGACCCGCAGGGTTTGATTGTCCGACACGAGATTAGTCGCCAGCGGCCCACGCATCATGACGAGGAGGAAACCGATGCTGCTCGATCTGCGTTTTGTTTATAGATGGCATTTGTATTTGTAGATGACATGTCAGTCTCTGGTTGTAAGATGGCATCTGTTCTCGATATGCCTTTTGCTTTTCCTCCTTCTTTCTTCCTCCCTCCCTCCCTCCCTCTCTCGCCCTGGCTCAATGTCAGTGTGCGCGACGACCGGTCCGCCTGTCTATGGGCTATAGACACCGTGTTTGTTTGGTGCTGAATTTTTCCCCATTTTCGACGAGTTTTTGTGTCGTTTTCTTCTTTGTCTTTCTTTCTTTCTTGCTTTTCTTCCTCCGCGCTGTTTTCTTCTCCTTTGGACGGACTGCCGTGTGATGGCATCCCAGGTGGGGTGACGTGTTTGGAAAACTCCGGTCTATCCAGTCGCTTTCACCGTCAATCGAATATAAAGAATAGACCATAAAAGGGGTGCATTGAGCAATGATAAGCGACCGATCGATGGATATCACACCGCATCAAAAGGGTTAAGTTCAACTTGATTTATACTGGCACACACTGTCTCAAAAAGAATCAGAAGGACGGAGACGGGGTTGTCGGCGAGATTTGTATCCATAGCCGGGACAAACAGCCCGACCCATAACCGAGGTTCTTCAGTGTACGCCACCCAGGCAGAATCATCCCACAGCTCCAAGCCCAGCATGGCTGCATGTCGAGGTAGATTATCGACAACGCAACAAAAAAGAGCGGCAAACGAGGGCAGCTCAATCCTCCATGCGCTCCGGGCGTTTGCGCTGCCGCCGGCGAGCCAAAGCTCGAGCCCGAGCTTCATCCACCTGATCCTCGGAAGTCTGGCGAGCATACTTGGCCTTCTACGCGGTTGGGTCACGCCAGATTGCGACCATCAAGTCACTACACCCAAAAAGCAAAAGCGCAGCATGACCAAGTGACTCAGCGTGAAACGTACCAACTCTTCACTCATGGCAGCCTCCTCCTCGCGTTGTGTCTGGTCTCGCTTGGCTGTCTCGGCCCGCATTTGCTCCGTTTGTCGTTGAATGCGCTCGCGGCGCGATTTGAGCTGGTCACGCTGGGCACGGCGTTGTTCATATGCTTCAGCCTGCTCAGCAGTCTGAGCTTGAGCTGCCTTATCTGCAGCGTCGCGATCAGCACGAGCGCTCGCGTCAAGCTTATCTGAAGCAGCTTTGCTCACGGCCGACGTTGTAGCATCGTTTTGTGCCAAGACGGTGCGATAAAAACTGTTTAGGTCGCCCTTCTTCGTAACGGCATTTCGAGCTGCCGGCGCGATGGAGGGGTTGGGGGTTGGTGAGCATAACACCAGGGGCAGACAGCGGTCAAGCACTGAAAATGAAGCCATGCTGCGCGAACGAACCCTCAGCTTCTTCTTCGGCTTTCTCGCGTGCCTCAAACTCGCGCAGTTCCAAGAGCTTCTTCTTAAAGGCCTCGGTAACAAACTCCTCCTTGTCTGCAAATTCGCCATCCTCCTGGTCGCGTTCCTTCTGTGCTACTCGCTCTCGCCGCAACTCATCCACCATCTTGCGCTCAGCAGCACTCTTCATGAGTGCATTGATGTACTTGGCCTGTCGACAACGGTTGCGCGCAGCGAGCGTCAAAAATCAAACCCCTTTGTCAGTTGCTGCAGGCAGAGGGCGAGCAGTTTGTACCTTGGGCTTTTCCTTCTTCTCTTTGAAGCGTTCAAAACTGTTGGCGCAAGGAGGGATGGCGTGTGAGGTCAGTGACTCAAGCACCAGGCATGGGTCAAGAGGAGTTGAAATTGAAGGACGAGGGTAAGTCAGGGCAGAAAGGAGGATGCTGCAAGGGCAGATGAATACAAGGCAAGGGGACGTACCGCGGATCATTGCGCATGCGTTCCTGATTCATCGAGTCGTAGACCTGATTCGCGACGACCACGCCCCAGAGGGTGAGATGAGCACGAGATCACACAGCCACAGCAGCTCTAGTGTGTCACCCGGCGTTGGGACGTGGCAAAGGCAAAGCACACCTCATCGTAGTCAAAGATAGTGTCATCCTCCTCAAGAGCCTTTTCCACGTCGCGCTGGGCCTATCGAAGTGGAGGTGTGTCAGGGCGTCGCGGCGAACCAGCGGTCGATCAGCGGAGGCTCATGCCAACCTTTCTCTGCGTCCGCATGGACATTGAAGCTTGTTTCAGGTGTTTATTGACGCGCGAGCGCTCCAGGGCCTAGATGGCACAACATCCAGGGTCAAGTCAGCACGATGCGGAAGTACCCCTGAACGTCCCAAACCAAACCCAGGAGAATGGACGGAGCGAAGCTGTGCCACACCTCTTGATCCTGCTGCTCATCGTCACTGTCATCATGGCCAAAGACGCTGGCCACTTCGTTGGATCGCAAGCTATTAAACTTTTCCGCGCGCTGTGCTGCCGTCAGCGGTTTGCGCTTGGCAAAGGTCAGGCCAAAGCCGGCCGGTGCGTTGCTCATGGTGGCAGGTCTGAAGCGCCAGTCCCCTCAAACAGTCGCAGACCACAACTCTCGCTGCAGAAACGGGCAACGAGACGAGGGCTCGTCTCCACAGCTCCTCCCGCAAATCTGGTGTCAATGCTCTTTCAACAACACCACAAGACCACAAGACCATACCCCAGACCAACCCCCTCCGGTACCCAGTCCCTCGATGGCCTCTCCTGACTGGCCCTGAGATAGAGAAAGAGAGAGTTTGAGAGAGAGTTTGAGAGAGAGTTTGAGAGAGAGAGAGAGAGAGTTTGAGAGAGAGAGAGAGAGAGAGAGAGTTTGAGAGAGAGAGAGAGAGAGTTAGAGAAACAGAGAGAGTTTGAGAGAGAAACAGAGAGAGTTTGAGAGAGAAACAGAGAGAGTTTGAGAGAGAGAGAGAAAACGTGACAACACGATTTTGTGTATTTTTCGAGTCTACCGGAAGAGATGGCGGCGACCGAGAAGATGATGGAGATTCAGACGTCCATGCGGGCCAAGGCTGCGCATACGCAAGACTTTATGCGGTAAGGTGATGGTGTGTTTGATGCAGGGGGTGGGCTCTGTTAAGTCGTCGGCCTGATGGAGGTTGTGGGACACAGGGAGTTGTCTTCGTTCCAGGCGGATATCTCACGACGTGACGAGCAGCTCAAGGCCCAAAAGGCTGTGCAGAAGAAGGTTGGTTGGTGGACACACGAGAAGCACGCGTGATTCTAGTTGAACTCACGCCGCCTACTCTCGACAGCTCCCGCCCATTCGCGGAAGCAGCGACCAACCAGATACCTCGGGCCCCCAGCCCACCCCCGCTGCTGGGAATGATCAAGCACACCCCACTCAAGCGCGGCAGGCTCGCCTCAAATCAGGAGACTACCGTGCCTGGGATCGATTCGACGTGGTAGGGTCGCTCCCATTTTGAAGACAACGAGAAATCAGAATGGGACCAGAAGGGAAAAGACATGGGAGAGAAGTGGGGAGGGGGGAGGGGAGAGAGAGGGAGGCGGAGCGCACGCAGCCCAGACATACGATATCGAACTTGCAACGTGTCTCACAACACTCAACTGCGTCGTTTTGTGCACTGGTGTCTGAGACTAGGACGCTGAGCTTCAGCGACTAGCAGAGGAGGAAGCCCAGATGGAAACGCAACAAGCACAACGCGCAGCAGCCACACTCGATCGTTCGTAACCAGGCTTGCTCATCTCCACGACAGGGGCGCATCACAGTCATTGCGCACAGCTTACCTCGGCTCTGCACCTGCGTGCGCAGGCGCTACAAGCGGATCCAATGGATCACGGGATGGCGAAGAACAGCCCATGAGCATTAATGACCTCCAGACGCACATGGCCAACGTGGAAAAAGACAACGTAAATCTCTACGGCCTCGTTCGATCGATGCTGGCTTTGCGCTTCCCTCGCGCGACTGGCTGACCGCTGACCGCTTTTCTCTTTATCATTCGTTGCTTTCCTAGGGTAATGCACAATTCAAGCAGGGCAAGTTTGCAGCAGCCATCACCTGTTATACCCGGGGACTCGAAGCCAATCCCTACTCGGCAACCTTGCTTTCAAACCGCAGCATGGCACACCTCAAACTTAAGCAGTGCGTGGGTTGTCCAAGCATCTCATGTTGCGGTTATTCTCGTGAGGGTTACAACCTTCCTGTGCCGCGTCTGTGCAAGAAATAACGTGTCGCATTCCCTTTGGCGCAGGTACACAGAAGCCGAAGCTGATGCCACGGAGGCACTTGCCCTGGATCCTCACTATCTAAAGGTTAGTGGCGGTGCAAGACGATCTGTTTGCAGCCGGCTGAGCGAGGTCTATGGCTTGGTCTTAATTGCCTTCAATGTGCCAAGGCATGCTTCATCACACGAACGCGCTAATCACCTTCACAGGCTTGGTCGCGGCGTGCTACAGCGCGAGGCGAGCTGAAGCACTATGCCGAGGCCATCGCAGGTAAAAGCTGCCAATGAGCACGCACGCCCTGCGCGCGCGCCTAGTTGACAGCATCATCGCGACTTCATGCGTCAAATAGACTGGCAAAAGGTGTTGGAGCTCGACAGCAAAAATGGGGTGGCCAAGAAGGAGATTGCACGTCTTCGCGATGTAAGCCTGCTCCTGTTTGGGCATCATGTTGGTGCAGGTCGAGTCCCAGGGGCTTGGCTTCAGCACTCCCCTTGGATGTGATCTGCCCGTGTTGGCAGTGGACGGCTGCTGCAACCCTTAGTTTTGAATGGGTGGACGTATAGGTCAAGGCCAAGTTTGATGAGCTGCAGCACGCGACCTTCAACCCTCTCAAGGCTGCTCTTTCGATGCAAGCACAGGTCTGGTTTTTTGCCGTGTCATGTGTTGTGTTGGTGTGTATGCGTTGGTGTGGACGGCAATTCAAACAGGCCATCTCATGTGTCATGGCTGGGGTTCGGGTTTTTTGATTCTGAATTCAGCCTGGTTCTCCAGCCACGAAAAAGACCGCGCCCCAGCAGTGGGTGCGCGTGGCCATTGAAGATATTGGTGAGGCCCCTGTTTCAAGCACAGTTAGCGAAAAGCCGGTGCAAGCATCAGCCCCTCCAGGTGCAAGCACCGACGGCAGGGTTGTGGAGGCAGGCGCAAGCGAGCCTCCTGCTAAAACGACAGCATCCGCCAACGACACGCAGAGTCGCAAGGTACAGATTGTTGAGGTGGACGATGATGTGGCCTTGGCGCCGACGGAGACGGCGGCTCAGCCCGTTCAGCCCCAAGCAGCGCCCCTTCCGTCCTCGCCTGCACCCGAGCCCACGGCTGCGCCCGAGCCTACGCCTGCGGCTACGGCGATGCCAGTGTCCACACCTGCACCTGCAACGACACCGGTCTCTGTGCCCACGCCCTCACCCGTGGTCAGGGAAGCATCGGCTGTCACTACTGGCCTGCCTATGTTACCCACGACCAGCCTTGAATTTCATCGGTCGTGGCATCAGAACACCGAGCCAAGTAAACGGGCTGCACTTCTTCAGGTAGAACTCGCATTCTTGTTGAAGCTCGCACCAGGGGTTGACCGCGGGCCAAGATTGGCATGCATCGTCACATTCACGCTGGCTGTCCCATGTGCCTATGAATGTGCCTATGCGTGTGTGCCTCTCTGTGTCTGCACAGCGGATCGATGCCAACGAGCTGCCGGGCCTATTGGGAGCTACCTTTGAGCCGGATGATTTGATTAGCATTCTCCGAGTATTATACACAGAGTACTTGCCCCAGCGCCAGCCGATCTTCCCGGTTTTGCGCAAACTGACCAAAGCCGACCGCTTTGACATGATGATCATGTTTCTTGAGTCAGAGGTTCGTTGCTTGCGCCCCAGTCCGTGCAGAACGGGTGACACGACCACGCAATGATGGTCTGCTGACTTCTGACGGCGCCTTACCACGCCACTATCTCATTGGCAGGAGCGGGCATGGATCACCGAGCTGATTGAAGCCGTGGCCGCCAATACATGCGGGGACCGCCCGTCGGATAAGCTGGTGTCGGCCCTCCGAGCCAAATTTCAATGCACTGTCTAACAGTGGCGAAGCATCACCGACAATTCCTCTTTTGCTTCACACATCATCGCATCTGTTGACCTCCGCTTTTTTTGTTTTTTTTTTGTTTTTCGATTCTTTAACAAACTTGCAGCCAGCAATGCTGCCACAGACAACCCTTCGGCATCATCATCCCGCCGCCGAGGTCCAGCCCGAACTGGACGCCCGCCATCTGTTTGCTCCCAACGTGTTTGGTGTACGTTCACTTGTCAGACACAATTGTCAGACAAAGTTGTGTGTTGTGGAGTTGGTTGATAAGGGAAAAGGCAAAGAGCTTGTTGTTGTAAGCAAGCAACGAAAAAAGGGGGGGGGGAGATGTGTTGGAAAGTTAGAGATAGCTACCGTCGGAGATAATTCCACTGTATAAAACATCAGCTTGAGCAGAGATGCGTTCGAGTTGTGAGAAAATCAAACGACGAGAGAGATATTTTTTTTCAGCGCGACTTGTCGTTGATGTGTCGTGGGCGGGTTCCGGCTTCTCGGGCGTTTGGTCGATGGTGTGCAAGTTGGCTGCTGCTTGGGCGTTGGCACTGGGAGTACCTTGGGCTTGTGCGGCTGATTTGAATGATTGGGCTGTTTTTACCTTCTCATCTTGCCGCATCTAACGGGCCATCAACGCGACACCACGGGCTCTGCACATCCGATTGGTTGCTGCACATCCCATTTTTCTATCCAGCCTACTGTCGCGTGTGACACGTCTATGCCAGCCATCCCCTTTCTTGTTCTTGACCCGAGGCCAGGCTTGTTCTTGACCGAGTCCAGGCTTGTTCTTGACCCGAGTCCAGGCTTGTTCTTGACCCGAGTCCAGGCTTGTTCTTGACCTGAGTCCAGGCTTGCACCTGCCTGGGCTGCTGCGTTGTTGCATCCTCCACGCGAGGACAGATAGACCATGCGGACATTGTGCCTGCAGAAACACACGCCTTGATCCTCGGTGGATCTTCGCTTTACACGACCATTGTCGGCTCGACCCCATATTGCTCTCTGTGACGCAGTCCATGAGGTTGGGGTCTAGACGGCCAGCTGGCCCTTCGATGGCCATGCAAAAACCGGGCCAGGGCGTTTCATCAGCCGCCTCGGCTCTTTTTGCTGGCGCCGGCCCCCTTCTAGTCGCAGCGCTAGCCACCAGTGCTGCGCCCATCACCTCCGCCACTACTACCCCTGCCGCCTCCGCTGGTACCGGTGCACTGACGACCACCATGACCACAACCAGGCTTGAGTCGACCACCCGCGCCTCAACTCCTGACTGGGTCGCCCACCGACCCGAGATACCAGCCACCACAGTCGTCCTCATTGTCATCTTTGGCGCCTTTTCCCTCTTCATTTTGCTGCGCTTGCTCTACAAGCGGCGGGAGGTGATGCAGTATTGCAGTCTGATGTGCTTTCACTGCAAACACGGCAAGGTGGCTCCGGCACAGGATGTGGAAATTGCGCAGACTCGCTTGCAATCACCGCCACGAGCTGGGCATCGCATGAACACAGCTTGGCGACCGCCGTCAGCGCAAGCCTCTGAGCCAGACTCTACACTGGCTCACATTCAACAAAAACTCGAGGCAAGGGCCGAGGCTGCGGTGGCGCGTCGGTCCAGTGCCACCACACCCATCGTGCCCTTGACAGCCGTGTCTACAAGTCAAGCTGGTGAGGATATCCGACCAACACATTCTGGCCATGAGAGGTTACCCCCGATCGTATCTAGTCGAGCCGCTAGTGAGCGTAGTCTGCCCCCAATCGTGGCTGCAACACCCACCACGTCCCAGCGGTTGGCTCCCTTGGGTTTGAGTGGGCCGAGCTCAGCCACAGGGGCGTCAACCGTGGCTAACCACGAGCAGTCTTTGGAGGCTCTACGAGCCACCACCTTGCCGCGCCTTCTGCCTCGGCTTTCACCGATCGAGCCTGGTCGAGCCTTAAGCTTGGACGGCTCAAATGTTTCCCCACGCGCGCCCCTATTACCAGCAGATGAGAGTTCTGCATGAGGATTGGCCGTACTTTTTTTCTTGATCCGATGTAACCTATACCCATTTGAGCCTGTCTGGTGACAGCGTTGGGATTGCTTGTTGTTCATATCTTTTAGCCCAATTCTTTTAGCTCAGTAACGGCTCGTACACCTTGTCTCACGATGTGATGCCGGTGATCCTCTGAGCAAGACCTGAAGCGAGGTCACACGGCCCATGCAGCCCCAGCTACTTTTTTTTTTTCTTTTGGTTCTTTGTCATGTTTGCTTTGATTATTTTTTCGGCCGTCGTTGTCGCCATCACTCGCATCAGGTGACGCGCTGTGCGCTCATCCCACGGTGGCTTGACAGGCCGGTTTAGGAGTACTTGAAATTGACTTTCAACTCAGCAGATTGCGCTTGGCTCGAGCGTAGTGGCGATTAACCAGAATCAGGTGGATAGGCGATAGCAAGGTTTGCTTTCAACGTCAAGCACAAAGGCATGTAGGTCAAAGCACACAGCAAGGGAAAAAGAAAATCAAAGGGCTGGGATCAAAACAACAAAATTATCAAAAACAGTCAGCGACGCGAATGTCATCAGAGACTCGTGCCGTTGATGGTGATGGGCGGCTTCTTGCCAAACTCCTCATCGGGGTCATTAAACTCGTTGCTGGCCGCTCGGCGGCCGTCCGTTTGCCTACCAGGCGAGTTGAGGCAATTTGACTGAGCGGGGACATGGAAAGGAATGGCCATCCCACTAGATTTGCTGTTGAAAGTTTAGCCCCCAAGCCATGCATACCGTTCGGGGTTGCGCTCATCAGGGTCATCATTTTCATCATCTGGTGGCGCGACGACCAACAAGTCTGGTGGGGTCTGTAAGTTTTTTTTTTTTTTTTTTTTTTTTTTTTTTTTTGACGCGCAGAGCGAGAAATGCCAGTCATGAGCTGCCGAGTTTTCTGCTCATGCGCCTGCCAAGACATTCATCGAGCGCACACACCTCTTGCATCATGACGGATGGCGCACCATCGAGTTGCCCCAGCTGCTCAAAGACGTGCTCCCGCAGCTGCAGTAGACAGGAGGGGGGCACGAAGCGTGAGGCCGCCTGCCTTTTGGTCGATCCATGGAGCATTGAATGAGAACTGCCAGCATGACGGCTGGCTGACCTTGTCGAGATACTCTTTGCTATTTTGATTTTCCACCGAAGTGGCCACGTTTGGATGTAACTTGAAGTCTGGGCCGAAATACTGAAAGTAATCTGAGGTTTCCGATCCCAGATGTTCGGTCGGTGAAGTTAACCAGGACACAGGTTTCAAGTGCACGCCAGGCAAACAACAAACCGTTGTAGGGGAGATCTTCAGACAGATGTTCATCCAGCAGAATGCCGGTTTCATGGGTCCTGTGTTAGGCACAGAGGGGGATCCACGGCCAACAGATCAGCCAGGACAGGGTAACGCAGCACAGTGCTGTGCTTCTGTGGCACTGACCAGCAACGCGCCACATTGCGAATCGTGTAGCCACCGCCACCAAGAACCAGGAGCGGCAAGTTGAACGACTTGATAAACTCGACGCAATTGCTAGGGTAACATACAGGAAAGCAGGGAAAGCGAGGAATGGAGAGAGAGAGAGAGAGAGAGAGAGAGAGCGAGTGAGTGTCAGCGGTTGGATCAGAAGAGCTTGGCCGCTGAGAAGGTGCCAACAACTCATCGCATTGAGGATGGGACAACGCCCTGGTTCTTGGCTCTTACCCATGCCCAGCAATGCTGAGGTTGAAGCAGCCAAGACGGTCACAGCCTAGTGAATCGGCGCCACACTACGAGCATGATGGGTCACACGTGAGTGCAGAGCAGAACACAGAAACAGACTTTGCAAGACGCACGAAACCAAAGCGTTCAAAAGCGCGCGTGTGTGTGTGTGTTTGTGGATGTGTGAATATGTGTGAACGCGACATCGATGTTGGGTCTGGTCGCACGCCTGCGGTGATTGACAACCTGCAGGACAATGGCCGAGGGCTGAAACTTGCTGATGACTTCGCGCATGACGGGTTTGAAGAGCTCGTTGTAGCCTGCAGCAAATCAAGCGGAGGAGAGGGTAGCTTGCATGAGCATGATCGATGCTGCGCGTCAGCGACTTGTTTCGCGAGTATGCGTGCTCAACAACGGTTCTGGTCATTTGCGCTGCAGCTCTAAGCAGACGCGCGCACCCATGTCATCGATGCCATCCTTGAGCGGCACGTTGAGGGCGTAGTAGCGTCCACGGCCAGCGCCAAGCTCGTACATGCTTCCTGAGAAGCCAGGCGCGAGCAACGAATGAGCCCCAACGAATAGAACTTGTAACTCAGCGGACGAGCCAGGTGCACGTGTACAAAACAGGTACGGGCAGAAAACACGGTAGCTCGTCGGAGGTAGAAGTAGAATACACACCGGTGCCGGGGAAAAAGTGTCCACCGTACTTGTGGAAAGATACGGTCATGACGCGATCGGTGGTGTAAAATGCCTATGCGCCACCAACGCGACCGCCAAGTCAGCAAGCGAGTTCGACAACACGCCCAAATAATCAATAGAGTTGCTTTTGTGCGAATAGCGGAGTGGGACAGCGTCGTTCACAGGGAGGCGATCAAACGCACCTCCTCAACACCATCGCCGTGGTGGATATCAATGTCGATGTAGAGGACACGAGGGTGTTGCCTGCCATGCATGAAACCAGGTGGAGTATGAGAAGGTTGCAGCCAAGCCGAATACCGGACCAAAGAGCCAGCGAGTGAGCTGGCTCAATCCTGGGCCCATACTTGAGTAGCTCGAGAATGGCGAGCACGATATCGTTCACGTAGCAAAAGCCAGACGCTTCAAACTTTTTGGCATGATGCAGGCCGCCTGACCAGTTGATGGCAACATCGCATTGCTGTGCAAGATATGGGTGAGAGTCAAGGGGGCGGTTGTAGGTGATGTTCAGCAAGGTATCTACGGGAACTGAAACAGACCTTGTTGTTCAGTTTGACGGCCCCCTCGATGGAGGCACCAGCGTAGATGGAGCAGAAGTCAAAGATGCCATCAAATACGGGACTACAGGGCGACCAAGGTTGGATGCCCTTAAGTGATGCGTCAAAGTAGTATCGAAGCCCGTGTGTGCGTTATTGAGTCCGAGTGTGCACATGCATACCAGTCATCGCCGACGTTGAAGCGTTGCAGGTACGATCCGAACGTTCGATAATTGTCGGGTGTCACGCTGTGTACCGGCCCCACATGGGAGTATTAGAGCACATACTGGTGATAGACAACGTTGCAAGAGTGTACCACCTTGTAGATCATTCACATGGGCACTGGAGCAAAATCGAAAAAGAGAAGGGCACTGACCGCTGTAAAAAATTGATGTAATCTGTCGCGTGGAAGCGCCCCATGTCCTCGGGTGAAGCCCGGTAGGGGCGGAAGATCTAAAAGTGCATTTAAGGCAACATGGGTTTGAGCAGGACGGTGGTGTAATACAGATCATGGCCAGCTGTGCGTCCCACCTCCATCTTGCTCCATAGCCCATACTCCAAGACAAGGCTGTGCGTGAGGGCCAAACGGTGCGGTTTCATGGGATGACCAGGGCCTAGGGTGGGCGGGGGTTCGTTGGACGGCACAATGGTGAGCAAGGCCTAGCTGGCCGTCAGTTTACAAGCATCCTGAAGCGGATCGAGAAGCCTGAACAGACCATAATGAAAGTTGCCAACATCGGCATCGAAGAAGTAGGCCACACGTGGCCGGGACATGGTGGGGGGTGACCCTCGGCAGATGCTGGCTGCTCCGAGTTACCGTTTCTCGTCTACTCTTGGATGGGTGGAGTGCCATGCCAGGCCTGAGAAGAGACGATTCACTGTACACGGCTGCCACTTTGAAAAAAAAATACATGAGCACGTAGCAACCTCGTACCTCGAATTGGCGCCGTGCGCCCAACAGCCTTGTAGACCAGCTGCCGGTGTGTGGCCTCCTTCACCGCCGAACGTTCAAATGCGTGTGTGTGCATCAGCAGGGGGACAGTAATTGTTTTCAACTACTGTTGTGACAAGCATCCATCGTCAGACTTTTTTTGAATTTTTTTTTTTGAACGAATTTTTTCAAAAAAAGAAAAAGGGTTGGTCGCTTGAGCAGGGGCATCATCGTGTCGAGTTGTTGGGCCTTCTGGGGTGCCGTGGCGGTCAAGGTTGAAGGGTTCAAGCCTGGCACAGGATATCATGTCAACGGGTGACTTGCTGAATAATCTTGGACGTCTGCAGCGCGCTCTACGCGTGGTGCGCTACGCGGGGCATTTTGACACGACCAGGTCGGTATGCGCACAAACGACTTGGCGCGATCTCGATTTTGTGGTCGACTCAGCACTTGAACCCTCTGCTTTTTGACGTGTTGGTATCCGGCAGAGCCAAGCTGGGGGACCCTGCTGCCTTCTTGCCTCTGATACATTACACGCTACTGGCCTACTCCCACCGGGTGTCTGCGGAGCTAGCCGAGCATGGTTATGAGCTGTACGGGAAAAGCGATCTGCGTTTCGTGGAGGCGGTGTTTCGGGTAAGTTTAGATTTTGCGAGCACTTTGCAATAATCAGCTATCCTCATGCTTGGGCGCGGATCGCATACACAGTTGTTGCGCAATGAATTCGGATACAGCCCGCGGCTTTCCACCGAGCAATTCTTTGCTCGGGGCTTTGCCGAGCTCAAGATGATCTTGGTAGTTGACATCACGGATATATGTATAAAGCGCCATCGCGAGCTTGCGCGGCAAGCCAAGGTTCGTGTTTGAAACTTGCAATGTGTTCCGCATAGCCTCGCTTCTTTCCTAGCCGCCACACTGTTTGTTGTACTCATGGTGATCCTGATCGGTACCCAGCAGCGTCGTGGGTCTGGGCGGCCTGCCACCTCACGCTCGCAACATTCAGGCGCCTCCCGCACACCAGCGGAAGCAGACATGACAACGGAAGAGCTCACAGCACAACATATTCTACGAGCGTCTCACCGTGGCGAGGGAGGAGATGGCCGGGATCACGCCCAACAAACTCCTGCTCTCAGCGACCGGTGGCAAGCATCGCAGGCAGAACTTGGCCCACGGGGCTCTACACGCGTGGAAAACGTGTACGGACCGCTTGTGACGGACAATGTGAGCCCAAATACCAGCATGCTGTATGGGGCACGTCGCCAGTATGATTCACAGCTCTACCAAACGACAACGAACCATCCCCTGGATCGTGGTAAGCCCCATCGCCACTCTTAGGATCTTGTGTAGTCCTTGATTGGACGATTCCCCGTTTTGATGGCAGACTTTTGAAGACTTTGCCCAGGTCAAAGTTGTAGTTTGCCGATTGTGTTTCCTGCCAGATGCAGAAAATGGTTCTGGTTCATGATGTGGGTGGTCGATCAAGACCTCTATGCGCGCTCATCGAGCTTGGCGAAACCTTTTGTAGATGATGTGGACTCGATTCACGCAGCGCTTTTTGATGTGGATGACAGCGATATTCAGCCCCGCTCACCGTTACAAAGCGGTTTGCCCGAGCAGCTCGAGCAGACACAGCCAACCCAAAATTCCATGCCAGCCTCGGTCCAAGCTGCCGCAACCGCAGAACACTCTTCAGCTACCCACCAAGCCGCGACGGCCGCCATGCAGGGCGTGGATGCTCTGGCGCGCCGTGTGCAAGCGCTCACGGCGCGTATGTCCAACCTCGATGGCAAGCAGGCGCAACTCATGCATCTTGCGAGTACGTTCCAGCTGCTTCTTGATTCTTGACACGACAGCTGTGCGAGCCGAGGGTGCGAGCTAGCAGGACTGAAGTTCAGGCTCTGGATAGGGAGTAGTTGAATGCGGGATCTCCAAATGGGGTCTCAATTCTGCCGGTGTCGCTTGGTGCTTTTTGGAATACACAGGTAGCCATCGTAGCCAAGGCGAAGCCAATGAAAGTACCAATTCGGCTCCGCCACGGCCACGGCCAGCATCACCTCATCCTACGCCCGAGACCAATGCAGCGTGGAGCAGTGAGCTGGCCAGCATGCGACAGGTGTGGCTGCGTGTGCGCTTGCATGCTTTGTGTGTTGCTCGCCAACCCGGCCCGTGCCGGATGTTTCCGTGCCTGATGTTTGACTTGACAAATGCCATGCGTAGGCCATGGAAGCACTGAGTCGTCAGGTTGAGTCTTTGGCAGCGGGCATGCGGCGAATGGAGACGGATGTGGGCACGCGTTTGGTGCTGCTCGAGGCCCAAGTGGCGAGTGGGCCCAACTCGCAGCAGCCCGTGAATGACCGTCGGGGTGCCGACGCTGCGGGACCAATCAGTCCACCACCTGCCACACTGGCTGGTACCTCGCTAGCGACTGGCAGCCGTCTGCACACGGGAGCAGCTCCAATGGCATCCAGTAGGGCTCCTGCAGCAGCTTCACGGTCGCCGGTCACAGGTACGACTACGGCGACAACGGTGAGGGCGGAAGAGCGTGCTGCACAGGCAGCAGAGCCACCAACGACCTTGCGGGCCACTATCAGCGAACGTCAGCACTTGACACCCTTTGCTTTTCTCGCACGGGGTGGCCCTCTGTCTGAGTAGAGAGATTGGGCTTTGTATGTATCGTATTTCTGTATTACGCTGGTGCCGAGCTGATACCACGGCTCGTGCACGGCACATCACGAAACAGCTTCTGATGTGTTTTAATTTACATCCATGACATTGTTAATCTTTTTACTCTTCCAATGATTGGCATCTGGGGAAAACTTGACTCGTTCTGACCCAAGCTATGAAGCGAGCTCAGTGCTTCCTGAACATCAGTCATGATGAAACGCAATCGGTTTTCAGCGGGGAGGGGGGGTGGAAGGAGGGCTTGGTGTGCCAAAAGAGGAATGGAAAGTAAGATGGACGTTTTCCAGGAAGTACGCTGCCAAGTGTCGGAGCTCATGGTGGCATGAAGGCAAAGTGACTGCATGTATCAGCGGAATGTTACATGATGATGGTGTAGCTCACGCGGTTTGGTTGCATCAGATCAATTATTATCTGAAAACGTTTGTGGATTTGAGCCAACACCCCTCGGAGCGAACGCCTTGTCGCCTGACATTCTCCAAGTCCTGTTTTAACCGTTTTTACAGAACCGCGGTGTGGTGTACTGATTGATGATTTATGGGGAAGTGTTGGAGGTTTTTGAGGCGGACCGTGCTCGTCACTTCCGTCACCCTTCCTTGGTTGTTGACCAACCGGAACCGTTGCGCCAGGGTGAGTGGTCAGTCTGGCGTTAGCGAGCTTGGTCCTTAATGTACAGGGTGACAGTGTGGCTCAAGCTTTCTGCAGCCAGCATGCGATGGCACGGCGTTGGCAAGAGGAATAAGTTGCCGTTGGATACTCACGATCAAGGTCGGCACACTCGTGCCAGATGTGCATGTGCGCTCTGCATGTGTATATCGTGGCTCTTGACAAGACTGAGTCCAAGGCGAGCCGAGTCAAAGGCGAGCCGAGCCGCGGACACGTATTCGTGAGGCAGAATTGTCCTGCTTCTGCCGGAAGGGGTGTGTGGAGTGGGGACAGCGATGACATTGCATTCGTAGGCGTTCTTGACTGTTTGCACATCTGCACATCTTTCAAGCTTCCATGTTAACGAGTGGTTCCATCTTCGCCAGAACTTCACCGAACATGACACAGAGTTGGCATTCTCCTCTGATTCCTGATTGGCCAGGTGGCGCTAGGGGACTACCCACTAATTCAAGTCGAGCAGATGGGGTGCTAGTGCATGGCTGAAACGTTGTACAAGAAGGGCCAACAAAGCACCCCAAGCACTGTTGTATCCTTTCTTGCATCAATTTGATGGTTGATGCGGAAAAAGGACTTGACGCAGAGAGAGGGAGAGAGAGAGAGAGAGAGAGAGAGATGAAATGGTCAGAGAAAGAGAGGGGTGATGGTTTAAAAATGGGATACTAATTCTGGGTAGTGGGGGGACATTCGGGCCCTGCTGGAGATTACAACAAAAATAATTACTGAATGTCTGTCGATGGTTTCTGCTGAATCTCGAGCCCCACCACCTCTTCTTCTCCCTTTTGTTTCTTCGCGATTTTTTTTTTGGCAGGCTCACGCCGAAAGGTCACACAGAACGTTCTCGTTTGTTCATGCTCATGTGCATCAAGCCGTGGTGCTGTCCCGAAACAGCTTTCAATTCCTCTGCCTTCATTTCAAACATCAGAAAGGAAAAGTGCTGGTGCTTCTTTCTCCCGACAACTTCCCAATAATTGTCGCCTGGGCTGGGATGCAAGCCATCAAGGATTGGGGGGCGAGGGAAGCAAAAAGGCAGGTTTCGCATTCCTCGTCTTTCTTTCATAATATTATGTGAACCAGATGTTCCGAGAAACTCATCCATCGTATCGTATCCCACCACTCCGCTTCTGGTGCATCGACCGCTCACAGCTCTTCCGCAGAACCCCACCAGGCAATTATCCGTGAGTGTGGGGCTTGACCACAGATTAGCCCTTGCCCGCCTTAACATGTGTGTGGTGGCTATGGGCTCGCCTTCCGTCATGATGACAATGGTTTCCGCTTACTCTCGACAACAACCCACAATAAATGGAAGGTACCCACGTTTGAGTTGGCACTTCGCCCTGATCCCCTCAGACCCTTCCTTTCTCCCTTTGCGCCTTCACCTGGCGCCGAGACGTATGAGGGGGGAGTGGCGTCTTTGACGCGCGTGTCCCCTTGGGGCATTTTTCTTCTTTTCCTTGCCGCACGAAACATTGCTTGGTTTGCTTACCACCGTGTTTCCAGTTGCCACTTGTCACCTGGCCTCGCTTCCATCTCCCCTCTCGTCCTCGACTGCCATCGCGTTTTCTTCCCTCGTTCGCCTTGCCCTCCAACTTGGGAACGTCTGATTTGCCCGGCCTGGTGGAGGTTTCTTTTTTTTTTTTTTTCGGAATCGCTTGACGGTTTGGCTTTGACGCCGCGCCAAGTTGACAAGGCAATCTCAAGCTCAAAATGGCTGTCAAGGCCGAGGAGCGGATCTTGCTGGAGGCACCTTTGCAAGTTCACACAGCTGGTGGACTCCTCAACTCGGAAACATCACAGAACCTTGTCGTGAAATTCACCACAGCAGACAACTTCACCATCAAGGTACTGTCATTCCTCGAGTGACCCACCCTTGCCCTCACGCGTCGCCGATCTATCTGCCAAATCTCTCTATTCCTTGCTCGTTGCCTCATTTTGTCTTTGACCTTGGACTCAGGTTAATAAGAAGAAGTACAACAAACTCAAAGGCCGAGCTCTGGTCGTGAGCCCCGTGCACCCTCAACACTTTTTTACCGCCGGCTCTCGCGTCATCACCCAAGGGTATGTATCTCCTTTGTCTCAAGTGTCTCAGGCAGCGCGCCCACGAAGAGTCAGCCCATCCCCTTCAACGCTCACCCGGTCCTGCTAAAACGCATCATACCGTTTAGGGTCCGAGTTGGCACCATTGAAGGTTATGGCCGTCACATGAATGAGGTGAAGATTCGCCTCAGCGCGGACGATGCACACAGCGTTCACGTGCCATACAAAGATGTCGATGCCGTCGACGCTGCAGCAGCGGTGCGTCTCATTTTTTTCTCCGCCTCATCCTGCCCTTTTGGCCGCTACCCGCAAACAATTGCCATCGCTCACTTGTCTGCCTTCCTTGAACACGATTGTGTTGTTTCCAGGTTGGACCTTTTGCTTTTTTCCTGTCCTTTCTCAATGGAAGTCACGTTGTGACCCTGACATTTCAGGCCCCTACTTTTGCAATCATGCTGCAATGGGTCTTTGTGCTCAGCCGGTGTCTGCTCCATGCCCTACCACGCCCCCTTTCTGGGTTTGAGGAGGCCATCCCCGAGGATGTGCCCAGTACGAGCAGTATTGGCAGCAACGACGATGCCGACAGCCACCACAGCAACACCAACAGCGACAGCCGAGTTAGCCCACCCGACTCGCAGGGTGCCTTGCGTTTACGCCGCGATTCGGGAGGCGACATCAGTCTTGCCTCCATGCCCACCTTGGACGCTACCGACCTACTTCAACTTGACAAGCAACATCGCGCCGACATTGATTCACAAATGTCCCTCTACCGCTCATTTGTACACGAACAAAACAGTCCTGTCGACATGGCGGCGCACCTCGCCCAACATGGCGCTCAAGTCTCAGCCACCATGCTATGGGTCCAACGCCGCCGCTTGGTTCTCTCCCGGATGGCTTCGTCCCAATTTGCCTCTCATGTAGCCTGGGATAGCAAAAAGGTTGATGGCATGTCTTTGGATGGCCAGCTCCGTCTTTTAGCGACTCACATGTGCGATCGCACCTGGGCCACCAAGCACGGCTGCCTTCCCTTGGTTAAACTCAATCCTGGTAGGTTTTGCTTGAATCTAGGCCTTTCCATATGTTTTTGAGTTTGTGAGCTCCACTTGCCATGCCAGCCAAGCCCCTCTGATTTGATTTTTGCTCCTTGCTTTCGTCATGGCTAGATGGATCCATTACGACCAGTCACCCCAATCCATTGGGCACCTTTGTCTGAGCCACGACTGTCTTGAGCGCGCTGCAAGTGCAAGACGTTGATCCTTATTCCTACCGCAGCTGGCGTCCATGGACTCCCCATATTTTCTATACTTCGCTTACCTATTCTACTGAACCTTCATAAATTGTCTTTAACATGTACCATGGCCGACCTTCCTCTTGCTAAGCAAGATGGGGGTCACTCGAATCCCTCAAGAGTTTTTGTGGAGACGAGGTTGAGTGTTATCTGCTTGTTGTTCTTCTGATGACTAGATCTAGCTAGTCTTTGAGCCGTCACATTCTTAGTTTTTTTTGTTCTGTTCCCGATGACCGATTTCGATTCTTAAAGCGCCGAAGGCATGGCGTAGGCGTGTCTCTGATTGACTTGCATGTGCTTCGCTTCATTTTTGGGCTGAGCCCAACGTTATTCCATGTATTGTTCCTCCTTGGCTTCGTGACCGGCTTGCAAAAGCCGGTGATCTTGAATTCATGGCCTGACAAACACCAATGCTGCTGTTGGCCCTACCGCCTTTTACATCTCTCATGAGCTTCTCTCATGCGCCGAGCACCTTTCCTCTCCCAACACCCAAGCAAGTGTGTCTGTTGTCTGTTGTTGTTGGAAAACAATCATAGACAAATGAAGTGTGTGTGTGTGTGTGTGTAT